CCTCCAAATCAATCTTCTTCCGGGTCGCACGTTTATGACGTCGGGACGCTCACCTTCCGCACTTCTATACCGCATGTCTATGATGCCAGAGTGTTCACTGTACAGAGGCATCCACGGAGCTCCTCCCCTTTTAGTGTCCCAAGTGAGTGACTGGATTTCAATATGCACGTACGCCGTGGTCTAGACCAACTGTTTAAAGAACAAGCAAGTTTCTGTTCACTTGGTATGATCCATCAAGCCTGTTATAACCCAACAAAACATTTGTGTTTGTATTTTTTTTACAGATAAATCAAATCAAAATTGGTCAGAATTTCCAAGAGGAGCGTATTCTATCCACGTCATATATTTATTGCAATAGCTGCTTGAGAGGTTTTGGAAACAAAATGTAAAATTTTCCAGGACTGGGGGTTGGGGGGGAGGGGAAGGCAGGTTGGGGAGCGATGCCTAACCCATATGACCATGGGGGATAGAGCCACACGACAGTGAACCGTAAACGAAAAGCATGAGTCAGGACAGCAAGTGACGAAAAATGACGAGCGGCCCACGAGTCTCTTGGCCCAAAATAAAGGGTAGAACGCATACGACAGGTGCCTTGAACGGCACAAACACACAAGGATAATAGCCTGTTCATAGGCGGCTGAAGGCGTTATCCAATCAGGCGGAATAGACAGCAGAATAGAAGAAGTACGGACGCTGTGGCAACCAGACAGGGCCACAGCACACTAAAGGTGGAGGGAGTACACAGTAGACCAAGGATGACGCGGACACACCACAAACAAGGTTGGACAGACAGTTATGATAGCATGAGGGGGGGGTGGGAGAGGGGAGGGATAGGGGAAGAGGGGTATTACAATATTAATACACGAAAACTGGAGGCTAGTAGCCTAATTATATCGCACTGTTGTCTGTTTGTTTACATGCTTGTGAAAAGAAAAACTTGGAAATAAAATAAAGATTTGATTGTCAAAACAAAATGTAAAATTTTAAATTTGTTTGATTCTTTTTTTTTTTTTTTTAAATAGAATTAAAAGTTAGAAAGTCACTGTCTTGCTGAGATTTTAACAATTGCATCTAACTTGACACAATACTTACTGCAGATTACGAAAAGCTAAAGAATTGTAGTCCAATACCTTGAGGGACCACGAGAGCCATTCAGAAACAGGCCGGTTTTCGAAAGGAATATTCTGTTTATCAAAAGGAATTTTCTACTGATATCCATAAAAAGTTCAATACAATTGAGTATTCTACATTCCAAAAATTGTAAAATGCACATTTTTTTAAGAAGGGGTAGGGGAGGCTGTTTTGTGTTTCACCCATCTTTACTCAATGCACAAAGAATCCAAGATGCGCAGCGAGAATATTAATCTGGACCAGGTGTGTTTAGATTTTACACGTGTTCCAGGAGTTCAAAGCCAGTTGAAATCCAGATTCACTTGGGGGTGGGAGTTAATCAGATCAAGGAGGGAACACTTGGGCCTAATATATGTTTTCAGGGACCCCGAGCCAATATCCAGTTTTTCAACACATGTTCATAAGATGATCCCAGTAAAAGTGCGACTTGTATTATTGCATGCGCAACCTTGAATGACCTTGCATACATCCTGAAGTAAGATTTAAAACAAAATCCACTTTGACCCAAGAATTAACCCTTCCAGGAGCAGTGCATGTGTTATGTTCTTGAATACATAGCGTTAACGTGTTTATATTATGGACGACCATGATAAGACATGACAGGCGCACAGTCGGATTTGCCGGCATATGCGCTAACCTTACCCCAACCCCCATTAAAACACGGACACAGGTTATACTGTTGGAAATAATTTGTCCACAGCTTTATTAAATTATTAATAAATAATTAAGGAATAACAAATGGGGTCATTGCCAACAAATCTTAATAATGTTAACCTCCCCCATATACATAATATACCCCTAGCAATGACCCCACAATAATAACAATAGATAACAATATAAATAACATGTTAACACAGAAACTGGCCGTCCAATTTGACCACATTTCCACCAGGTTAAATTGTAGGGGTGTACACCTGACACCGCTACCCACCATATCCATTGTAGGGGTGTACCAAGACACCGCTACCCACCATATCCATTGTAGGGGTGTACCAAGACACCGCTACCCACCAGTTCCAGTGTAGGGTGTACCAAGACACCACCACACCCCCAGGTTCGGAGCCACCGACGGGCTCGAACCTACCAACCACGTGCAACACTGCCCAATCCACACTAAACCTCAGGATGCCCACTTTCTCCTCCATCTACCCTCCGATTTAACCAGGCCATTCCCCGCCGCTGTGAAAAAACGGGAAATCAACTAACCTAACCAAATACAGGGAGGGTGGGAGGGACAACTGACAGGTAAGCTTAGGTTCAGTTAAAATGGCCACTTCACATATGGCTGGTATAAATACTCCCCTTATGGCTCCGCCCTACCCAGCATGCTAGCTGTCACTAAATTCCTGTGGCTGCTATGCCTACCTCCTGGCTCTGTCAAGGCCTATTCCTCTTAAGCGCTGATCCATATCGCATTGGCCGGGAGGTTTATAAGATTTTTTAATCCCTAAAGATATGAACTGAGTTGCTTGGAAGAAAGAATACAATGTGGCATTATAAATTGACTTAAATTTTCGTTTACAGGTGGTGCAACAAGCCTGGCTAGATCTATTGTGCCCATACGGCAGGTTATTATAAGAATGCAGGGGAAGCTCATATACCGGGTTATTACCCAGAACCCCTGGCTGCAGGGGGGCGCTGTATACTGTGTGATTATGGGGTAAGGCGGGTTATTACCCAGAATCCCTGGCTGCAGGCGGAGCTCTGTACACTGTGTGAATATGGGATAAGGCGGGTTATTACCCAGAATCCCTGGCTGCAGGGGGAGCTCTGTACCACTGTGTGATTATGGGGTGGGGAATAAGGCGTATACCCCAGCTGAGCTGATACAGTACCCCATACCCAGCTGGCTGTTGTATCTGTGTGATTATGGAATCCTGGTAAGGCGGGTTATTACCAGAACTGCTGCAGGTTAAGCTCTGTATACCTACCCAGAATCCCTGGCTGCACCGAGGCTACCCATCCCTGGCCGGCTCTGTATACGTGATTATCCCCATGATGTACCCTGAAACATATACAAGGAATCCCTCTGCGGAGCTCTTATACGCACCCACCAGCCACACCCAGTGGCTGCAGCTCCCATAGCTGGTACCCATCCCCTCTCCTCTGCCTCCACCTGATCAATTACCCTTTTCCGGGACCATGCCAATATCCAGAATCACTGGCGCAGGGGGAGCTCTCTATAGACCCGCCGCCCGGCAAGACGGGTTTCACCCGAACTCTGGCCCCCAATCAGTCTGACCCTGTGTGTTGCCACCAAGCTCCTGTATTCCCTGAATCCCTGGCTGCACGCTGACCTGCTACTGTGTGATTATGGGGTAGGCGGGCTTTACCCAAACCCTGGCCCCACCGCGCCTGCAACTGTCCCTTATTGGTAAGGTTCACATTGAAAGAACCCTCTGCCCGGGGGGCTCAAATACGTCGATTAGGGGCAGGCGGTATTCCGTAAATCCCAGCTGCTTCCGAGACTGTCTCTGTGCGATTAAAGGTAAGGCCTTGCTATTCCCACATCCGGCTCTCCACGGAAACCCTGATATAGTGTGACGGCATCCGTATCCCGCTCGTCGCCCGCGCCAATCGTCTACAGAAAACCCTCCCCATGGGTATGACCCTGCACGCAAAGTTCAGGCTCCCTACCAGAGACTGTAATCCCCTCAGCGTCACCTTCCGTGCTCTCCCAATTGTGTGCACCAAGTCTTTCAGCTTGCGCAACTTGTCCTGTGGTAATCTACATTCCCCGATCTCCGAATCGATCTCCAAACCCAGAAAACTAAGACACGTGGCGGGTCCCACGGTCTTGTCCTCCGCCAAAGGAACCCCCATCGTCTGCGCTACCCATTGGAACACCCGTAGTATCTGCTTGCACCGGTCTGAGCCTCGAGGGCCGACACATAAGAAGTCGTCCAGGTAATGCACAACCGTGCCCCCCCTCCGATTCCCGTCGCACTACCCATTCCAGAAAAGTGCTAAACTTCTCGAAATAGGCGCACGAGATGGAACAACCCATCGGCAAGCACAGATTCACAAAGAAGCCCCCTTCAAAACAACACCCCAAGGGGTGATGACATGACGGGTGTATGGGAAGCAGCCGAAACGCTGCCTCCACGTCCACCTTCGCCATCAGCGCTCCCCGCCCAGCTCTCCGTACCAACTCGACTGCCCTGTCAAATGATGTGTAAGATACTGAACAGAGTGCTGCGTCGATGTCATCATTCACCGATGACCCTTTAGGATACGATAAATGATGAATCAACCTAAACTTGCCAGCCTCTTTTGTAGGGACCACTCCAAGTGGGGATATCCGCAACTCCGCTATAGGAGGATACGGGAACGGCCCCGCCATCCTCCCCAAAAGGACCTCTTTGGCCATCTTTTCCCGCACTACCTCCGGGCGTTCCTGCACCGATTTAAGATTGGCACAAACCGCCCCTGGTTCCTTAACCGTGAAGGGGATCACGAAGCACTCCCTAAAACCCCGCCACAGGAACGCTGCATCCTCCTGGTTAGCGTATTGCCTTAGCCAAGGCAACATCGCTCCTAACCTCACTGGGGACGCCCCCAGTTGCAGCCGAGGTGGCCGCCACCCCTGCGGTTCCACCCCCTGCATTGAGCTTACCTTTCTTGAAGCATCTGCTGGCACCGTGACCCTCGTTGTACGTCCAGCACAGGCCCTTCTTTTGTCCCGCTGGCACAGCCACGCCTGAGGCTGTCCCAGCTGCCCCGAGAAAGGGCGCAGCCTTCTGCGCCATCATAATCCTCATCCATAGCGGCAGGTCCATTTGGTCCCACCGCATGGTAGGGTTGGCCGCCAAGCGTTGCCGAAACTGCTCATCATATTTCCACCACGCTAGGCCCCCATACGTCCGATACGCATCGCCTATCCCATCCAAGTAGCAGAACAGTTGCGCACAGTTCCCTGGCCTTTTTTTTTTTTTTTTTTTCTTTCCCCTATCACACTAGCCAGGATGCAGAACGCCCTCAGCCAATTCCCCAAAGTCTTCGGTATCTTGCGATACCTCCGCCTTTTTTCTTCTTCCTCCTTCTTGGCGTCCTTCTTATCCTCCTCCTTCAAGTCTAGGAATTCCTCCAAAGGGAGCAAAGAAAAATTTTCCATGAACTCCCCCTTCCAAATCTTTTCTTTAACCTCTAATTTCAGGTGACAACCTAGGGGGCCCACAAAAGATACGTGTACGTTTTGACGTGCCGCGTCCGAAATGTCGCCACACCCGACCGCCGACTCAGCCCCCCCATCCGCCGCACCGGACGCCACTACCGCTTCGCTTACCTCGCCTCCGCTCGCCGGTTGGACCCCCGCCCCTATTGCCTTAACCGCCGTGTCAGGGGACCATACCTTTCCGAACTGTAATGGTGATTCCCCCTTCCCTGACCATGCCTCCAATAGTGTTTTTAAATAGCCCAATAACTGTCCGGAGTGTTGTGCAGATATGGACTCACCGTTGGAGACCCCGGCCGTGCCAGGCTCCGGGGTTGCCGACCTTCCGTCCACCCGTTCAGGCTCCGGAGCATCCGGTTGACGCAGACTCCCATCCGCCTGATCCCTCCTCAGGACCGTAGGGGTAGTGCTCTGCGACCTGTAAGGAGAAGACAACCTGGGTAGTCTGTACTGCTGGGCCCCTACCCGTCCTTCCTCCCTACGCTCTTCTCCGCAATTCCAAGCTTCGCACCGCCTTGCCGGCCTAGCTTCCCTGCTCCTGGGGGCCCGCTGCTGTCCTAGCGCACTGTCACCCGAGGACCCAGATGCGCTGCGCCGCCTCCGCCCCCTGCCCGTCCTTGGACGCGGACCTCCTTCTCCCCGCCCTGCAGCTGGTCCTGGAACCACTGCGCCTGCTATGCGATGGACTCCTGTCCCTGCTCCACTGCCGCTCAGCTGACCTCCTGCTGCTGCCGGGCCTGGCGCCACCGCTGCGCCGCTCCCGTCTGTACTCCTCCCGCTCCCTGGTCCCGCTGCGGTGCCCCCCGTGAGAGCAGCCTGAGGGGCCCAACCTTCCACTTCTACTGCTCCTGACTTCCCTATCCCGCGCTGTACTGCGTGTGTCCCCTTTCTCCGCTGTACCTGGCCATCTGTTGGCCGCTGCGCCTGGCTCAGATGCCCTGTGCACCCCCTGGCAGCCCGCTGGAACCTCTGCCGCTCCCTGTCCGATCCTGCCGTCTTCCTGCCGCCCCTCCTCCCTATGCCTGGCACTGTCGCCCGTCCCGGCCACACCTAAGGCCGCCCGCGAGCTGGTCCCGCTGACCAGGCCACCCCTGGGTTGCTGGGGGGCCGCCTGCGCTGGAACATCCCGCGTGCCCGCCCCCTGCCCCTCAGTGACCAGAGTGGACTCACCGGGACGCCTCACTGAAGTGCTGCCGACCACGTGTTCCTCCGCTCTCCCGGCCGCCATTCCCGCCGTGCTGGAGCCCTCCTCTGGGGTTCCTGTGCTGCCTGCCGCCATCTTGGGTGGGGCGCGTTTACCAGCAGGCCCGCGCTTCGTGGCCGTCCTCGCCTGACCGGCACCGCGGCGCCGGCCGCTTCCCGGTGCTGTCCGACCCTCTTGCCTCCTGGCTGGGTGCCGAATCCATACTGCTGATGGGAGTGATCATGTAGTAGCAGCTCATTCCAGCCTCTCCTGTCCCTCCATGCTGTCTCCTGTCTCAGTACTGCCTGTTCTCCATACTGCTGATGGGAGTGATCATGTAGTAGCAGCTCACTCCAGCCTCTCCTGTATCTCCATGCTGTCTCCTGTCTCAGTACTGCCTGTTCTTCGCTGCCTCCATGCTGCCTGTTCTTCTATGCTGCCTCCATGCTGCTGATGGGAGTGATCATGTAGTAGCAGCTCACTCCAGCCTCTCCTGTATCTCCATGCTGTCTCCTGTCTCAGTACTGCCTGTTCTTCATGCTGCCTGTTCTCCATGCTGCCTGTTCTGCTATGCTGCCTCCATGCTGCCTTCTCCCTCCAGGGCAGACAGCTTTCACAACTGACAGGTAAGCTTAGGTTCAGTTAAAATGGCCACTTCACATAGTGGCTGGTATAAATACTCCCCTTATGGCTCCGCCCTACCCAGCATGCTAGCTGTCACTAAATTCCTGTGGCTGCTATGCCTACCTCCTGGCTCTGTCAAGGCCTATTCCTCTTAACTGCGCTGATCCATGGGCTACACGAGTCTCTTGATCTCCGTGACTCCTATAAAACTGAGTCAGACCCTTTCTAGGGTTTTACAGTCGCAGTACCTGAGCATTCCTCGTACATCTCCTGCTGCTACCATCTCCATTCCTGGACAATTATCATAACTGAGAATAGGTTTTGGGACGTTGAGCCAGAACGCCCCACGCATCTGAAGTTTTTTTTCAAGATTATTAAACAGTGCCTGGTTTGTTCCCCTTCATAATACATCAGGTGAAGGTTAACACACTGAATGCCCTGTGTGTGGCATGTCAGCAGTGTTTTAAGTCTGTGCTTGGGGGCATTCCAGTGCCTTACAGTTGTAAAGGGTTAAATAACCAGGAAAACCTATAGGATACTGACGTTTATTTATTAAATTGTGAGACAGGATACGTTCAATTAACTATTTTGTTCTAGGCTTTAGATATAATTACCAAATACTTGTTTAGTGGATAAACCCCAGAGTGTTTCAATTCTGTGCCACCAAAGTCGTTTTAGAAGTCACTGTCTCCGTAAGACATGTAAGTCGATCTGGTTGTTAGCAACGAGAGGACAATTCATTTCTATGGTGGTCTACACCTGCTGACGGCAAACAGGACCTCGGCCACTGTGTCAATATCGGCCCCCCCTCCTTCCCCATACCTCCCAGTCTGCCTCATTCTTTCTTTTTATTAAGACGGTGTCAAGTAAATAATACAAATCTGTTTCAGCCTTCAGAAGATGAGAGGAGCAGTTACCGAGGATTTGTGTAACTGAGATCAGGATTAGCAGGACCACAGGGGGGAGTGAATTAATTTATACATTTAGATGATCAGGTGGGGTTCAGTTGCAGAGATGTGGGTATCAGATTTTATAAAGTATTAAACTCATTGGATTTGGAGGTTTATAGAGATTTTTTATATCACCTAAAGATATGAATCTGAGTATGCTTGGAAGATCAGAATACAATGTGGCATTAATGTGTTTGACTTAACCTTTTCGTTTACAGGTGGTGCAACAAGCCTGGCTAGAGACTATTGTGATATCATATTCTGTATACTGTGTGATTATGGGTTAAGGCAGGTTATTACCCAGAATCCCTGGCTGCAGGGGAAGCTCTGTATACTGTGTGATTATAGGGTAAGGCGGGTTATTACCCAGAATCCCTGGCTGCAGGGGGAGCTCTGTATACCGTGTGATTATGGGGTAAGGCGGGTTATTACCCAGAATCCCTGGCTGCAGGGGGAGCGCTCTGTATACCGTGTGATTATGGGGTAAGGCGGGTTATTACCCAGAATCCCTGGCTGCAGGGGAGCTCTGTATACTGTGTGATTATGGGGTAAGGCGGGTTATTACCCAGAATCCCTGGCTGCAGGGGGAGCTCTGTATACTGTGTGATTATGGGGTAAGGCGGGTTATTACCCAGAATCCCTGGCTGCAGGGGGAGCTCTGTATACTGTGTGATTATGGGGTAAGGCAGGTTATTACCCAGAATCCCTGGCTGCAGGGGAAGCTCTGTATACTGTGTGATTATGGGGTAAGGCGGGTTATTACCCAGAATCCCTGGCTGCAGGGGGAGCTCTGTATACTGTGTGATTATGGGGTAAGGCGGGTTATTACCCAGAATCCCTGGCTGCAGGGGGAGCTCTGTATACCGTGTGATTATGGGGTAAGGCGGGTTATTACCCAGAATCCCTGGCTGCAGGGGAAGCTCTGTATACCGTGTGATTATGGGGTAAGGCGGGTTATTACCCAGAATCCCTGGCTGCAGGGGAAGCTCTGTATACTGTGTGATTATGGGGTAAGGAAGGTTATTACCCAGAATCCCTGGCTGCAGGGGAAGCTCTGTATACTGTGTGATTATGGGGTAAGGCGGGTTATTACCCAGAATCCCTGGCTGCAGGGGAAGCTCTGTATACTGTGTGATTATGGGGTAAGGCGGGTTATTACCCAGAATCTCTGGCTGCAGGGGGAGCTCTGTATACTGTGTGATTATGGGGTAAGGTAGGTTATTACCCAGAATCTCTGGCTGCAGGGGGAGCTCTGTATACTGTGTGATTATGGGGTAAGGTAGGTTATTACCCAGAATCCCTGGCTGCAGGGGGAGCTCTGTATACTGTGTGATTATGGGGTAAGGTGGGTTATTACCCAGAATCCCTGGCTGCAGGGGGAGCTCTGTATACTGTGTGATTATGGGGTAAGGCGGGTTATTACCCAGAATCCCTGGCTGCAGGGGGAGCTCTGTATACTGTGTGATTATGGGGTAAGGCGGGTTATTACCCAGAATCCCTGTCTGCAGGGGAAGCTCTGTATACTGTGTGATTATGGGGTAAGGCAGGTTATTACCCAGAATCCCTGGCTGCAGGGGGAGCTCTGTATACTGTGTGATTATGGGGTAAGGCGGGTTATTACCCAGAATCCCTGGCTGCAGGGGAAGCTCTGTATACTGTGTGATTATGGGGTAAGGCGGGTTATTACCCAGAATCCCTGGCTGCAGGGGAGCTCTGTATACTGTGTGATTATGGGGTAAGGCGGGTTATTACCCAGAATCCCTGGCTGCAGGGGGAGCTCTGTATGCTAAGATATTACAGAATAAAGCAGGTGGTTTCCCAGAATCCCATGCTCCAGCAACATTAGATATTTTCCCATTTAGGAGAAAGACACCTCCCTGGACTGACAAGGAAGGGGGGACATGACTGCGGCTAGGATAAGGAGTCTTGAAGGAGTAGTGGAAGGGAGGGGTATAGATGGATACATAGTTGCCAAGATGGAAGACAGTTATAAGGACAGTTAGGGGAGGGGACTTACCAGTCAGCTTTTGGAAGTGCAGGGATCCTGACTTTCCCACCCTCCCGCCCCTAGGACATTTGGTTATACAGGAATGTGGGTTGGTTGTTGGTGCCTGTTGTTGGTTGTCTTTTTCTTGTTTTTGTCACAGCACGCGGGAGTCCTGGCCAGCGCAGGCAGAAGTGGTGAAGTTGCCGAGGAGGCTTGGGGAGTCGCAGCCTGTTGGGAGCTGATGGCGGAGGCAGGCTGCTCAGGACTCATGGTTTGTGGGGATAGACCTGTCTGTTGGGCAATCACCCCAACAGCTGACAGTATGATTATGTTGCTGGCATGGAAAGAATAAAAAAAAGCTGTGGCCGATGCCCTTACCCAACTTAATTACGGTCTCTGTGTGTCATTGGGGAAAGGGGGGCATCGGGTGGGTGGTACAGACATCTAGACAGCAGTCATGATATGTGTAGATGTACTTTCTGGTAGAAATGTGTCAGGATGCCTACTATGTCCCACATTGCAGTGGGATGGAACAGATATCCCTGTTATTGCCACATTTAGCCTGGGTGGCTGATATTTGAGAAATCCCATTACTGGGACGCTTCCCTCCTAACAATTGGAGGAATGTTAATGATTGTCTATATTAGACCTTTTCTCTTGCTCCTTGTGAACAATCCTCGCCATTGTATGGGGAGCCAAGTGGCGGTTTACAATAGACTTCAGCTGTGTTCTTTTCATAGCTGGGTCATGGGCATGCGGCTGCCTGAGATTAACCGTCAACAGACAAAGGCCCAGCATTTACCTCATGTTCCCTGCAGCAAATTAACACTCCCTTAATAGTTAGTAATTCAGTCACCGTAAACGGCGCTGGAACTGCGAGTACGAAAGGATCAACTACTTCAACAAATCTAGACATGCCAAACATCAAATACTACAGTCTTCTAGTCTTTCCAGTGTCTTATTGGCTGGGAACTGGGTTTTTGGGACAGTAAAGAAGGTATATTGGTGTGAAATTGCCCAATAAAAAATAAAAAAAAACACTAGACAAGACAAGCCTATGTCAAACAAATGGGCTCATCCCTCAATTACCCAATGCGGTAATTAATTTTTAAGACGTTGGTACTAGAAAATTAAAGTAGATCTGTAAACTTTCACAGATTTTTTTTTTTTTTTTTTTTATTTCCTTCACTTGGCTTCAGACACTATTGTTTGTGTTTTAATTTGGAAAAAGTGTAATTTTTTTTGCAGATCTTAAAAGTTATCAGATACAGAATATATTATCACTGCCAGACTGTGCACTGCGCCTTCTCTTATTTTCTGAGCTAAGGTCCATTCTTTATACTCCTCGTTAAGGTGTCAGGAAATATCTGCATCCATCAAATAGGAAGACTTTAAACCATTTCTTTTTTTCGGGGCTATAGGTTCCCTAACTTCCCTTTAATGGAGTGGACTAATTACACAAGGTAAAAAAAGTTATGTTCTAATTAAAGGAACACTCTCCCATCTCTCCCTGTAATATACCTCACCTTTTTGTGTCGTCATCATTTTTCCCTGTATCATTTAATACAATCTGTCACTTTGACTTTTCACTTCACCTGTTACAGTTGTTCATCATTTCATCCTCGTCCCCTTGTGCCTTTACCTCTCATGTCACCTGTTACGATCCCATTTACCTTGGAAATTTTTGTTTAGGGGTCTTGGATCTAACAGCTGGTAGACAGCTCCAGGGGTTATATCACATGGTGAATAAATTAGGCTGTGGCATTAATTGCCCAGCCTATAAGTCCTCATTTACCCCCCAACTCTGTTCTCTTAATGCTCACTAAATAATAACTCCTTAACGTTAACCATTCTAATAAATTAATGATCACAGCAATCAAATGGGCAATGCTCTGCGTGATTGCAGTCAAAAAGTCTACTATCAAACCAAATTGTCAAGAATCCTATCAATAATAATAATGTATCTCTCTCCACTTAATCTAATATCATAATTCCCTATCACACCTAGGACCATTTCCCACCATCTCCCTGTATCAAATGTAGCATTTTCTATCATCGCATCTGTTCCCCTCTCCTGGTACCAGTCCTTATTATATCTGCTCAACGTACCTAGTCCCACCCCTCATCATCCTTCCTAATTTCACCTGCTACCATCACTCTTTATCTCTCTTCCAAAAAGTATAGTCCGGAATCCCAGATTTGTCTGAATCTCTCCCCATCTCCCCCGATTCCCTTAAGAACAATGCATTATCCTTGTGTTTCCCAGTCTCTTCCTATCCCACCTTGTACTGCCCAACAACATCATACGTTAACACCCCTCTCCTGGTATTGTCCCTATGTATTACAAGATCTTTTTCCAATACCTGGCTGTTGCTTTCCTCTCCCATATTCCACTGTTATCCTCGTACCCTGACTCCCAAACATTTATCACCTTATTTCGCTCTACCACATTCGATCTCACCTCATATAAAGTCCTTCGTCTACAGTAACTCTCTCTCTTCACCAGCCATGGAATGGTACGTTCAGTGGGGATCAAAACAAAATTTCCACATTGTGTAACAAAACAAGCCTACTTTATGCGTTATACCTCAATATATTCAAACCTGATTCACGCACTCGAATGAGTAAAATGGTGTGTCACAGTGCAGCGCGTTGGAACATATTTATAGTTCTTTGCTGTAAACGCAGTATACATAATTTAACAGTAATTATTAAAATCTCGCCAATTCACTATAAATTATTTACTTTTGACAGGGAAAGGTTTACTTTGTCAATGAGGTGTTCCGTGTATAAACGTTCAACTCTAAACAACATAGAACAAATGGTAAGGACACGTTTTAATGAGACACTAAACAACTTCACTGTGTTATCGTATATTACAGGCAAAATACATAAATATTTTCGACATATTCTACATACCTCATCAAACAGCGCTCTCCAATGCTGAAAGGTCGGAATGCAAAAAAAAGAGAGGAAAAAGGAAGAATTTTAAAGACAAATAACCCACTCCACACTGACACGCAACAACTCCTTAGTAGCTTATAAAGGAAGAACTCATTAATAACTAATTAATAGCCATTTCCGTTCGCTTCGCCGATTAACTCGTTACCTCGTCTACTCTGACTTCATAAACACATTAAGAATCACGCACCATAACCACCATGAGACCACAGGGAATCATAGACCTATTAAATGGAAAGTGATGGTAGAGAGCAAACAGTGCTGTCCGCGCCGGAAAAACGGCCTTCATTTCAATGTTCCCTTCAGACGTTGTCCTTAAATTTCCCTTTCACCCATTGACAGTAGTATGAAATAATAATAATAATAATAATAATAATAATCACATTCAAGGCAAAAGTAGCAGAACTGGAATGATAGCGGACTTAGAGATACATTTTTTTTGCTGTTTTAACCATAAATCGTATCTAATCATCGGATTGTTATTGTTGGAGTAGCCCGGCGCCGTTCCCTGGAAATGGCGCAAATTTATTTTACTTTTTCTTTCTTTTTTTTTTTTTTTTAACGGTGATACAAAAATATTAAACAGATAATTCACCCTCAAAATTTTAAAACTGGATATTATTAAGGCTATCTGTAGACACTGAGTCTTAGGGAGCACATTTGTATTGGAATCGGGATAAAAACAAAAAACAAAAAACAGAGCACTATCTAAAACCGTATATTAAACATTGTTGCAACCACTAGTCATTCTGTATTACACACCACAGTCATATATTAAACAATGGAATTACCAGCAGTCATACTGTACTCCACACTATAACAACTGCCAGTCTACTTGTCTTGTGTGATGTAACTACCACTCGTCACCCTGTATTATACACCGCAACTTTTCGTATTACACACAGTAACTATTGCCAGTCACCCTGTATTATACACTGTAACAACCTCCTTTCACTGCAACCCATCAGTCACCCAGTGTTACAGCCGGTAATTCCCATCAGTCGCCCCGTATTACAGCCGTTAATTCCCATCAGTCGCCCCGTATTACAGTCAGTAATTCTCCCTGTATTCCAATCGGTAATTCTCCCTGTATTCCAGTCGGTAATTCTCCCTGTACTCCAGTCGGTAATTCTCCCTGTACTCCAGTCGGTAATTCTCCCTGTACTCCAGTCGGTAATTCTCCCTGTACTCCAGTCGGTAATTCTCCCTGTATTCCACTCGGTAATTCTCCCTGTATTCCACTCGGTAATTCTCCCTGTATTCCAATCAGTAATTCTCCCTGTATTCCAGTCGGTAATTCTCCCTGTATTCCAATCGGTAATTCTCCCTGTATTCCATTCAGTAATTCTCCCTGTATTCCAGTCAGTAATTCTCCCTGTATTCCAGTCAGTAATTCTCCCTGTATTCCAATCAGTAATTCTCCCTGTATTCCAGTCGGTAATTCTCCCTGTACTCCAGTCAGTAATTCTCCCTGTATTCCAATCAGTAATTCTCCCTGTATTCCACTCAGTAATTCTCCCTGTATTCCAATCAGTAATTCTCCCTGTATTCCAGTCAGTAATTCTCCCTGTATTCCAATCAGTAATTCTCCCTGTATTCCAATCAGTAATTTTCCCTGTATTCCATTGAAGACACTTTGTAACAGGTGTTCAGCAGGCAGTCTGATCCCAGCATGTTGGGTGTTTGGTGGTGATACAGTCACAGCTCTGCTCACACTCTTGATTATCCCTACATCAACAGAGTGAATATACAGGAGATCAGAGCTGGCATCTCACTGCCTGGGATTCAAATGGCAGAGTTTAACCTGCATGGGTCTCACAGTCCGGGATTTAAATGGTAGTTTTACCTGCTGTGATCTCAATACCTGGGATTTAAAAGGCAGAGTTTGACCTGCAGAGATCCCACAGCCTTGGATTTAAATGGCAGAGTTTTACCTGCTGTGATCTCAATACCTGGGATTTAAAAGGCAGAGTTTGACCTGCAGAGATCCCACAGCCTTGGATTTAAATAGCAGAGTTTAACCTGCAGAGATCTCTCTAACTGGGATTTAAATGGCAGAGTTTAACCTGCAGAGATCTCAATACCTGGGATTTAAAAGGCAGAGTTTGACCTGCAGAGATCCCACAGCCTTGGATTTAAATGGCAGAGTTTGACCTGCAGAGATCTCTCTAACTGGGATTTAAATGGCAGAGTTTGACCTGCAGAGATCTCAATACCTGGGATTTAAATGGCAGAGTTTGACCTGCAGAGATCTATCTAACTGGGATTTAAATGGCAGAGTTTGACCTGCAGAGATCTCTCTAACTGGGATTTAAATGGCAGAGTTTGACCTGCAGAGATCTCAATACCTGGGATTTAAATGGCAGAGTTTGACCTGCAGAGATCTCAATACCTGGGATTTAAATGGCAGAGTTTGACCTGCAGAGATCTCAATACCTGGGATTTAAATGGCAGAGTTTTACCTGCAGAGATCTCAATACCTGGGATTTAAATGGCAGAGTTTGACCTGCAGAGATCTCTCTAACTGGGATTTAAATGGCAGAGTTTGACCTGCAGAGATCTCTCTAACTGGGATTTAAATGGCAGAGTTTAACCTGCAGAGATCTCAATACCTGGGATTTAAATGGCAGAGTTTGACCTGCAGAGATCTCTCTAACTGGGATTTAAATGGCAGAGTTTGACCTGCAGAGATCTCAATACCTGGGATTTAAATGGCAGAGTTTAACCTGCAGAGATCTCAATACCTGGGATTTAAATGGCAGAGTTTAACCTGCAGAGATCTCACAGCCTTGGATTTAAATAGCAGAGTTTAAAAGCCCCCCTCCCCCCGGCTTAGCTAAACTTAGTGTGTAAATAGGAAGAAGCTATGTCTATTTACATCTTCCACAGCCATGGGCAGGCAATCCACCGACTCTGACACCTCGATCTGATCGGCCACCGCAGGGGGACAGCTGGCACCAGACCCCCGACCGTCCCCCATCCTCGGACAGACAGCTCCTTCCTTCCCGGGCTCCTCATTAAAGGGAGACGTTTTCCTGGTAAAGTTTCCCCTCAGTGGGGACAGAGAGAGTCCAGGGGTCCTGGGGAGAAGCTGGATACAGTATCCATGTCACATGTGAGCCCACATCCATCTGCTCCTTCCAGAGCTGGGGAATGACAAGAGACCAGGACAATTCCTCTGACATCATGTATCACATTGCAATCTTCACAGGGCACCCTCACAGGCAGAAATCAGCATTGCAAATCTCACTCACCTCCTCTCCCCCTGGCTGCTCACATCTTTCAAAACATCCCATATTGGGGGCTCATTCACTAAACAATGAATTGGAGCAAATTGAAATCTGAATGGGGAGCAGCCTAAACTAGCAGATTTAGAACAATTTGTCAGGATTCTTTCATGATTTTTATTTGCGACAAATCGATGTTTAGCGGATACACCCCCAATAAAAAATTGTTATCAATAAATTTCTATCCAGCCATTTTCAGTATCGGTAGGATATCGTGTCCATCTGTTTATAGTCTATTGATCTGACTCAAGCCTATCCGGGTTATTTACTGAACTCTGAATTGCACTGAATTGAAAATTAATTATTAATTGAGGCTATAATAGACAATCTGTGACTATAGCTGGTTGGCGAATTTTTGCAAATCAGCTATTTTCGCCAAACTTTGCAACACAGTTTTTTATTTATAGAGTTATTTACCAAGGTGAGAAGACAGAGTGAATTTCAAATTGAAGGTCAAGATAGCCAAAATGGAAGAATTCTCTAAATCAGCTACTCTGGCCTTAAATTAGAAACTCACTTTTCATTTTCAGTTAAGTAAATAACCCTGTTTGATTCATCAAAATTCACAGTTTAGTAAATAACCATATTTGTGTGTGATTACAGTTGGGTTTTAAGGATAGGCTTTGCGATTAGACTTTAAGGGGACACTATAGTCACCGAAACAACTTTAGCTTAATGAAGCCGTTTTGGTGTATAGATCATGCCCTTGCAGTCTCACTGCTCAATTCTCTGCTATTTAGGAGTTAGATCATTTTGTTTATACAGCCGTAGTCACACCTCCCAGCATGTGACTTACACAGCCTTCCTAAACACTTCCTGTAAAGAGACCTCTAATGTTTACACTTCCTTTCTTGCAAAATCTGTTTTATTTAGAATTCCTCATCTCCTGCTCTGGTAATAGCTTGCTAGACCTTGCAGGAACCCTCTGTATTCAACACAAGTTAAATTTACAGAGGAGGAGATAAAAACATCTAAAGCAAGTTACATCTGATTGAAAATAAATCAATTTTTAACATGCAGGCTGTGTCAGTCACAGCCAGAGGAGGTGTGGCTAGGACTGCATAAACAGAAACAAGTGAAACCAAGTGGTTTAACTCCTAAATGGCAGATAATTGAATAATGAGACTTCAGAGGCATGATCTGATACAAAACAGCTTAATTAAGCTGATGATGTTTTGATGATTATAGTGTCCCTTTAAGGTTGGTGATTAGATTTAGTGACCAGGAATTGGCATAATGATTATGGAGTTTAGATTAGATGAGTTAGGGGTAAAAATGTGTGTTTAGGTTTTTAAAGATTGGTCCTTGAGTAGAGGATAGTAGGATTTATATTAAAGTTTTGGGGTATTTGGATTAAGGTGAAGAATTAGGATGAAACGCAAAACTGTTCTTGAGCCCAAATTATATCTAAAAAAACACAAAACCAAAACCCCCTTTCTCTTATTTAGCAGTACTGCTTCACGGTTGTCAAATTCAGTATGTTTCCTGTACAGATATCACTTGTCCATATAAATGTAAAAAAAGAGGGTGCGGAATCTGACATCCAAGCGGAGCATACACATGCTGAGCGAGCTCCTGTGTCTAGCGTGGGTTTTGTATAAGTAACTTCAGTCAGTTTGTTGATCTTGCTGCAAAAAAAAAAAACTTTCCTCAGAGAGAGCACCTCTACAAATCTAAGGATAACAAACTTACTGCTGTATTCCCCCGGATTGTCTGGATCGAGATCTTAGCGCCCCACAGTCGAGGCTGGCGTGGGAGATGCAGACCCTTTTCTAGCGCCCTACATGACCGGTTTCACCACATCTGCTTGCCCCTTTTGGACCGGTGGGGTTATCCTTGTCCCTGGAGTCCACCCTACACTGCCAGACGTCTGCTGTGCTGACAGGCTCTCATGGCTTCCAAGTTGGCGTAGGTTGGAAGCGGAGACCCTAGTGCAACACCCATTGTGGCTAAACTGTCCATGCTGGACCACATTTTTGCAGAATTCCTGACCCGTATAGCGGCAAGGCAGCGGAGAGTACAGTCTCCTCCACAGAGTCACTGAATGGCGGAGAACCAACCTATCTAAATAGTCATGAGAGCCATTACTGTGGGGCCTGACTCCAAACCCTGCTTCAGGCTGGGCCTGTGATGGCTTGGAGCCGGGCTGGGTCCAATGTACCGAGGATGTCTCTCACATAGCCTCCCAAGATGGAGACTGCGCCTTTTAAGCGACCTCGTAGAACTTAGGAGCAGTGTCACAGCAGGCTGTCTCAAGCTACAGGCCTCAATTAGCCTGGGACTATCCACCAAAGGACCAGATGTAATCCTGCAGATTGGGAATATGATGATTAAATACTGTATCCATAGCTAACAGTGTCATTTTCGCTTTGATTTATTTGTGATGCCTCTTTCCAGGGTCGTCTTCTGTAGAATATTTGCTTATTCACCCCCAAAATTATTTATTCTGCTACATAAAAGTCCAAGACCGTAAGGTCGTTTGAGCAGGGTCCTCTTCAACCTATTGTTCCTATAAGTTTATTTATTTTTTTTGAAATTGTGTTATTTATTGTTAAATCTCCCCCTCTTAAAATATTATAAAGCGCTATGGAATTTGTTGGCGCTATATAAATGTCAATAATAATAAGACCGGCTCCATCCATATTTGAGGGATGGGTTTTGTAAGGATAAACTGATTGAGGTATTAATTCAGTAATGTTTGCATAAGTGATTCCATCGCGGCTGTTGTCCCTATACAAAGATCTGTGCACCATCTGGGAGGCATTGATGTATATTTAGGTAGCATGTGCAAGTATTTAGATCCCTGTTGCAAGTTCGGAGAGGGGACAGTGATCTAAATATTATTTTATGTTTAACACTATAATGTAAGGAATACATATTTTTGTTACTTTATTAAGCTTGAATGGTTTTTAAATGCTGCACTGACATCTAGTGGCTGTGCTATAAACTGCACTTTGATCAAAAATGACAAGTGGAAATTAGGACAAAATTTCTTCCATCCATCATCTGTCACGCCTCATGACCTCCCCAAGCATTAGCTGGGTCCCTGGTGCTGCATGATCTCCAGCCCATCAGTCTGTCAATGTGCAGCCTGATCTCCTACTCACAGGCCTTCATCACTTCTTGTATCTGTCAACATGATTTTTGTCTGTCAATTACTTCTTAAAAAAAACCTCATTGTATAATTGTAAAGGGCTCTGGGAAATATTGGCACCATATAAATGCTAATATACATGTGATATAATAATATCTACAAACACATTGCAGCCAAACATAATCTTTATTGTTTTATTTTTTTGTTTTTCCATGAATAGTTTTTCACTGGATTCAAAATACAAAAAGAAGGCATACGCTTAAGTAGGCAGTGAAGTACAATGGTGGGTCTTACATAACTTTTAATTGTAACAGTTACGGTTTATTAACATTCCAACATATATAATTCTGTCGTGCAATTTACGGGTAGTGCATAGCCTTTTCCCGAAATTGACCCTTTACCGTAGAAAACTGCCCTGATTGAATGAGGGTGTCATTTTGAATCCTTTTATAATATGAAAGAACAGAAATATGGGAGAAGGAGTACATGGGGGATAGGGAGGTGTAAAATGGTGTACATCATCAGTGCTGCTCCTGTGTGTGGTGTGCCCTGGTCAAGTATGCTGGAGATCTGGTGGTGCGCTTGTGTAACATGGCTCTATATCGATTGTCTGATACAACTGTTATTGTACAGGTTCCCACTCGTTTGAAAGTAGTGGAGAAACTGTACGGTAGGATTAGTTGGCTGGCTAATGCGGTGTGATGTCAATCTCTATCAACTATATGCATTTAAAAATTTTTTTTTATTATTATTAACATCAATTCTTCCCTTTTCATTATATTGGTATATATGCCTATCTTTCAGTTAGTCTGAGTGTAAGTCTTGCATTGTCTGCCAATAGTGATGTCCCGAACGGTTTGCCGCGAACGGTTCGCCACGGACTCATCATTGAGTAAACTTTGACCCTGTACCTCACAGTCAGCAGACACATTCCAGCCAATCAGCAGCAGACCCTCCCTCCCAGACCCTCCCACCTCCTGGACAGCTCACTAAGAAGCAGCATTCAATGGATGCTGTCCAGGAGGTAGGAGGGTCTGGGAGGGAGGGTCTGCTGCTGATTGGCTGGAATGTGTCTGCTGACTGTGAGGTACAGGGTCAAAGTTTACTCAATGATGAGTCCGCGGTGAACCGTTCGTGGCGAACCGTTCGGGACATCACTATCTGCCAACCATTCCATATACGTGATTAAGACTCCACTGTTCCCGCTAATCTGTGGGACATTTCCTCATAAGTGTGTATTTTGCCAAGTCTGGTCATGACCGTAGCAATGTTTGGGGGTTCTATATTCTTCCACTGCTTGGCTTTGCAACATTTTAGCTGCCATTAAAGAGTAATCACCATTGCTCTTTAATGGGACCTCACTTGTGTTGGGATCATATGCAGCAGGTATGTCTGTGGGAGCATGGGCAGCTCATGTCCTGTTAGATTTTTGATTAAGGCTTTAATATTTATCCATAAAGGGTCTAGTTTGGGGCAGTGCCAGAGAATGTGGCTCATGGTACCCTCCCATTGCTCACATCTCCATCATGTTGGGGACACCCCTGGGTAGATATATGCCAGACATTGGGGGGTCATGTACCATCTCATCCACACCTTGTGTGCGGATTCTAAATGGTTCAGGTAGTGTGTGACCTTCTTTGTGTGAGAGAACGCTAGTTTCCATTGTGTCGCTGGGATAATGTTTTTTTTCTTTAAGTGTTAGCAGTCATATAAAATTTATACAACAGCAGAAAACAAACTCCTAAAACACTAAATACAAGGTAGGATGGCTTATAATCATGCACAGTTTCCCTGCATTATTACAAGGCATGAAGGGAGAGGCAAACCCTCCACCCCCCAAAACATAGTAGAAAATAAATATTCGCTTCAACTCCCCTAAAATGAACCAATGGACTCTGCAGTGTTTCAAAGTACCGTTACGTACGGTAATCTTTTTGTTTATGGCTGATATCAAAACATACATTTGGAATTTTCTCATAGAGCAAACTTAAATATATACACAGTACATGGTAGCTAAAATTGCAAAATAGCCAATAGCCAATTTTATTCTTCAGAAAGGGTCTCCAGATTCGTTCGATGTTAGGTGATATTTCGGCAATAAAGTAGGATATAAATCTGTAGTTCCAGAAGCCACGGTTTCTGTTCCTATGAAAAAATATGAATCAGAAAAATCAACTGAAACAAATGGTACCGTTTCTATCTCAGTTACTGTATGAAAGTTAGTTTGTAAAGAACTGAGATGGTCTGAATTCTCTAATATATAGACAGTCTGACCATACCAGGACTGCCATCAGAAACGTTGGGGACCCTTACAAAACCATGGGTCGCTCCCCCAGTCATAGACTTCCAGGCCCACATACGTACTCACTCATATACACATATTCCCAGACTAAGAAACAAAGAGATATGCATTCAAAGACTCACCAACATATACACTACCAGAAACATACACACAGATAGACAGTGTTGTACACACCCCCCCACTCCAAGACACTCACTGTCTGATAGACATGTTGAATTACATACAATACACTATCCCTTCCCTCCTGGTTCCCTGGGGTCTCGCGGGAGTAAGCTGGAACAGGTTTACAGCATTGTTTGATCTGGGCCGAAACAGAAACTGAAAATTCAGGATGCCCTTAACCGAAAAAAATTGTTTAATGAATTTAATTAATCTAATATGAAAAACTTCCCTTCTCTTCTAGTGGTCCCCCCTGCTTAATGTTCCTCTCTCCCCGCTCTAGTGTTCCTCTCCCCTCCCTCTTTTTACTGTTCTTTCCTCCCTCCTCCCCAGTCCCATAGTGTTCCCCCCTCTCCCCTGTCCCATAGTGTTCTTTCCCCCATCCCCTGTCCCATAGTGTTCTTTCCCCCTTCCTCTGTCCCATAGTGTTCTTTCCCCCTCCCCTGTCCCATAGTGTTCTTTCCCCCTTCCCCCTCCCCCCCTGTCCCATAGTGTTCTTTCCTCCCTCCCCTGTCCCATAGTGTTCTTTTTCCCTCCCAGTCCCATAGTGTTCCTTCCCCTGTCCCATAGTGTTCTTTCCCCCTTCCCCTGTCCCATAGTGTTCTTTCCCCCTCCCCTGTCCCATAGTGTTCTCCCGCCTTTCCTGTTCCATAGTGTCCCCCCCACCCCGTCCAAAGTGCAGTATTCTTGACTTTTCATGTTATCATTACTATCTTTCATTGTGATATATAATCATGAATTGTTAATGCAAGCATGTCTGTTAAACTATGCAGTACAAAAATAAAAAATATAAAAAAGAATTTTCAAAATCAATCCGCAGCGACATTCCATTTGTTTCCATGGCGATTGCTCTATTCTTTGCCATAGAATAGCCCTTAATACAGAACCTCACATTTCTTATTTAATTATACCACATTGATAGAAAAACAAATGAGTTGAAGAATAAGGAATACAGAAGAAATGGGGCACGATTGAACAGGAAGAAAAGGCCAACGATCTCTTACCAGACACCTGCACAGGTTGGCTGTTGATTGGTCGGGGTACATCATAGATGTCGGCATCATCGTCACTATCGCTTACTTTAGAAAATAAATACATTAATAAAACACTAGTTAGTGGTCATGTAACAAATACAAATCTGAGACCTAGGAAAAGTAAACAGGAAGTTCTAATTATTATGACTTACTGTCTGCAGGGGAAGCTCTGTATACGGTGTGATTATGGGGTAAGGTGGGTTATTACCCAGAATCCCTGGCTGCAGGGGGAGCTCTGTATACTGTGTGATTATGGCGTAAGGTAGGTTATTACCCAGAATCCCTGGCTGCAGGGGGAGCGCTGTATACTGTGTGATTATGGGGTAAGGCGGGTTATTACCCAGAATCCCTGGCTGCAGGGGAAGCTCTGTATATTGTGTGATTATGGGGTAAGGCGGGTTATTACCCAGAATCCCTGGCTGCAGGGGGAGCTCTGTATACTGTGTGATTATGGGGTAAGGCGGGTTATTACCCAGAATCCCTGTCTGCAGGGGAAGCTCTGTATACTGTGTGATTATGGGGTAAGGCAGGTTATTACCCAGAATCCCTGGCTGCAGGGGGAGCTCTGTATACGGTGTGATTATGGGGTAAGGCGGGTTATTACCCAGAATCCCTGGCTGCAGGGGAAGCTCTGTATACTGTGTGATTATGGGGTAAGGCGGGTTATTACCCAGAATCCCTGGCTGCAGGGGGAGCTCTGTATACTGTGTGATTATGGGGTAAGGCGGGTTATTACCCAGAATCCCTGGCTGCAGGGGACGCTCTGTATACTGTGTGATTATGGGGTAAGGCAGGTTATTACCCAGAATCCCTGGCTGCAGGGGGAGCTCTGTATACTGTGTGATTATGGGGTAAGGCAGGTTATTACCCAGAATCCCTGGCTGCAGGGGGAGCTCTGTATACTGTGTGATTATAGGGTAAGGCCGGTTATTACCCAGAATCCCTGGCTGCAGGCGGAGCTCTGTATAATGTGTGATTATGGGGTAAGGCGGGTTATTACCCAGAATCCCTGGCTGCAGGGGGAGCTCTGTATACTGTGTGATTATGGGGTAAGGCGGGTTATTACCCAGAATCCCTGGCTGCAGGGGGAGCTCTGTATACTGTGTGATTATGGGGTAAAGCAGGTTATTACCCAGAATCCCTGGCTGCAGGGGAAGCTCTGTATACTGTGTGATTATGGGGTAAGGTAGGTTATTACCCAGAATCCCTGGCTGCAGGGGAGCTCTGTATACTGTGTGATTATGGGGTAAGGCCAGTTATTACCCAGAATCCCTGGCTGCAGGGGGAGCTCTGTATACTGTGTGATTATGGGGTAAGGTAGGTTATTACCCAGAATCCCTGGCTGCAGTGGGAGCTCTGTATACTGTGTGATTATGGGGTAAGGCGGGTTATTACCCAGAATCCCTGGCTGCAGGGGGAGCTCTGTATACTGTGTGATTATGGGGTAAGGCGGGTTATTACCCAGAATCCCTGGCTGTATACTGTGTGATTATAAGGGGGAAGCTCTGTATACTGTGTGATTATGGGGTAAGGGGTTATTACCAGAATCCCTGGCTGGTATACTGGTTATTACCCAGAATCCCTGGCTGCAGGGGAGCTCTGTATACTGTGTGATTATGGGGTAAGGCGGGTTATTACCCAGAATCCCTGGCTGCAGGGGGAGCTCTGTATACTGTGTGATTATGGGGTAAGGCGGGTTATTACCCAGAATCCTGGCTGCAGGGGGAGCTCTGTATACTGTGTGATTATGGGGTAAGGGGTTATTACCCAGAATCCCTGGCTGCAGGGGGAGCTCTGTATACTGTGTGATTATGGGGTAAGGCGGGTTATTACCCAGAATCCCTGGCTGCAGGGGGAGCTCTGTATACTGTGTGATTATGGGGTAAGGTGGGTTATTACCCAGAATCCCTGGCTGCAGGGGGAGCTCTGTATACTGTGTGATTATGGGGTAAGGCGGGTTATTACCCAGAATCCCTGGCTGCAGGGGGCGCTCTGTATACTGTGTGATTATGGGGTAAGGCGGGTTATTACCCAGAAGGCGGGTTATTACCCAGAATCCCTGGCTGCAGGGGAAGCTCTGTATACTGTGTGATTATGGGGTAAGGCGGGTTATTACCCAGAATCCCTGGCTGCAGGGGAAGCTCTGTATACTGTGTGATTATGGGGTAAGGCGGGTTATTACCCAGAATCCCTGGCTGCAGGGGGAGCTCTGTATACTGTGTGATTATGGGGTAAGGCGGGTTATTACCCAGAATCCCTGGCTGCAGGGGAAGCTCTGTATACTGTGTGATTATGGGGTAAGGCGGGTTATTACCCAGAATCCCTGGCTGCAGGGGGCGCTCTGTATACTGTGTGATTATGGGGTAAGGCGGGTTATTACCCAGAATCCCTGGCTGCAGGGGAAGCTCTGTATACTGTGTGATTATGGGGTAAGGCAGGTTATTACCCAGAATCCCTGGCTGCAGGGGGAGCTCTGTATACTGTGTGATTATGGGGTAAGGTGGGTTGTGGCAAACCTAGCCACTTGGACATTATTTCTGTGGCAAACCTAGCCACTTGGACAATAACTAGAGACTGTGCCTTTAAGGGTTGCCTACAGGTCTGGAGAGATATGCGGTTTATTCTTATGTACGTGCTTGATGTATTTCTGTGGAGACTGTAATTACCTGTGCCGCCGAATGCCAATGGCGGTTTGTATGGGGATTCTCGTTCGTTTCACGAACGGCACTTTGGAGGGCAGTTCGTGAAGCGAATGCGATACCCTCTAATAGCCCACACACTTAGAGGCGTGTGGCGCTAGTTAACCGATTGCAACAATGTTGCAATCGGTAATTAGAGGCTCTCCTGGGTGGCCGTCGTTCGACTACCGACCATGCGGCGGTCGGCCATCTTGGATCCTTTGTTCCTCAGCGGGTCCGTGTTGTCGAACGCATAGTATTACCAATAGCTATTCGACGGCACGAACACCGCTGAGCCTCCAGGACGTTCGGGAGTTTCAGGACCAGGTTCACTAAAAGTAATCGGTTCTTTTCGTGGGTTTTGAAAGAAATGTGTTTTCTGTGCGGCGTTCGGTTATTTTAGCTGGGATCTGAGCGGCAATCTCACGAATGATGCGCCCAGACCCCAGCTATCTACCGAACGTCCATTCGTGTAAATCCACCGTGTATTGTAAAAGTTGTAGATTTTTGTGTGAATTGCCGGTTCTGCTGCACGAGGGGATAATCCCCTTAACGGTGCATTCTGGGAGGATGATCCCTCTCGTGCAGCAGTGCCTGATGGGAGAAATATGTTGTACTGTAAGTCCCCCATGTAGTCCCCTCTGGGAGTGCCCCTGGGGAGGGACTCAGGAAACCCCTTGCATGGGGACTTGTATAAATTGTCGTGCCGATTAAAGGATTTCAGTTGACTCCCAAAACTGTGTCTCGTCCGGTTATTGGGAGGTTGGGGATATTGCCTTGGTGTTTTCAGCGCTTGACTGTGGATTCGTTTCTGGAACAGCGGAATTCGTGGATTTAATATTGGCATTCCGCTACAATTTCTGTACTGTCTCTTTAAGGGTTGCCGGTATGGGGTTCCTATTGTGTGTTCCAGCATGTACTGTAATGCAATGTTAATAATGTATTGCCTGCCTGGGCTATCTGCCGAACGCAGATAGCTGATTCCCTTCGTTTCACGAACGGCACATTTGCGGGCCATTCGGGAACCGAACAAAATATCATTTAATAGCCCACACACTTAGAGGCGTGTGGCGCCTATTAACCGATTGCAACAATGTTGCAATCGGTAATTAGAGGCTCTCCTGGGTGGCCGTCGTTCGACTACCGACCATGCGGCGGTCGGCCATCTTGGATCCTTTGTTCCCTCAGCGGTGTTTGGTCGTCGAGCGCGTGGTACTAAAAATGGCTACTCGACGGCGCGAACACCGCTGAGCCTCCAGACCGTTCGGGAGGTCCGGGACATTCGGTATTTTGTTCCCTTATATGTAATCGGTATTTTAAGGCTATGTGTTAGTGAAAGTGTTTTTCGTGCGGCGTTCGGTTGTTTTAGCTGGGATCTGAGCGGTAATCTCACGAATGATGCGCTCAGACCCCAGCTATCTACCGAACGTCCATTCGTTTAAATGAACCAGATATTCATGGAGTTATTGAATTTAATGTGAATTGTGAGTTCTGCTGCACGGAGGGATAATCCACTTAACGGTATATTCCAGTGGGAGGATCCCTCTTGTGCAGCAGTGCCTGATGGGAGAAATGTCCTGTATTGTAAGTCCCCCATGTAGTCCCCTCTGGGAATGCCCCTGGGAGGGGACTCAGGAAACCCCTTGCATGGGGACTTGTATAAATTGTGGAGCTGAATTAAAAGACCTCAGTTGACTCCCAGCCTATGTGTCGTCTAGTTCTTGGGAAGGAAGGGTTACTGCAGTGCTGTTTGGATTATTGTATGCTGATTCCCTGGATTATCCTTTGTTGTTCCTGTTACCCAGCGGAGATATCGTGGATTATACTGCCTCTCCGTTACATGGGTTATTACCCAGAATCCCTGGCTGCAGGGGAAGCTCTGTATACTGTGTGATAATGGGGTAAGGCGGGTTATTACCCAGAATCCCTGGCTGCAGGGGAGCTCTGTATGCTGTGTGATTATGGGGTAAAGCGGGTTATTACCCAGAATCCCTGGCTGCAGGGGAAGCTGTGTATACTGTGTGATTATGGGGTAAGGCGGGTTATTACCCAGAATCCCTGGCTGCAGGGGGAGCTCTGTATACTGTGTGATTATGGGGTAAGGCGGGTTATTACCCAGAATCCCTGGCTGCAGGGGAGCTCTGTATACTGTGTGATTATGGGGTAAGGCGGGTTATTACCCAGAATCCCTGGCTGCAGGGGGAGCTCTGTATACTGTGTGATTATGGGGTAAGGCGGGTTATTACCCAGAATCCCTGGCTGCAGGGGAGCTCTGTATACTGTGTGATTATGGGGTAAGGCGGGTTATTACCCAGAATCCCTGGCTGCAGGGGGAGCTCTGTATACTGTGTGATTATGGGGTAAGGCGGGTTATTACCCAGAATCCCTGGCTGCAGGGGAGCTCTGTATACTGTGTGATTATGGGGTAAGGCGGGTTATTACCCAGAATCCCTGGCAGCAGGGGCAGCTCTGTATGCTGTGTGATTATGGGGTAAGGCGGGTTATTACCCAGAATCCCTGGCTGCAGGGGGAGCGCTGTATACTGTGTGATTATGGGGTAAGGCGGGTTATTACCCAGAATCCCTGGCTGCAGGGGGAGCTCTGTATACTGTGTGATTATGGGGTAAGGCGGGTTATTACCCAGAATCCCTGGCTGCAGGGGAAGCCCTGTATACTGTGTGATTATGGGGTAAGGCGGGTTATTACCCAGAATCCCTGGCTGCAGGGGGAGCTCTGTATACTGTGTGATTATGGGGTAAGGCGGGTTATTACCCAGAATCCCTGGCTGCAGGGGGCGCTCTGTATACTGTGTGATTATGGGGTAAGGCAGGTTATTACCCAGAATTCCTGGCTGCAGGGGGGCTCTGTATACTGTGTGATTATGGGGTAAGGCGGGTTATTACCCAGAATCCCTGGCTGCAGGGGGAGCTCTGTATACTGTGTGATTATGGGGTAAGGCGGGTTATTACCCAGAATCCCCGGTTACAAAAGCACTAGGTATAATTCAAATTATCATTTCTTAATTTACCTGTGTCTTTAGCAGGACTATTAAAGGCAACAAAGTTGGGGATCTCATAAACTCCTTGAGGCCCGTCTTCATCATCTCTGTGCCTGTCTTTTTGGAGAGTAAATAATTTTTCTTATTAAACGTCATGGAGCAAATTTGCAGAGATATTCACAGTCCATAAAGGATTACTCCGGGCACCATAAAAACTTGATCACAATTAACTTGTTATGGTGCAAGTAGGTGCCGGGCGCTATCTTACATTAAGGGGTTAAACATTAAACACTATGGTTTTACCCCTAGCTTACGTTCAATGCTAAATTGTCTTAAAAAGAATATGTTGGCACGTGAATGCAGTACACCTGTCAATTTAAACTATTAAGGTAAAATAAGCACTTCTTTTCTTCTAGTGTCTATCTTTCTACCTACCTAAACATAGTATATGTTCATTTTTGTTTATTAAAGGTGCACTCTAAGGACGTTAGACAGGGTTTTTCAAGAAACTCAACATTTTTGCAAATACATCCAAATGGAAAAACTAAGGCAAAAACAGGGATGAAGAGAATGTCTTCAACTTGGCTACAGTCATATCCTTTTTTTTTTCCATTTGGATTTTATTTGCGAACAGGTGGAGCTTAGTGAATAACCGTGAGTGTCTTCCACTCCCACTCTGTGGTGTGTGTGTGTTGGCTGTGTGTAATGTGTGCGAATGTGGTGTGTGTAATGTGTGCAAATGTGGTGTGTGTTGGATGTGTGTAATGTGTGCGAATGTGGTGTGTGTTGGATGTGTGTAATGTGTGTGCATGTGGTGTGTGTTGGCTGTGTGTAATGTGTGCGAATGTGGTGTGTGTAATGTGTGCAAATGTGGTGTGTGTTGGATGTGTGTAATGTGTGCGAATGTGGTGTGTGTTGGATGTGTGTAATGTGTGTGCATGTGGTGTGTGTTGGCTGTGTGTAATGTGTGCGAATGTGGTGTGTGTAATGTGGTGTGTGTTGGATGTGTGTAATGTGTGTGCATGTGGTGTGTGTTGGATGTGTGTAATGTGTGTGAATGTGGTGTGTGTTGGATGTGTGTAATGTGTGTGAATGTGTGTGTGCTCTGTCTTCCCACTTTCCTGTAGAAAGATATCTTCCTATGGGAAGGGGAAGGGAGGCAAAACAGAGAGAACACACAATACACACAGCCAGCACCCATCACATTCACACACATTACACACCACTGCTACAGAAGATGTGTTATTGTGGATTAAAATCCCTGGTGGTCCAGTGTAGGAGTGTGCAGACTGCACTTCCAACTTGTGCAGACCGCAGTAATCGCTCTTTCATGGTCCGTAATTCAGTGAATTGGAGTGCAGCTGTCGGTATTCCCAGCCTGCACTCTGACTTATTAATAAACATCAGACCATGAGGAAGCAATTACTGTAGTTTGCGTTTGCCAAAGGTGCAGACCAGATGCTGCCTGCCCTGGACATGTCCTCCCCAGTCAGTCATGCCATTTGTCTGCTAAACGCAAAAAAAAAAGAAAGCCTATTGGATGCCAGAAAGTGCATATACCGGATGTTGGGCGATATGAATTCCCAACCTCTGAGTGGTTTAGTTGCTTAGAGTGTCCCTATAACAGCACAATTCGAGTAGATTAATTTACAAGAACAACCACCCTAAATACACCCTCCATTTTTGTTTTCAATGTTAGTTTTGGATGTGGGTGTGGGCGACTGGAAAGCTGTATGAACGCTACGTACAGAACCGTTATGGCCCTACAGATAAAGAGTCTTTAACTATAGAAAGTCTTTCGCAAGACTCTAAATTTACCTGCTACCCCCTAGATGACACCATTGGGCTCAAACATGGGAGGCAATTCTATATGGAGGGACATCAGGATTGCATTCGAGAGGCCTGCATTGCTGATGCCCGCCAACATGGCGCCTGAACCCCAGAGTGAGCCAGAGGCCTCAGAAGACTCGTACTAGGAGTGGGAATCCTTCACCTCACCGCAATCCGGTGAAGTCTATCACAAGTCTGACTCAGATGAAGATACATCTCCATCCACAAAAGTGGACATTAAGCGTCTGTTGGTGGACCTGAGACATGTCTGGAAGGAAGACTTGAGAAAGACCCAGGCAGAAATAGGTCTCTTAGAACAGGAGGTGAAGGAGAAGGAAAAATCAACTTTAAGTACTAAATCCTACTTGGAAGGACTTGCCAAACAGATCCAGCAACTGCACAGAATGGTAGCCTTGCTTGAATCCAGACACCGACGTTGCAATATATGTCTGAGAGGCATACCTGAAGATAACCTACTCCCTTTTGTTCAGAGGCTTACTACCTCTATGGACCTTGAGTGTGATGCTGACACCCCACTTATATTATCCACTTTAAGCTTGCGCAAATCATCAGCAGCACCTGCAGAAGCCCCCAGAGACACCATAGCCACCACCAGAAACTTAGTGTTGAGAATCACCATTATTGCCAGTTGCATTAGGACCTGTTAACTTTGAAGTAAGGGCTGTGGCTATATATGGTGACCTACCATTTTCTGTTTCAACAGAAAAGTGGCAACTGGCTCCAGTAGCCAGAAGATTGAAAGATCACTACATTAGAAAACGATAGAGCACAGAAGGGCACAATCTGGGGCAAAAGCAGCGGCTACTTAGCCCAAAACTACTCAGGGGTGCGCCACCCACATCGGGGGTGCCCCCAGGAACCCAACAATACCAGGAACAGCGGAGTCACAAATGTGTCCTACAGAGACTGAAACAGAGGCGAGGCGGCTGCCCACCTCGGCGAGAGAGCCTTCAAGCGACAGCTTTGCAAACTACCCCCCCCTTTGGACCGGCGGGGGATATCCCGGTCCCCACTGGTCACAACAGCCAGGAAGGAAAATAAGCGATCCAGCTAGAAGCAACACTCGGGTAACTGGCCCACATGGTGGTACCAAGATGGCCACACAGCACAAGCACAGAGACCGGAACACTTGCACCCAGCTACCCACGTCCCCTCTGGAGACATTTGACTACCTGTGCACAAGCTACAGGGACACCCTGCAGAACAGAGGAGCGACATACCGCCAGGCGGAGGCAATGGTAACCGCTTGGATCCGGCCGACTGCACAACGCAGCTACTATAGACAGACACCACGGGCATCCAAAATGGCGGTCCGGCAATACAGACACCAGCGGGCCCAGAGTGGGAAAATGGTGGTAGGCATATCGGGTGCACCCTCCCACTCACAATCTAAAATCCCCGGGACTACAAAGCACAGGATACAGCCAAGCATCTCACCTGACCAATGTCTCGGCACTCAACGAAACGGGGACCAACTCTGCACAAAGAGTGACACTACACAAGTGACCCAGCACCTGCAGCAAAATCACAAGATGGCGCAGGGAACCACTGCTGTACCTCCAGAACGCTTGAGGTACTGGCCGAAAGCCGGAATTGGATGAACTCCTCTTTGATTTGGGGTCCCAGAGACTGAAACCTCCAACCACCGAGGATATAGTAATGACCCATGATTTGACTTTCCTGTAAACTACCCACCTCCTTGCCTTTTAGTATAGCGAGCAATAGCCTCCATCCCTGCATAACTCCTTCAGTGATAAAACACACAAGTAATGTTATGGCGCTGAATTTTACTATAATATATACTAATAAGCAGCACCATATATCGTGAAAAAGCTCAATCACCTATATTAAAACAATGTAAGAATAAAGTGCGCTGTGCCTTTAAGACTAAATATTTATAAACAGTGAAAATAATTTGTGCAATACTGTGCAAATAAAGTGATCAAGTGCATCAATGTGCAACACACTTAAACATATAAATATGCAAATTGTGCAGACAAAATATTTCTTTGTGCAACCAATTATGTGCAAAAGACAATACTTAGCTTCCCAATTATGGAAAATGCTTAGGAGCTTCTGTCAGCAATCCAATATATGTCTCAAAAAAGAAGGGAAATATACAATCATAGGGTAATATATACATGAGCAATAATAAAGAAAATGTGAACCAAAAACACTCACAAGGGTAGAGCAATAAAGTCTGCTCTAAACTTTGCAGGCTTCTATTGCAATAATGTAGGCTGGAAACTGTGGTGAAGTTAAATCCTTTATTGCTTCTTTAAAAATATCGCTGTATTAGGCTGGTAAGTCCCACTTTTCTATTCACCTCCTTATGGTTAGTGCTGGTGTGTACAGTCTCTATATCGGCGCCGGCTATACAGAGTCTCTGTGTGCCAAAAAGACTTCCTGATTCCAAACACTTCCGGGAGGCGGGGCTTAGCGGCCGGTGAGCGTAATGACGTCAGAGCGTGATGACGCGTTTCGCCGAGGGGTTCGGCTTCCTCAGATCAGCTCCTTTCACACCACAGTCCCAATATATCATATATTATATATTATATATTATTTATCGTTCATTATTATATATTATATTGGGACTGTGGTGTGAAAGGAGTTGATCTGAGGAAGCCGAACCCCTCAGCGAAACGCGTCATCACGCTCTGATGTCATTATGCTCACCGGCCGCTAAGCCCTGCCTCCCGGAAGTGTTTAGAATCAGGAAGTCTTTTTGGCACACAGAGACTCTGTATAGCCGGCGCCGATATAGAGACTGTAAACACCAGCACTAACCATAAGGAGGTGAATAGAAAAGTGGGACTTACCAGCCTAATACAGTGATATTTTTAAAGAAGCAATAAAGGATTTAACTTCACCACAGTTTCCAGTCTACATTATTGCAATAGAAGCCTGCAAAGTTTAGAGCAGACTTTATTGCTCTACCCTTGTGAGTGTTTTTGGTTCACATTTTCTTTATTATTGTTCATGTACATATTACCCTATGATTGTATATTTCCCTTCTTTTTTTGAGACATAACTCCTTCAGTGCCTCGTCAGTGTGGCAACAATGTATATGTTTTCTCACCACAGTTGGTTAGCTAATGATAACACATTATGGCATATGCATAGACTCACTAGATGAAGTAGGGACTGGCCTGCTAGCTCTCATTGCTTTAAAAGATATGCATGTCACTATTAAGACACTGCTAGATCTGCTTACCTAAGACAGGACCAAACACTTCCTAACTGCCTATCGTATTGTTTAAACATGTTAAAAAAAAAATAAAAAAAAAATTCACGACTAACATAGAAATGTGTATATACTTTTGAACAACCCAATGTTACGCACACCACAGACAGAAGATATGCTGACAAGTTGAAACGTTATGTATACATGTATAAATGTGCTGACCACTCTTACACCACGTTAAGTTTACTATACCTGTTACTATAAAGCATGTGAATGCTATTGTGGCCGAACAAGCCCTTTGTTACCCTATGCACAATAAAAAAAAAAGAATTAAAAAAAAGAATGTGTTTACCTTTATATCCTATATACTGGTGAAGGTGTATAACGTGTCCAACTTCAATAAAATACATATTTAAAAAAAAAAAATTAAAATAAATGTTAATTTTAGCCTCATGTATTTTAAACCGGTTTAAATCTGGCACTTATTCCTGCTATTGCAGACACAGTAAACACAAAGTAAACAGGGTTTCTGTTATAACAGTGATTCTGCCATTGATGTCGTATTTATATCCATTTGTGTTTTTTTTGTTACCTGTTTGGTTTGTTAGGGGTACGTCAACCTGCATACTGATTGCATTTAGTTCGTCGTTCATAGTCTCTGAATTAGCCCTCTGTAGAAGTCCTGGGATGTCGTACCTATAATAAATACAGGTCATAAATCATGCCATTGACAAACAGTTATTGCCCAGTGACGTCGCCATACTGTACCACAAAAACTCATGTAAATACTAACTTTCCCACCCTACCTGGGCAATAAAGAATAGCCCACTAAAAACATATTCCAATGGATTTCGCAATGAATTGGTGAGTGATTCAATTCTGAAAGGACCATACTAATAGAAAAAAAGTTACCGTATATATGTGATCCTAAAACTAAAATCTCCAAAATGACTGCAACTGCTATATGAACACGGGAACAAATGTGGCAGACTCCTCGATAACCTCATGAAGCGTTGCAGAACCCAACTATACATACCCAAAATTAAGGACCACACCCAGCAAGTCTGCCACTTCCCAGAACAAATCTCTGCCACATTCCTTCTCTACTACAAGGAACGATACCACATACGCCAAGGACAACTCAGCAGGCGAGACGAAATACAAGCCTATCTTGCAACATCCAGACTACCATGAATTGAGGACCACAAACGCAAAACGTTAGAGGCCCCCATCATGACAGACAAATTAGCGTTTGCCATCAAAAAAGCACAGACGGGCAAATTGCCTGGACTCGATGGCCTACCCCTCCTATACTACAAAACCTTCTCACCAGACCTCCTCGCGAAATTACTGACAGCCCTGAACTCCATCTTAGAAGGAGCGATACCCTCTACACAATTTACTGCCGCTAATATAACTCTTCTCCCAAAAGAGGGCAGAGCTATTGCCTGATCTCAGTCCTGGACGTCAACATCAAGCAGCTGGCCAGCGTCCTGGCTAACCGCCTGGCCCCACTACTACCAGATTTGGTAAACCCGGGTTTCATCTCGAGCAGAGAGATCCAAGATAACACCATCTGAGTGGTGAACCTGATCTCGGAAGCCGGGAGGACCTGTCAACGGATGCCGAGAAGGCATTTGACCGGGTAGTTGGGACCTTATGTTCGGAACACTCCAGGACCTAGGCATCAGGCCAAAATACATCACCTGGATACAAGCGCTATACACCTGCCCGACAGCACGACTGCGGATCAACGGTGCTCTCTCCAAACTGTTTCAGATCCACAACGGAATCTGCCATTGCTACCCACTCTCGCACCTGCTTTTTGCACTCACACTGGAGCCCTTCCTGAACAACATCAGAAACAACAAACACATCCACGGACTAGAAGTGGGTCGCATGCACCACAAAGTTCTCGCCTATGCGGATGACCTCCTATTCATAGTGAGGGACCCGACCGCCACCCCGCAAGCGTTCACGACGGAATTTGAAACCTATGGCCACATATCCAACTTGCGAATCAACGACACAAAATCAGAAATCCTAAGCCTCAATACCAACCCCACTCAGCGACGGACAATCAAACAACACTTCCCCTTCCATTGGTGTGACACCCAGATGAGATACCTAGGGATATGGCTCACACCAGACCCGAAGGATCTATACGCTCACAATTACACACCCATCCTCAATGCAGCAGTAGAAGAACTACACACTTGGAACTTTTATTGCATTTCCTGGCTAGGCTGAGTGAATGCAGTCAAGATGACCTTACTCCCTGAACTCCTCTTCATCTTCTAAACGGTACCAGTCGCGGCCCAGAAGACCATCTTCACAGCCATACAGGCAGAAGTCCGCAAATTTGTTTGGTGGGGTAGAACCCCCCGCATATCTCACTCCCAACTGACGCTCCCCAAACTTAGAGGTGGACTAGCCCTGCCAGACTTCAGAAAGTACTTTCTAGCGGCCCACCCCACCATAGTCATCAGCTGGTCCATGAAGGTGAGAGAAGCCATGGGTGCAGCTGGAAACAGACAGCACCAACTGCGATCTACGAACCCTGCCCTGGTTCAAGAAAGAACTGAGCAAACATATTCAACTCCCGAACCCGTTTGGGAAAGCCACACTCCAAACCTGGCACCAAAATGGCACCAAATACAACCTCACGACCGACCCAAGCCCCATGCTCCCCCTGCGGGGAAACCCACACTTCCCAGCAGGTGACCACGGCCCTCTCCCACACCTGATGAACCGAGACAAGATCGTCTGCATAGCTGATATGATACCCTCGCCATGCATAATACGCCCGCTAACCGACTTCTTCCCAGAACAACAACACACATTCCTACACACAATGGCAAGGGAACAAATATCACACTACTCCCGCTCAATACCACAAAAACCCAGCATACTTTGGGACCGAACAGAATTCGAATCCCTTTGCCTGCAAGACACACTACCACCAAGGGCTATCTCCCAGATTTACACCTCACTGGTGACAAGCCGCTACCTCATAGCACCACCTTGCATCAGACAATGGGAAGAAGACCTCAATGAAACAATCATGGAGGCTGACTGGGACAAAATCATCAGACACACCCAAAAAACCTGCACGGCTACAAGAAATACGAATACAAAGTCCTCACAAGATGGTACATCACCCTGGCTATCCTACACACCCGCGATCATAATATGCCCGACACCTGTTGGCGCTGTGGAGAAGAGAGAGGCACCTTCCTCCACACCTGGTTGGACTGTGCTCTCATTAGGCCATTCTGGGGGACAATCGGCCCACAAACGCCAGCCTCATATCTCCTCCACCACCACACTACGACGCCTATAAAAGATCAGTGACCCCGAGACTCCTCAATGCCGCAAAAGCAACCATCCCCATATACTGGAGACAAGCATGTGCCCCCCCCCATAAATCGATGGGTGGAGGAGGTGGAGGACACACAAAAATATGAAGACCTGAAGGTTGCCTCTGCGAAAGATTAAGAAAGATACACACAACAATGGTTCTACTGGCTGAGACACATCTCCTCAGATTAATTCATACAACATCTGGGAACCAGCTAAACAACCTGAGAGCAGAACAGGAGAACTCCTGTGGACCGCGCCGGTGGGGGCTTCACGGGGCGCGATGGGCTGGAGCGGTGACCGGAGGCTACGCCCAAGCAGGATCCCCCTTCCTTCTCTTTTTCTCTTCTTCCTTTTACTTGCTTTTCACTCTCCGTCCTCCTCCTCCCTTCTTCCCTTCCCCCATCTTCTAACTCACCCACCCCTAACACTTGAAACCCACCCCTTCCTACCCACCAACGTAGACCACAAGATACCACAGGACAACCTCTGACAGAACAGACCGACCCACCCCATAGACTTAACCCCACGCCTATGCCTCACACACTACCAAGAGATAGAGGACTACCACAGACGACACCCAGTAAACCCTAAGACACGACAAACGCTCACACCACCCAAACTTAATCACCTGCCAAAATAACCACACCACAACAACAGACCGATACACCACTCAATACTACACGAAAAAACTGACGCACACTCTAACTCACGTTAGTGACAACGAGCTTAATTATCAACATGAATATGTTGAAAAAGGAGCTGTAACTGAACATTAAAATAAGTACTAGACATACGTACACTCCCCTGCATGGGAAACTCGTTCAAATGTCCGATCTCAACAATAACAGAAATCCCACATTATAAGCCTCTGCGAAGGCAAATGTCAAAATGCCACTGATATACCGATTCTGCATTTCATATCGCTTGTCAAACATGCATTACAACCCCTGCGCGGGTAAACTGTTCCTTACATTGACCTCAATAAAAACGGATTTAATACAAAATGACTGCAAAACCATGCAAGGCCCTGGTAATCCTACAATATATATCTCATCATCGTTATTTATATCCTACAGAATGGATAGGCAACCTTGGAGTCTCCAGATGTTGTGGGCTACTCCAGATGTTGTGGGCTATATCCCCTCATTCTTTGACAGCATTATGGCTGTAAAGATATTATGCGAAAAACCTTTTATCGTTCCAAATCTACTACATTACCACCATTAAAGGCTTATCAAGAGGCAATAAATATGTGGGTTATGGGGGATGTAAAGCACCTGTCTTTTACTATATGGGGATCATGTTGACCGTATAGGCTTTTATTTTGTTTCTTTTTTCAAATGACTAACCAGGTTAGTCATTAAAAAAAAAAAAGGTGGATAAATGAGCTTCCACACTCATCGGACAAATTTTATTGAGAAACCCATCTGTTTATCAGGTTTGGCTGACATGAAATCCAGTCAAAACGTGACAAAAATATTGTCCAAAACAAGTCAATAATTCACGACTGGTTTTCAGTGACAGAATGGAATTGAGGCCTTAAGCTATGAAAGATGTTTCTCATAAATAAAAATATAAAGTTCTCCTTGTTCTTTACAAAATATTTTAAAATGTGTATAATCATCTCTCCTCCATGAATAACATAAGGACCCATCTGCAGATCAGTGCTGTTTTCCAGTAATATATACCATATGAAGCATTTTGCAGTGGGTTCTAGGGTCATCCTTCTAGTTAGTATCAGATGGGTATTTACCAGTGATGGCTGACCTTGTTTTTGAATTATATTTCCTATAATGATCAGCCAGTCCAAAGCCTTTATTGGCTCATTCATACCATGTGCAGGAGGAGTTATGCCGGCCTGGTCCAGGTAATTGCATCGCTTTCCATAAAAATGCCATCCATACATCCCGTAGCTCAGCTGTATCTGCGGACTGGTGACACATCACAAATTTAGCTCATTGCACAATTATTGAAAATTCCAAACTTCGAAAGGACCACTCCAGGCACGATAACAGCTTTGTTGGAATGTAGGTCCCGGGCGTCTGCTTACCTGAAGTGGTTAAACCATTAACAAACTGTTTAACCCAAAAGTCTTCAAGCTGGCCCCACATCGCTCTTCCACTGAACTTTCACTCAATGTCCGAGGCCTCAATCACAAAGACTCAAAGCCTCTTTTCTCAATGTGTAGCTAGTGATAGGCAGTGCACATTACCTGATGTTGTCAGGCAATCAGTGGTGCCCTGTTCGAAGCTTCCTGATTGAAGCCTTGGACGTTGAGCGCAAGTACAGGGACAGAGCGATCATTCTGATGATGTTGTTATGGTGCCCGGAGTGGCCCTTCAACCCTTATTCCCTATTTCTCATCCAACACTTCATAAGCTACTGACCTACCTAATTATCATGTTGACGTGCATGCTTTCTCAGTAAGGAAAATGGGGTGCAACACTGTTACATTGATTAGCCAGTTTAGCCAAGCATATATGAAATCTGGTTGAACCAGGACCTTACTGGCCATAGGGCAGACTGGTCCAGTGCCTAGTGGCCAAGAAGCCTCAGAAAGATTCAATTTCACAGTTAGGATTACAGTCTGCCTGTTGTTAACACAAAGCCGTGCCGAGCTGGTCACTGGATTGGGGTGGCTGTATACTTAATGCCTTGCTGCTTCCCCGGTCTTTCTTCCCCTTCACCTGCCTTCTAGAGAGTGCTGCTGTATCAATCTTCCTTATTGTTTTTGTTAAGAGGCTGCTTTCCAGTTCAGCCACTTGACCTTGCTAACATTTGCATCTTACATTGAAACAAAAATTGAAGCAGATCTGTCACTTTTAGAAGTCTTTGCAAATTTATCAAAATCCCCGAAGGTGACACAGTGGTAAGGGTCAGGTGGCCAACAATTGCAACAGAAGGTAGGTTTACATACCTAAAGATGTTCCTTAGGGCTACCACCATCTTCTTCCGTAGGTCTTCTTCATGCGCAAATACAAGAGTACATCACTGAGGTCTATGGAGGATTCTGCTAGGAAGCAAAGTGCCTCAATAGACATCTTTTGATGAACAAGACCATGCCTGAATCCCAACACCGTCACTTGTGATGGCTGCTGGGATTGGACAAAAGTTGACAGCGGACCTCTGACTTTTGTCACCCTAAAAAAAAAAAAGTCTGCTTTGTCTTATGGGATCTTTGAATTGCGTTGGAATTCCAATACAATTTTAAGGCAATCATCACCAGTATTTCATTAAAATGATACCTTTATGAAATACTGAGAAGATGTAATAAAGTTGCTTTACGAATGTGCTGTAATTTTTTAAGGTGAAGGGTGATATATAAAAAACAAAATTTCCAGTCCAGCCCAGATCTAAAAACTAGTACTGGTCTGTAAAAGGACAAATGAAAGGAAATACCCAGGCGGCACTGAGAATTTTTTTTCATCCCTTTACTTCTAAGAAAGCACGCCATCTCTTGCCCAGCATAGTAACCATTAAAAACACGTTATTTATTCCACTCACCAAGAGTTTCCTCTTCCCATTTTTCATAACAATCTCGAACTGGAAGCCAATGTCTGAGTTCGTCAATTTTCGGACTGACAGCACCTAAACAATAACAGCAAGACAAAATATAAATAATATACACGGATACAATGTTAAAGAGTCACGTTATTTTACAGGGAAAAAAAAGAAAAGTCACATTAGCTTCCAGCTATTTAATTGTATTCTTGCGTATACAGCAGGCAGCCATTTTGTCTCTCTAAGACACGCCTTCTTCCTCATTTGAATTCCATACTGAGATATTACATCATGGGGCTGTGAGCTTACATTAAGGTGTGGGAGTGGGCTTTATACAATAATTATGAGTTATGATTGGCACGCAGACTGAATTCTCTACCCCACAGAACTTACACTCTAAATAAAACGTTGTCAATTCTGCCCAGTTTGGTAGAAATATTTTGGCCTAACTTTTTCCATTTTCTCGTCAGTATTCCACAACTCCCAATTTAGTGAACCTCTCCATTACACCACTTCAAGAAAAAATAACTCAAATATGTTTGTAGGATTCTACATTTGCTACGCTCCACAAGGCTCTTTCCAAAACTGGAATCATTAAACAAAATCTCAGTGGTAACCAGATTTATATCTAATATTTTCGTTTTCTTTAATACACTAGCTGTGTAGAGAAGGTCAGATAGCGACTCACTCATTACTATGATCACTGATACAAACAGTCACAAGCCATCATACTTGACAGTAGTTATTGTCAAAGGGGAGGGGGGTGGGGTTATATAACAGGATACATTGCAGCTTAAAGGACCATTATAGTGCCAGGAAAACAAACTCGTTTTCCTGGCATTATAGTGCACTGAGGGTGCCCCCACCCTCAGGGTCCTACTCCCTCTGGTCTGAAGGGGGAGGAACGGGGTTACTCACCTTTCTCCAGCGCCGGGCTCCCTCGGCACTGGGGACTCTCCTTCGGTCGTCATCGGCTGATTGCGCATGTGCGTCAAGAGTCGTGCGCGCGTTCAGCCAGTCCATAGGAAAGCATTCTCGATGCTTTCCAATGGACGCTGGCGTCTTCTCACTGTGGAAATCACAATCACAGTGAGAAGCGCGGTAGCACCTCTAGCGGCTGTCAATGAGACAGCCACTAGAGGCTGGATTAACCCATAGGTAAACATAGCAGTTTCTCTGAAACTGCTATGTTTTCAGCAGGCAGGGTTAACCCTAGATGGACCTGGCACCCAGACCACTTCATTGAGCTGAAGTGGTCTGGGTGCCTATAGTGGTCCTTTAAATTTGGAACTAAGCATCAATGAGTAAAGAGCAGGAAATACACACAATTGATCTGTGATCATCAGAGCCTTATACATTCTTTAGGAGTTGGTGTTATTGTTACCTAAATGTTGTTATACTTACGTTGTACATGTAATATTGGCCTCGAAGAGTAGCCTAGAATACAATGAGAATTCGGTTAGTATTGGCAATCCGGTGTGAGATTCCACGGAATGATGCAAAAAATGTTTTCAGATCCGCTATTCCTAGCCAATAAATAAATAAACTGAGCCGGGGAATACTTTAACAAGAATGGAATTTAGTCTCCGGTCACTGAAACATAACATATCACAAATGTAAAGTTATAGAAATTATGGAAGATTCTACAATTTAAAAAAAATACCGATGTGTGTGTATATATATATATATATATATATATATATATATATATATTTTTTTTTTTTTTTTTAAAAGGAGAGAATATGCAATTTTGAAATTGGCGTCTCCCACAGCTCTACAATCAGTAGCATATCACTTGGATTATCGGTATTTGTATAATACAAAAAACTCCTGAACATTAGTGTACTTACGGTCAGGACTTCTCCTGGGATGTAGAAAAACAAGGTTGTGTTTTGAAGTTTAAACCAATATTTTGACCATGTGAACTTCTGTAAAAGAAAAAAATGTATATTAGAAAACTGCTCCTACCTCTCCCTTTACAACGTCTACAACTCCTCCCCTTACAACTTATATAACCCCTCCCCTTACTGCTTCTATAACTCCTCCCCTTACAACTTATATAACCCCTCCCCTTACTCCTTCTATAACTCCTCCCCTTACAACTTATATAACCCCTCCCCTTACTGCTTCTATAACTCATCGGCTGATTGCGCATGTGCGGCAAGAGTCTATAACTTATATAACCCGGCCCCTTACAACTTATATAACTCCCCCCTTTACAACTTATATAAGTCCTCCCCTTACTGCTTCTATAACTCCCCCCTTTACAACTTATATAACTCCTCCCCTTACTGCTTCTATAACTCCTCCCCTCACAGCTTTATATAACTCCTCCCCTTACAACTTCTATATCTCCTCCCCTTACAACTTATATAACTCCTCCCCTTACTGCTTCTATAACTCCTCCCCTTACTGGTTCACGGAATATCGTCGTTCTTGTGGCGAAATTGGTCCCATAGGAATGAATGGCAAAATGTTCAAAACTAGAGTGGGAGCTGGCAAAAGCTGAAAACTTATATAACCCCTCCCCTTATTGCTTCTATAACTCCTCCCCTTACTGCTTTTATAACTCCTCCCCTTACAACTTATATAACCCCTCCCCTTACTGCTTCTATAACTCATCGGCTGATTGCGCATGTGCGGCAGAGTCTATAACTTATATAACCCGGCCCCTTACAACTTATATAACCCCTCCCCTTACTGCTTCTATAACTCCTCCCCATACAACTTATATAACCCCTCCCCATACAACTTATATAACTCCTCCCCCTAATGCTTCTATAACTCCTCCCCTTACAACTTATATAACTCCTCCCCTCACAGCTTTATATAACTCCTCCCCTTACAACTTCTATATCTCCTCCCCTTACAACTTATATAACTCCTCCCCTTACTGCTTCTATAACTCCTCCCCATACAACTTATATAACCCCTCCCCATACAACTTATATAACTCCTCCCCTTACTGCTTCTATAACTCCTCCCCTTACAACTTATATAACTCCTCCCATTACTGCTTCTGTAACTCCTCCCCTTACAACTTATATAACTCCTCCCCTTACTGCTTCTATAACTCCTCCCCATACAATTTATATAACTCCTCCGCTTACTGCTTCTATAACTCCTCCCCATACAACTTCTATAACTCCTCCCCTTACAACTTATAACCCCTCCCCTTACAGCTTCTATAACTCCTCCCCTTACTGATTCTATAACTCCTCCCCTTACAACTTATATAACTCCTCCCCTTACTGCTTCTATAACTCCTCCCCTTACAACTTCTATATCTCCTCCCCTTACAACTTATATAACTCCTCCCCTTACTGCTTCTATAACTCCTCCCCTTACTGCTTCTATAACTCCTCCCCATACAATTTATATAACTCCTCCGCTTACTGCTTCTATAACTCCTCCCCATACAACTTCTATAACTCCTCCCCATACAACTTATATAACTCCTCCCCTTACTGCTTCTATAACTCCTCCCCTTACTGTTTCTATAACTCCTCCCCTTACTGCTTCTATAACTCCGCCCCCTTTGTCTAGGAGCCTTTAGTGTCTCTTTTACTTTGAATGTCTAACATTTTACATTTTAGTAGATGACCGATCAGCAATCCAGCTATTACTTTGTGGAACATTTCGCCGAATGGTTCACGGAATATCATCGTTGTTCTTGTGGCGAAATTGGTCCCATAAGAATGAATGGCAAAATGTTCAAAGCTAGAGTGGGAGCTGGCAAAAGCTGAAAAATCAGGACATGATTTCTAAACTGCCGCCACTCCCTCATTTTTAAGCCCACCTACACAAATCTTATATCAAAATGTTCAGCTATCCCTGCTGCCACTAAAGATGTCCACGGCTAAGCCGTAGTCCTTATAGTTTTCACAATATGACCATTTGTTTGCAACTCACGCCGTCCATTGACATTCATTGAAACTCCACTCTAGCCAGCTCAAATTTGAAGGGCAATTTCTAAACTGCGACTGTGCCTTCAATTTTAATATTTCAGAGACATACTATGCATCAAAATGTAGGTCTGGGTCTTGTGATTCTCACAATATAAAGCTCTCTGCTGTAGGATGTATAGTTTGTGACCGTTTGAAGATGGCAACCGCCAAAATATTCTGACCTGTGCCAGGCTGCAGCAGCAAGTGATGTCATAGACAGGGCCTTTTGAACACCTGCTAATGTTTTATAAATGTATGGTTTAATGTAACTGTGAAGCACTTTGGGAAACAATGTTGCAATTAAATGTGCTATATAAATAAATAATAACAGTTACTCCGCCCACTCCAGTTGTAGACTACTGGCGGAGGCAAGAACACTTCACACAATTTCCCCAGAAATTGTAGCTTTTCTAGTTATTATTATTATTATGGCCATTTATATAGCCGTAGCGCTTTACAATATTATGAGAGGGGGGATTTAACTATAAATAGGACATTTACAAGAAAACTTACAGGAACGATAGGTTGAAGAGGACCCTGCTCAAACGAGCTTACAGTCTATTGTTAATAAACCCCTGGTATCACCAGGTCTCAGGCGGTTGGTGTAAGAGTATAATTGAAGCAGTGTCAGATATCAAACAATGAGGAGAGATTTTTTTTTTTTTTTTACAGAAACTGGTTTAAGCCGCAACAGGAAAAAAACAACAAAAAAACACAGACAGACATTCAGCATCATACTGGAAATATTTCACATGACGGACGCAGTGTGTAATTTGTTAAAAAGCACAAAGCGTTGAGGCGGACATTTGCATGAAAAATTTACTTTTAAGGAAATTACACACAGGGTGGTTTAATCACTGGACTCCAAATTAGAACAGATTGAAACCCAGTGGAATAATGAGGACCAGAACAGGGTGGGGGAGATCAATACAACCCGGCAATAGACGCAGTTTGCGTGTTTTAGTTTAAATTATGTCATTTCAATTTTACTTTTCTACCTTCAAACTTTAGTAAATATAATGAAATATCACCCCACTCTCTCTAATACTGGCTATTAACTTAGATGTTATTTTATTTATCTATATTTTTATAATGAGGTATTACACAGAGATAGGATCAGAAATGCACAATAAAATTCTAGTAGCCTGCTACCTGTCGTCTAAACCCCCTCCATTGTGTCTAGTTCTGCTGTGTGGAACGAGGCATTGTGAGGGGTTAATAGATGATGACTCTACTGAGAGTCAAATAAGACGCAAAACAACCAGTTAGAAAAAAAATATATATATTTAAATCAACCTAGACAATCCTAGGAATCACAGGTCAACGATCACTGATGGAATTGTAAGGTAATAAAGTGATATAGTCATACCTGCACACAGTTATATATTATATACGTACACAAGTAACATGTACCTACTTTATATGCACAGGTAACACGCAGAGACAGTTAATATTTACCTTTGCTACATTCATTACATGTTATACCTGCTGGATCAGCACAGCCCTTTAACTCTCAGAATTTACCTGCAATGCACACTTTGGGGCACACTGTCCGGGTTCTACTCTAAACAATAAATTTAGGTAAAAATAGCCAGGCTGAGACTATAGCTAAGTGGGATTATTTTTTTCACATCAGCTATTTAATCTGCTAAAATTTAGAGTTTAGAGATAACCCCCGTTTGTGGACTCTAATGGCAGGCTAAGGTTCATGGGAGTTGTAGCAACTACACATTTGCAATAGAACCGTTTGGAGGAGGTGGTCCCCAACCCAGTCCTCAAGTACCCCTAACTGTCCAGGATTTAGCTATTACCAACCCAGTCCTCAAGTACCCCCTAATTGTCCAGGATTTAGCTACTACCAACCTAGTCCTCAAGTACCCCCTAACTGTCCAGGATTTAGCTATTAGCCAGTGTGTCTAAGGTGTTTTTAGGAAAAAAGAAAAACATGTTAGACACAACAGGGTAATCCCTAAATCCTGGGCTGCTAAGGGGTACTTGAGGACTGGGTTGGGAACCCCTGCTCTAGAGGATGTAACCCTTCAGAGACAGTGCTCAGGTGCACAAGTTCTAAGCATCATAGGAGTTGTAGTTGTAGTTTTGCAACAGCTGGAGGTCAGTTTTCCCACCCTTTGCACTTAGAGCTATCTCTACTCTGGTTATAAAGCCCTATGGTTACCATATGTATTTCTCCTATTATGTAATATGTCAATAACAGCGGTTTATTGTCTTGACTACAGTAACAATCTGCTTACCATTGTATCTTTCCTCTTTCGTAAGAAGCCTTCAAACGACAAGCTCTCTCTGACAGATTCTTCAATTTTAGGAGAGAACCGGTTGGGTTCTTGAGGCTTGTTCTCTGCCATCGCTGTAAAAAGCTATTTAACTTCCTCATTGACCGCTCAACTTCCCCCTCTGTATTACCTTCCCGTACATAGACACAGGGAGTAACTTGCCATTCAACAGGTACGTTTAACCCTTTGTTGAGCTTGTTGAAGCTGCCTTTTACTGAAACATCTGTAACACAATCAGAGCTGCAGGATGAAGCTTAATCATTAGCTAATTCAGATTACTATTTTTCCAAAGTGGACTTTACCATGTCTGCTCTGTAAAACATTGATTTACGGGATTCCACCAGTTTACAGAAGGAAGAGACACATTTCACTGATCTACAGGGGCCACAGCAAAGCTTGCAGGGAAGAGTGACCAATGACATCGTCTTATGGGGTCTTACCATGTCTAATGCAGAGATTGGTTGATAAGTCTTAATTAATAGTAAGCATACACAGGGTAACTCACGAACGTCCGAATGGCCACTTACTGAATGGCGAAAAACCATCAGACTGCTTACGAGGTCACTTGGACTGAAATATTGTTTATGCAATTCAACAATGTCTGGATTTTGTAATTCAGCCAGACCGAATGCCGTCGGAGGCCTGAAATCCAGACCAAGTGAATTAAATCCACATAATTAACCCTTGCGCCACCGAGGGTTTTTAACTATTTGCCTGCTGGCTATTATTGCTGCTGGAAGGCAAATTGTTCTGTTTTTTTTTTTTTTAATCTGTTCCCGGATTTGAAGCATCCGGGACACATTTAAAAAAAAAAAAAAAAAGTTAATAATTTGGCCCCTGGCATCGCTAGCAGCCAGCGGATAAATATTTAAAAACCCTAAATGGCTAAAAGTTAAATTACGTGGCAGCCCTTGCACGCCCGCTGCCACATTTAAAAAAAAAAAGTTTTCAAAAAATAAATGCAACAATTTTTAAACCTAACTATACCCCCACCTATGATGTGGCTGGTGGCAGGATATCTACTAAATATTTCAAACTAGCGATAGGGCAGTCATTGGAGGGTGAAGGACTTTCAAATAAGTAATGGGGGGGACAGATTACCTGTCCCCACTTACTTGTAGCCAAAGGGTCAAGATGTTAAGTATAATAAGGGAGAGCATTGCAGTCCAATTAATTCATCTTTACGCATGGAGGGTGGACACAGACTGGACTGAGATTTAGTAGTGAAAATTATTATTATTATTTAGATAAGTAACTAAAAAAGAAAAAAGGAGAGCCTAGATATGAATGTGAGGCACGAATATGGGTAGAAACAAAATGGGGGGTAACCCCTAAATGGTGAATTTATATGAATACAAAAAAAGAAAAGAAAAAAACTACCATAAAGTGTCTTAACATTTTGGTAAATATAGTCACAATGAAATGGGCATAAAAAATAACTTTTAATGGATATATTAAAATGTAAAATAGAAAAGATAAAAGCAAAACAAAAAGCACAAGGCTAAAAAATAATATGTCCTATAAACTAGTAGGGGTATTAAACCTCCAATAGAACCAATAGCAAGAGAAGTGTTGCTTCAAAGAAATACTTATTGGTGTAAAGTAAAACTACTTGCTATGAACAATGTAACTGTATTCTAAATAGAGAAGTTGGATACTAGTATCTTCAAAACTCTTCCTGCAGAACAGGGTAGGTTGAATATAGATGAAATGCCTCTAGTGCACAAGGGGTTAAACAGCACAACAGTTGGTTGCAATGGTTAATAGAAAAGAGGCAGGGAATACCTGTAAAATAAAGAGGTATAGGAGACAGTTGCAAGCTAGGTTAGATATAATGGTCAGTAGAAATATAGAGACTATAGGTAATCCTGACGCTTGCTAGCAAGAGAGGTGGAAATACAAATACAATTCAGTTCCCCTCTGATGAGTAACCCAGATGAAACGTGCACGTCAGGGGCTCAGGAAGCCTAGCTTGACATTCCTCTCCTGCTGCACTTATTCAGCCGCGGTCTGACTAGCGATCTTACTTTTACAACTAGGCATTCTTTTTACTTGTCCTATCCTCTGTCTCTTTATTCCTTTTTGGGGGGTTGAGTTATATAGTATAGGCATTTATTAAGGGGTGCCCTCGAAGGCACTTAGTTTTTCTATCTTACAAGTGTCAGGATTACCTATATTTCCTACATCTCTATTTATCATTGTATCTAATCCTAGCTTGTTATTGCCTCCTATACCTCCCTATTTACAGGTATTCTCTGCCTCTTTTCTATTAACTATTGCAACCACATTGGTATGCTGTTTAACCTCCTGTGTATTAGAGATACTTTATCTATATACAGCAGACCCTGTCCTGCAGGAGGAGTTCAGAGGATACCAATTGTTTTGCTTTTATCTTTTCTATTTTACATTTTAATATATCCATTAAAAGTTATTTTTTAATGCCCATTTCATTGTGACTATATTTACCAAAATGTTGAGACACTTTATGGTAGTTTTTTTCTTTTCTTTTTTGTATTCATATATTATTTAGATAGCGCCATCAGATTCTGTAGCGCTGTACAAAGGGCATTGCCATGCTATGTCGGCTATTGCAAAGCATGGGAATATTTCCTACGCGTTGCAATATTAGCAAGAGCATTGTGATTGGTTGGCTAGTAAGAGCCTTCTCACAGCCAAGTCTCATTTCTCTCAAGACTAGCAGTCAGAGGCCAAATAGTGTTTGAAACTATAATTTACTTGCATGAAAGCAAGTGGAGGATAATTTGCGAACGTGCATCCTGCTTGATGCATATAATTCCAGTTTGTATTAAAACTGGTGCTTTGTAAATCTTCCAAACCCTATTCTTTGTAATTATAGATTTTATCCAGACGCCGAATGCATCCAGGTGGTTGCTGAAGATTTGCTTGTGCCAGACGAATTCTGACGGCATTTTGTGTTTAGTAAATATGAGATTTTCCAATGTAGAATTCAGTCATTTTCACTAGATTTTGTCGGTCTGACAAAATCTGGTGTTTAGTGAATAGCCCAGAAAAACGAGTGACTTATCACATTCATATAAAGCAACGTCAGGCTTTAAAGGTTGAATTCTACCCACCTACTCGATTTCTGGGGAGAGTGGGTGGGGACTCCCCCGATAATCAAGCGTAGAGGGCCTTTGTGTTAATGTTGACAAACCAGTTTGGTTTAAAAGATGATTGTCTAGTGTTCTGTCAACCTACTTATATAGTAGAATGGCTGGCAGGCAACAGGTTATATTACAAAAAAGGAACTATTATAAACACCTGGAGGATTTATAAGTCTTATTTACTTCAAGCACTTTACCTTAATTATAAAGAAACGTATCTGTAACTTTTAAAGGGACACTATAGTCACCAGAACCACTACAGCTTAATAGAGTGATTCTGGTGTCTGTAGCATTCCCATACTGCCTTTACAAAGAAAAAGTGTTTATATTGCTGGCTACTTACACCTCTAGTGGGAGTCACTCAGATGGGCACTAGAGGTGCTTTATATATCAGTGCTGGATAGTGTGCAGCACTGGTGTTCAGCACCTCCACGCTCTGCATGGAGGCGCTGAATGTTCCCCGTAGAGATGCACTGATTTAATGTATCTCTATGAGGAGATGCTGACTGGCTCGTCGGTTTGCCGCGCATGCGCAATAGCTTCACAATGCTTTCCTATGGGAAAACGCTGGATTGGCTGAGGTCATCAGAATTGATGATCTTAGCCACGGAGATGGGACTACGTGGGGCCAGCCTTGGGGAGACCGGTGCGGCGTGGTAAAAAAAGTGAGTAAAATATCCTTTAATCTCCGGAGAGATGTGGGCCAGGTGCCTAATGCTGCATTAGAGCACTGTAATGTCAGGAATACATGTTGTTCCGTTAGTGGAGAAATAAAGCTGTAATCATTAGTGAATCAATAATCACAAATCACGTTATAGAAGATGAATTGGAAAGGGATGAAGACTGGGTTGCACATCTTTTATTGGGACCATGACCCGACACGGGAATGATGCTCTTTAACACCCCTCTGCCATGATTGACAGCCGCAGCAGTGCATGCAAACATCAGCTGTCATTGGGCTATTGCTGGCTGCTGCACTTAAATAAACACTATAGGGTTAGGAATTTAAACCTGTGTTGTTAACGCTACAGTGCCCCATACCTAGTTAGATTCCCTCCCCCACGTTTGCCATAAAATTTATTAAATAAAACTTTTTTACTGAAATTTTTCCACTCCAAGGCTCCCTTGGCACTGCCGAGCCTTTTAACCTCCAGCCACATCATCAATGAGGCATAGTTTTCTCCAGCAATGGGCCAATCCAATGTTATTTGTGAAGGAGCATTGGGGACATGATGGGCATGGACAGTTAGTGCTGCATGCAATCAATCAGGGTAGAAGAAATACCTTTAGTGGCTGTAAGTATGACTCACTATGAAAGACACTAAAGGCATGTTTATCCCTTGCAGGTTTTACTTTGAAGGGTTCTGCACCCAGACCATTCCATTGAGATTGGAGTGGTCGGGGTGAGTTTAGCAGTCTTATTAAATCCTATCGTGGAAATTCGATTTTTACCATGTGCTATGGCATGGGCAAAGGATCTTGGATGCCAAATACCAGAAACAACATGGCTAAAATCAATGAATGTATTCAGATGATTGATGTTATGTGCCTCCCATATGAAACTAGCACGTAAGTTATTCTATAGATGGTACATGGCAATAATGTGCCCTTTGAAATTTGAAGAAATACTGTAAATGTGTGGGAGATGTGGGCACTATGATACACATCTGGTGGGACTGCCCCAAAATACAACCATATTGGTAAGCTGTGATAGAACATATTAAAACCCATACTAATGTTGCGGTGCCAAACGGTCCTACCTTTCTCATACGATTTATGTTTAAGGAGAAGTATCCGAATCCTGTCCAGTATTTGATCTTTCATATCATTATAGCCGCTCTGTCATTAATAGCTAAATATTGGCTGAAAACGTATAATCCACCAACGCTAGAACCATATATCTCAAGTGGGGAGTTCGGAGTAGCGGCCAGACGAACCTAATTATCACCTAACTTTTTGGCAAGATATTTCGAGGGAATGGACCATTAAAAAAACCATTTTACCGTCAGTCCTGTAACAACACAATTCCAACACTTGGTCATAAAGAAAATGTGAGCATGGAGGTTTCAGAAGGTAGCGGCTCACCTAGGACAAAAAAGGATCCCCCAAGCTTGTGTAAAGGAGGGCATCAGTATACCACAGACTCGGAGACTCCGTGATCCCAAGTATGTTCCCTATCGGGTGCAACGGAAGGCCCAGGTGTTCTGCCGCCAAATGCGGTGGGCGGTCTTCCAACGATCTGGTGATGCTTTGGGGGCAAGCCCCTCGTGGTCCTCAGCCTTGGTAGGCAGGAAGAAAGGCTGTGCCCGAGAGAGGCCTATTAAGCCCCCAGGCGTGAATTTATTTGTACTTATTGTTTTTTTTTGCAATGGTTGTACAGAGATTATTATAAACACAACTATGAAAGAGGTTTTTTTTTATTTTTCTATATTTTATTTATATCTGATTAATTTGTAATGTTGTGCTCTATATATATATATATACATACATAGGTTACCATAAGAAAGCGGTATCAGTCTTTAAAAACAAAACACTAGATGAGATGTATGATGAGTACACTGGAACAAACACAGCAAAGGTTAAACAAATCACAAACAAATGAAATTTCAGGAAAGCCTCAGTCACTAAGCGGTCAATTTAAATAAAAATATATCCTTACTTTATTTAAACAAAGCAGGAATTTATAAGTGTTGTAGTTTAGTCCACAGGTTCTTTCTGAGGTGAACTTGTTTAATAATAAGCGGTTATCAGCCATGCAGGAGCCTACTTATGCCTCTTTATAATAATATCGCTCCCTTAAATACCATTTGTGCCTTATAGTGCAATTTTTTCTTCTGTGTTTTATTTTACAGATCCATTCAGGTTTGAGAATGCTGGTAGAATAATTTCTATGTGCTCAGTGTACACACGCCACAGATTTGGATGGAAAGTTGGACGGCAAAGCAGGAAGCAAAATTCATCCTCTGGCCTCTGGAGGAAAGAGTGCGGTCTTATTGCTGCAGTTAAAGTGCTTGTGAGCTGTGACCGTGAAATTATTTTCAAATACTTTTTTTAATGAACATTTTTTGCAATTTTAAACATAAACATACATTGTTTAACAAACATAACGGGATAACAGAAAAAAAGAAAAAAAAGTGGGGGTGGGGAGGAAATCAAGTGAATAACGGGAAATAATCATAAGCTCATGAAATTTTATGCATCACAACTTACGTAATAAAAATAGGTAGCTGAGGTAATTAGACTGGTATGTTAACCCCTTAAGGACACATGACATGTGTAACATGTCATGATTCCCTTTTATTCCAGAACCCCTTAAGGGGTTAAAGGACCACTATAGTGCCAGGAAAACATACTCTTTTTCCTGGTACTATAGTGCCCTGAGGGTGCCCCCACCCTCAGGGTTCCCCTCCCGCCGGGCTGGATGGAGAGGAAGGGGTTAAACTTACCTCTTTCTCCAGTGCCGGGCGGGAAGCTCTCCTCCTCCTCTCCTCCTCTTCGGCTGAATGCGCATGCGGGCAGGAACCGCGCGCGCATTCAGCCAGTCCATAGCAAAGCATTCACAATGCTTTCCTATGGACGCTGGCGTCTTCTCACTGATTTTCACAGTGAGAAGCACGCAAACACCTCTAGCGGCTGTCAATGAGACAATAAAAAAATGGGTTAACCCTAGAAGGACCTGGCACCCAGACCACTTCATTAATTCACAATGCTTTCCTATGGACGCTGGCGTCTTCTCACTGATTTTCACAGTGAGAAGCACGCAAACGCCTCTAGCGGCTGTCAATGAGACAGCCACTAGAGTCTGTATTAACCCATTTATAAACATAGCAATTTCTCTGAAACTGCTATGTTTATAGAAAAAAGGGTTAACCCTAGCTGGACCAGGCACCCAGACCACTTCATTAAAGGACCACTATAGTGCCAGGAAAACATACTCGTTTTCCTGGCACTATAGTGCCCTGAGGGTGCCCCCACCCTCAGGGTCCCCCTCCCGCCCGGCTCTGGAAGGGGGAAAGGGGTTTAAACTTACCTTTTTCCAGCGCTGGGCGGAGAGCTCTCCTCCTTCTCTCCTCCTCCGTTCCGCCCCGTCGGCAGAATGCGCACGCGGCATTTCAGGATATAAAGTCATGCTGATTGCTGGATTATAATTGCACTTTCCTTGTAATAAGTGACAGACTAAGTGTTTGCTTGAATCGTTATTGACTTTCTCTGGTTATTTACTGTTCTGCATGTTGCAGCCGACTTCAGATAAGCAATAGCAAGGTGAATTAGGCCAGCTTCCCCAAACCCCGGCCCTCCAGATGTTGCTGAACTACAACTCCCATGATTCTATGAATGAAATAGACTGAGAATCATGGGAGTTGTAGTTCAGCAACATCTGGAGGGCCGGAGTTTGGGGAAGCCTGGTCTAAGGTAAAGGTAGATCTGGCAAGTTTTTGAGCGCAATGGTCTTTGTGAACACCGCAAACAGGTATGTATAATGAACATACTACATGTGACAAGCTATTAACTTTCATAGTAACTGTGTAATAAAAATGTCACAATAAATTCACACTGGCGTTGTAGTTGTTTTGATTTGTAAGCAGGAACTCCATACACAGCAGTAAAAATGTGCAGAGAGCCACTATCCAATTTATTTGCACTGTTATTGACCAGACTTGTGCACAAATGCGTTTCAGCTGGTTCAAAAGGATCAAATTCCTTTTAATCCACACACAAATGAGTAAATCGTCCGAGATTTAAATGTCATTTGTTCAACCCAGCTGAAATCCATGTGTGAATTTTTTATGTATAAACTATATGTATATCTTAAAGATAGGACTATAAGGACTCGAAGATTAATAGTTAACTTTTATGAGCTTTACATAAAACAGGTCAATGTTTCAGTTTTGTCCCAAAAAAACTTTCTTCATGTTGTCCTGAAAAGACAGGGAGAGAAGGCAGTCGGCTTCCCTCCCCAACAGCACAACAGAGTTAGATTATCGAGTTTTGTGCAGGATGATGTCAGGGTGGATGGGCCTGGTTGGGGCTGGTTACCTAACTAACTCAGGTACTTGGTTAGCCTACCCTTCAGGGCCAGCCTCTTGCACACAGACTCTGAGCCTGGTCCCAAGAGCTCTTGAAAGGGACTTGTGATGGTAGCAATCGATTTACTAACGATGCACTTTTAGTTTGATAAAGCTGCAGCACCGTCTCCTAACTGAATAGAAATATGGTATATTTACATAATTCTGGTATGCAAATTAGTGCAACCAAGGGGACGGGGCCTGAGCTTCATGGCGGCTGGACGTGCCTCGTGTGAGCTCCGAGCTCAATCTTCTCTTCTAGCCGGAATAAATGCACTCCAGCCAGCCAGAACCTACAAAAACGCCTGAAGCTTGATCGTACTTACCTCAGGAGCCAGCCGAGGTGCCCCGGGTCTGCCGCCCGCGGGTGCACGGGGCGTCCATCGAGGGTGTCGGGAGTGAGGCCTAGCAGTATCGCCGGATGGGTGAGGTGGCCGATTCCCCCGCTCTGCGCGACCTAGTGCCCTCCCAAGCCTGTAATACAGCCCTGTTCCCCGCCCCCCCCCCCGGACTGGTGGGGGTTATCCTGGTCCGCCCTAGCCTGTACCTGGAACCAAGCGAACTTAAATTAATCGCCCTAACTAGCTGACATATTGCCCCAGCAGAAACACACAAGATGGCTGCCCAACATACCCTACAAGAAGAAAACTCCCAGCAAACCGAACAGGAGCCTTTAAGCCCGGCACAGATCACTCAAAGGAGGCTGGATGAAATTTTTACCCGCTTCTGGGCAGGATTGGAGGCATGCCAAAAAGCAGCAAAGCCCCAACATCGGGAGGACGACCGGGAGGCTGAGAGCCGGATGGTGAGGGGGCCCCCTATGATGGTCCATGTCTCTAAAGCACATAAACCTCCTCCCATTAAGAGATCACCTAGGCCGAGTGCCACGAGGGGCAGAACCCAGCGGCATCGCCCACACAGGCAGAGGATCACCCGCTACAAGTGGCCACCTACCACCAAATCCTCCTGCTTACCCCTTAGAGGGGAGGACAGGGACCCCAGGAGCCCCCAAGTCCGTGGCACAAAGATGCTGGCCTATCAACAGGCCTGGGGCAGGAGGGATACCCAACAGAGCCATCGGACTGCAACAGCCACCCTCGCCCTCAATGCACAAGACTCACACTTCCCATCCTTGGGAATAGGCTGAATTAAAGCCCGCTGCCTAAAGCTGTACCGCAACTATGGGACTAACCGCTAACAACAGTTGCCACTGATGGGACCTCTATATATGACTCACATGGGCCAGCCTGACTGGGTTCACGCAGTCAGCAAGCACACATGCTCAGCCTGTTAATGCTATATGTGACTCACCCATACATAACAGCTAGACCTAGCCTGTATCAATCAGCTCATATGTTATCTTATGGTATTCACAGTAACTTTAGCGAGGAGCTGTTCAGTTATAGCTGTTGTGACTGTTACGATAAGCTACCTTTTCATCTTAATTTTATTGACTTCTACCTATATGTGACTCACCCATGTATAACAGCTGGACCTAGCTTGTATCACTCAGTTCATATGTTATCTTATGGCAGTCACAGCAACTTTAGCGAGGCTATATTCAGTTATGGCTGTTATGATAAGCTACCTTTTCATTTTCAATTTAACATCTTCACTGTTTAGCCAAGCTATATTTACTATAATTATACAAAAATGTGCAACTCCTCTTGCCACTGTTCCACTTAAGTACATTCTTAGACACGCTGTTGTGGCGTATGTCGTTGCTATGTATAACATGCACAACAAAAATAAAGAATTTAAAAAAAATAAAAAAATTAGTGCAACCAAATGTATAAATAAATGCTTTGTATTGTGCTTGAAAAAAAAATACTTGTATTATATATTTAATGTATTCATTAGAATTGCTTGTTCTCCAATGTTCTGTATATTTGTATTTTAAATAATTTTCACCACATGTTTAAAGACAAGTAACCAAAGACCAATCCTTATCCAAAAATAAAGAGTTGCATGTTTGTTCCATTGGTTTGTTTAGTTATTCAAGTTGAAGTCTTCTGACCTATTGACTGGCTGCACTGGTTCCTGATCCTGGGGACGAGTTAAGAAAGAGCTAGGCCTGAGAGCCACCCACCTGGAACACGCTACAGGATTATTACATCCGATTGTAGGAACATTTTTGATTCTGAAGCCATGGGAATCTTTTTTGAATAGTAGCAGTCTGAAAGGTACAAACAGGGTCCAAATGTAGAGGATCTTCTGGAACATTTACCACCAAGAAACACTAAAGGGTGTTTCAGGTACCTAGGATGTGTCACATGTGGGCACTTCACATCAGGTAAGGGCTTTGCCCGTCCACATACAGGAATAGTGTTCCAGAATAGACATCACATCACATCACCTGTACAACTACGCTTGTAATTTATAAGTTGCAATATCCATGTGGACTTTCCTGTATAAGTAAAACACCGAATTACAGGAGAGAATTAGGGGGGCATCGTTCCTCAATCCACACGGTTTTCCGTGATGATGGGTATGACAAACCGACCGCTAGACATTTTCTCCAGATGGGAAACATGCTGCCGTCCCTACAGTTCATGGCAATTGACTATGTGCCCGAATCACACCATAATGAACATTTCTGTATTTTCACGCTTGACACTTTGGCCCCACTGGCTTTAAATTAAAAAAACTAAAAGGTAGATCATGATATCGTGTATACTTATATTGTTATATATTCAGAAATTACTAGTAAATCCTTATTATCCAGCAGATATTACTAGTAAGGGTTGTTCGGCGTTGCTTGTACCAATTCCACCCTAGGGCTTAACCCTAATTAACTTAGAATGTTTAGATTTCAAGAAATCCCAGAAGGAGATCCATAGATTGGTATTTATAAGGAACACTTTACAATCCCAAGAATGAATGCAGCTGTGATAGAATATGGGGGAATAGATACAAATTGTAACAGAGTAATTCACTTTGGTGCTTATTCAGTAGTTTATTAGGCTTTATTTATTAGTTGGCAAAATGAAAACGGACATAAAGTGTAACTCTATTTACCAATCAAATTAGGGTGTCTATTAACGTAATGGGAGTATAAATGATCCGTCGAAGGAATATGAATCAGACTCCCATTTCTGGGTCTGTTCTATAGTAATAGGATACAATTATCTAGTCCAATCCCAGGGTGGGGATATCAAGAGAGTATTGCCACATTAAAGGACCACTATAGTGCCAGGCAATCTATAGGTCCCCCCCACCCTTAGGGTCCCACTACCGCTGGGCTTAAGGGGTTAAACACTAACCTTTCTCCAGCGCCGTGCACCCTCGGTGCTGGGGAACTCTCCTCCCTTTGCCAATGTCAGCACCGAATGCGCATGTGCAGCAAGAGCCGTGCGCGCATTCAAACAGTCCATAAGAAAGCATTTCTCAGTGCTTTCCTATGGACGTCCAGTGTCTTCTCACTGATTTTCACAGTGAAAAGTGCGGAAGCGCCTCTAGCGGCTATCAGTGAGACAGTCACTAGAGGCTGGATTAACCATCGGTGTAAACATAGCAGTTTCTCAGAAACTGCTATGTTTACAGCTGCAGGGTTAAAACTAGAGGGACCTGGCACTCAGACCACTATATTGAGCTGAAGTGGTCTGGTTGCCTATAGTGGTCCTTTAAGGATGATGCTAATTATAGAGAAGGGAATAGGGATAGTTATAGGAGGCTACAGCGTCCACAGTGAGGGGAGAGGTTATATCCTATAACATTTCCTGCCTGCACCTTAATGGGTACTTAAATGCTGTAGAGATCCATTACGGTTCTGACAAATATTCTAGCTGCAGCTACCTGCCAAATGCTAGGCTAAATGGTAGAGTGAACCTCTCCTAGCTCTCCCTGTCGGCACCTTCGTGGGTGCTAATAATATCAGCTATCATAGCTGCAGCTATCCACCAAATGCTAGACTAAATGGTAGAGTGAACCTCTCCTAGCTCTCCCTGTCGGCACCTTCGTGGGTGCTAATAATAGTATGTAACTCGATTACTCCTGATTCACCAATACCTTCCGTATCTATCCCCATGAATGGCCATAAAGATATATACATACATGCCTCTTTTTTGCGTGTTGGTCTTATCTTTTTCCACCTTAAACTATACCTCCTCTTTTATTCTACCATGAAAAAAATTCAAGCAATGATTCTATCCCGTAGGGTAGTGCACATTTCTTGTGATAAACCTCTGGGTTTAATTTAATACTATAGCTACACGTATCTTTCCCTCCCTTTCACACTTGTACCTGGACATGGCACTTTGATGGTTTTCTCACCTGCACGGGGTCGAGGTTTGGTTTAGGTTTCCTTTGTAACTATCCACTTCTCTCTTTCATGTTCGGACACAAGATATCACCCTGTTTGTCACTGTGAGTGTGTATTTTAAATGCACTCTCTTGTTAGAAGTCCCAGTGAGGACTGAAACGTTGATTTTGTTCATGTGCCATTATACTGGCTGTTTAAATAAAGCGGCAGATTTTTCTAACCAATGCTAAGTCTCCTGAGTGCTCTCTTACACTTTTGAGTTATATATAACTTCCAAGAAAGAGCGCACTCTGAGGACTTAGAAATAAGGTGTATGCAACTGCATTGTTTGTGTAGTGGTTCATAACAGCAGTCAACGTTACAGCCCTCTGTGGGGATACATATCCTCATCAACCAATTGTTTTTGTCAATATTTGTAACAGTTTGTCTTATTTGTTAAACAAAGCCCCTCCCCCTTTATATTATGGTAAAGCGCTGCATAATAATTTGGCACTATATAAATGATAAATAATAAAATTAAAATATATACAAATAAATTTTCCTGAGCATTTTACTTTCACAAAAATCCATAAGGACTCCATATGTATAGCAGCTAAGTGGCAAAGTTTAAGGACAGCTGTCAGCAATTATTTTTAATATGAACCGTCATCTCATTTCTAGGTAGGTCAGAGCTTAATGCAGGAAACTGGAGTTCCTGGGGGTTTCTAGGAATAACAGGAATGTTGAAAAGAAGTAGCTTTTTTTGTGTGTGTTTTCTTCCTCTAAGCGTAATCTATATCATGGCAACTGCAGATGGCATCAGTCCTGTAATTAGTTTTATTATTGTCCTAGACCCAAGCCAGGACAACGGTGCCATCATACCTGATCCATTTTTTAATTTGTCACCAAGGACACAGAGGGGTTGGCGTCATAGAAGTCTGATTCTAACAGCTGTGCCAGCAAAGTGTGTTCTATCATGTATTAAAATATTGATTTGTTTTATGGTCTGCAGGAAGAGGGAGTTGCATGGACTCACGGATCTCAGAGTGCCCACTGTGACGCAGAGCTTGTGGGGCGAGGCATGAGCTGGCTTGTGGGAAGCCGGGTGTAAGTCCGTTGCCCATGTAGGAGCTACCGCTAGCACTCCTATTGTCTTTATTTGATTGCCCAGTTTACCACTGCTATTACTATGCCTTATTATACAGATATATATATATGGTTTTGTATTTTTTCATTTTTCTAATGGCCGTGCATGCTTGGCATAAGATCCACAGGGGAGCCTGGACACATTTTTGTCCCTGGTGCCACTCAGGGAGGATCTTCACGCAGGCGCTCTTTTTCTATGCCCCACCCCCTTTTGGGACAATTTTTTTGTTTTTAATTTTAGAAGTGTCGCTAGTAGTTTTGACGCTTTGTTCTAGTGGTGATTTCTTCCTTCTGACACAGCAACCAGTCTCAAGTCTCGACATACGAGACAAGTTGTACGACTGGGTTTTCTAGACCTCTGTATGCAAGAGACATCGTTTAGTGAGTAGATGGCTGCCTGTCATACAACCCCACGTTCCGCATCCCTCACTCTACTTTTCCTCTTACCACACTTTGTACTTGTAAGAAAATGCAGAGGCCTCCTTTATATATACCCAGTGCTGCACGTTGGAGCCACAACTAAAATTTCTGTCTTACTTCTCGCACATACATGCAAGTAGCATGGCTATCGCTGGCGGAGGTTTATACACAGTTCTGCAGCTTGTTATGGGGTATTTTTTATGCTTTTTAAAATCTCATAGAGGCTGTGAAATGCATCATTGCTTTGTATCCATGTTAAATGTATGCATTCACTGACACCGTTATATTGCTGTACTGTATATATCATCTTTTTCTGCCTATGTTGGCTTTGTTGCAATGTGCTGTACCCAATAAACTTTGAATGATAAAAAATAAATACGCTTTAAAAAAAAAATATAAAATTTTCGCATGCAAATCATTTATAAAATTTTAGATTTGCATATTTACCAAGCACTAAATGGTCACCGGATTTAAATTAGATCTTACCTAGAGACAGGAAAATCTGGTAAATAAATGAATTTGCTTTTAGGGTGAAAAACGGCTTGTCCAGAGCCTTTTATTAAAGTAATTCCAGCCCACCCCTGCTATACTTTTATATTTAAATCTCCAGCCAAAGTCCATGGGTGAAGGCAGTAGAATGTCCTTTTCATGAATTCTATAAAATCTCCACCCACTGCCACTTGGTGGAGGGGGTGAACCATGATATGTTTTAAATATTTGGCCCCCACCCGATGCCTACTGCCATCATCCTGCTAATTTACTGACCCATCCAAATGGGGTCTTATAGTGACTGGATAGCATTGGGTATTATTGAATCAGCAATCAAGGGCTGCTCACCATTTAGAAGATATTCTCCGACCCGCAGCATGGCCCAGCTTAACGCTGCATAGGGTTATTTTAAATTATTACTTTGTTGGCTGTGGGACCAGCATGAAAATCATTTGGATATTTAAAATTCAGACACGGGTTTTAACTGATGTCCTCAGATACACTGAAATCCAGAGAGAATTCTGACTTGTTGGATAGAATTGCAAAATCTGAACGCTGATAAACGCTGTGAACAATGTCTGGAATGTGCACTCAGAATGCCCAGTATGCAAACAAATGTTTTTGCCCCATTCTAGAAGTGGGCATTCAGACTTTAGTGAATTAACCCCAAAGTGCTGAAGCTGCTTTAATCAACGCACAATTTTTGTTTATACATTAGTTAGAACATGTATAGTGGTGTTAATTTACAAGTTGTCACTTACATTTGTTCACATTCCTCTTGAGACCTCCACACGTTAAATCAGGGCCCAAAGAGCAATTTAAGGAGCAGCAAGAGGATAAACCGCGATTCTTAATTTAAAAAAAAAAAAAAAAGTGACACATAATCGCGGTAATACAGGTTTTTCTGCGTATTTTTCTTTAATGAAATCCACAAAAAAAAGGCAAGTGATGAAAAATATAGGTTTTATGAGTCCACACCCCATAGGTTTAATTAATAGTTACAAAATGTGCTCCCTGATGCCATAATTATCTGTAGGATTGAAAGAATACTGTGACATTAACTAAAAGAAGCAAAAAACTTAAAACGGTGTATATTTTTCTAGACTAACGGCTAGATTACAACAGTGGCTACGGTAAGAAATAAAAAGTGCAATTTTATCTCAATCATTTAGAATCTGCAAATAGTTCAATCGGGCTATAAAACAACATATTTGAAAGAAAAAATAAAATAAATATAAACCAACAATATTTTCAATATTACAATACCTGGCAGTTTGTTTGTTTTTTTATATTCCTGCAACTCAAATTTAAATTAACATTAAATAGCATGTATTATAATCTCGAACGTTCCACATGCACATTTAAAAAAATAACTGGGGCCTTATCTTATGACATTCAAGGGAGAAATGTTACTCGACAAGGCTCACTTCTGAAGGATCGAGCTAAACTAACTGAGATTTTAGCTGTACATTGAAATGGGATTTTGAAGATTGCGACCAAAGCACTTTCGATCATGCTCGATAAGAAGGGAGCAAGGGCTAACCTGCTATATACATTATATACAGGGACCTTCTTTTTGGGCAATTAGCTGCAGAAACAGATTATTAAATGCTCTCCTGCACTCGTAGTGATTAGACTATGTACGGGATACTGCAGTGAAACAGACAACGTGAAAGCTCTGCACTTTGGTGGATTTGTAGAGCTGAACCTGTAAGACAGATCCCTCTATCATTAGATTAGTATAAAAAAAAAAAAGAACTGTTAGTCTGAAATTGTAGGATCACTGTGAATTTCCTGATAAGGAAAATCAACAGTTGCTGGAATAACCCTTATTCACGCTTTGGTGCCGGACGGATTTCACTGAACGCTGCATCAACAGACTGGGGGTGGAACCTAGCCCTGTGTTAAAATTCACCGGCAGTGAGGCTCCTCCCTCAGCGTTTGTCCTGTACCAGCATTGAGGCCAATATTGAATACTGATGATGTTGAATTATTAAAAACATGTGTAGTGCACGTTACAATGGGTAAAGTCATTAAATAAGCCAATGGCTGCAGGATGTATAGCGGAAATATGGGGGGTTTTGGCTGTAGGAGTGAAGCATGACTCCTTCCATCATCGCTGCTTCAACAAGGCCTTGTACATGGCGAAACCTAAAACGGCAAAGACAGTAGCACCGAAACTCGCTCGTAGCCAAAACGTGGAACTTTTCAGCTCTGCCTGAGACATGTGCCTGCGTATATAAAAAAAGAGACAGGAGATCAGTTTTCGTGCAATGAAGGCATTCTGCAAAGCATCTAAGACTCAAATCACATTACATGTTAAATACAGAGTGAATGAGAGTACCACTGTACTTCAAGGATGGACACAATTTATCCCATCTTCCCAGTTGTTAAACTACAAGCACTCATAATGCTTTGCTAGACTTGAGGCTGGCAAAGGTTCATAAACGTTTTTAGCTCTTTGACAACCAGAGGAAGGAGAGCTAAATTATGGCCTCCACTGCAGCAATGCTGAAATGCATATACAACAAATTTACACTCTTCTAATTTGGAAAAAATAGATTGGGAGTAAAAAGGAGTTTCAGTGAAGCAGGAAATTGAAAGTTATGGCCATTACAAGATTATGTTAAATAAAACAAAGTGCTTGTCCCGCTGCATGAGCAATAAAGCTGGTTATATTAACACAGCTTTCCGCTTGGGAGGGATAAGCCTTTATTTAAAAGTAATTTCACCTTTATAGAATACACAGGAGATGCTTTATCAAAACAAGAAGGGCTCTCCTAAACACGCATCCCGTACACACATACGACTAGTATCACATAGTCTGGGTGATAAGAAAAACAATTTAGCACCTAATGTCACATGGCATCAGCCTTTAAAATTATATATCTGTATTAACAAAGTAAAACAATTCTAAAAATTATCAAGATGGTTTATACAGCAGGGTGTGTAAAGTGGCAGTTCTTAAAAAAATAAATATTTCTTCATAATATTTTCATTTCATTTTAAACCATTAAGGACAAGGGGTAAAGCAAACGCTTTTACGGTGTGACATTTAGCATGGCCATTAAGGGGTTAAGGCACATTACACTTGTCTGTACCAATGACAGCTCTAACAGGTCAGATGAATCTGGCATTAAATCTCTGGGTATTAACACAGGGTTAGGTGCCATTGTTTGATACAGACAGGGAAGGAAGGAAGCACACCTCCCACTTTTATGGATAACAAAAGGAGGGAAATCCAAATGATAAAAACTGAAAATGAAACAGATTGTCACCACACTGGATTCTGAATTTCCATACTCAGATTCCCACTGTCACTATGGGACAGTAAGTAAACCAACTCTGAGACACGAGCGGTATTTTCCATTTCTGCACTACATTTCCCATCATGCTCTGTCTGACTTTAGGGATTGGTCATTTCTGAAATGTTAGCTTTCACTGCCCTGGTGAAAAAATGGAATGCAACCTTCAAATACTTTGTATTCGCTCATTTGATTTGAATTCTAGAGGAAATGAAAGAGTTAACTAGCCGCTGACTGACAGGTAGTACTAGTCTCCGTAGGAGAAGGTAGAGGTGAAGGAATGCCAGATTGGGCTAGAACTAAAAACCAGCTAGTTCAGTTTGCTCATTATAAATCCTCAGACTGAATACACAGATATGTCCTCCAACATACACAGATGCACATCTCAAGCATTCCTTTAATGTGTTAGCCTCTACGGTTTCCACTGGAACGTCATCCCAGGTATCTACAACCCTTTCCACTTCATTTTTAGCCTTTACGGATTCCCATTGACCCTGTTTTTTCTCAATGTTTATTGAAGCCTATAAATCTAATTTACAGTAAGCAAGAACAACTGGAGGCCTTTAAAAACACCAATAAAGTGTGTACACATTAGGAAGGCTGTAATAAACTAGTCTTTACAATTTACCAGTTAGTGTTGGCTTAGCCATCGTAAACTCAATCAGCCGTCCATTATCAATTAACACAATGGGATTTATTCACGAAATCTGGGAATTGTGTAGAATCAACAATTCCTTGTTTAATGAATAACTATACATGTGATTTTCAGCTACAGTACACGTAACCCCTTAATTCCCAGGCTTAGGGCAAGCTATTATTGTAGAAACGGTTCGAGGAAGGAACCAGCAGCGAATATAACAGACTCGTCAGATAATTAATGCCCAATAACTATAGAAAGCCTGGCAGGGGAGCTTTGGCAGAGGGTTATTACCAGTCAATGAGTAAATGCCAGTTTGTAGACAAAATAATAACTCATAATAAATAATTCATACCGGGCATTTAATACTGAGGGTTTAGTAGATTATCAATACCTGGCATTATGTATTAGGGGATTGGCTCATTTTTACCTTTAACGGAGTACTGGTACTACACTGGATGATTCGTACTTGCCATTCATTATTCAGGACTTGGTGAGATGTACTTGATGCTCAGGAAATGATTATTATCGGGCACAGAGTACTGGTGGAGAATTCAGTAGTGGGACATTGGCACAGAGTACCAGCAGATTATACCTACATTGAGATCACAGCTGAATGGGAATAACCCAGCACTGAATACTAGCAACTGAACCAATGATTAATGACTAGTAATGTGTACTAGGTGCTTGGGAATGATTAAAACCTTGTACTACAGTACTGCCGGCTCAGACGATGACTACCTGGCAATGAATATTGGGAGCTGGGCAGATTACAACCCGTCACGGAGTGCTAGTGGTACAATAAATGATCGTACATGGCCTTCAGTATTGAGAGCATTTTTGTACTGAGGGCTCGGCAGATAATTAATACCTAGCATTTTGTACTGGGGGCTCAGCAGATAATTAATACCTAGCATTTTGTACTGGGGGCTCAGCAGATAATTAATACCTGGCATTTTGTACTGGGGGCTCGGCAGATAATTAATACCTAGCATTTTGTACTGGGGGCTCAGCAGATAATTAATACCTAGCATTTTGTACTGGGGGCTCAGCAGATAATTAATACCTGGCATTTTGTACTGGGGGCTCGGCAGATAATTAATACCTAGCATTTTGTACTGGGGGCTCAGCAGATAATTAATACCTGGCATTTTGTAATGGGGGCTCGGCAGATAATTAATACCTGGCATTTTGTACTGGGGGCTCGGCAGATAATTAATACCTAGCATTTTGTACTGGGGGCTTGGCAAATAATTAATACCTGGCATTTTGTACTGGGGGCTCGGCAGATAATTAATACCTGGCATTTTGTACTGGGGGCTCAGCAGATAATTAATACCTGGCATTTTGTACTGGGGGGCTCGGCAGATAATTAATACCTGGAATTTTGTACTGGGGGCTCGGCTGATGACTCCATGAAGACAGAGCTTTCGACGTAGATGACCGGATGGACTTGATGCCCCAGACTGCTCCCTGCATCTGTTAGCAGCGATTCCCCCAACACATCTACCCCGGCTCTCAACCTTATACACACATGCACATGATTTGTCTCACTAGAGAAACGATCAGCAGAAATCCTGCCTCCCCCCCCCCCACCCAGTAATGCAGCATGCAAGTGTGAGAGTCTGGTATCTGTCATATACCTTTCAAGTACCGTGCCCCCATAAACTGAAGTAAGTGTGCGTGAAAGGTACAGGGTAACATTCTAGATTCCCCAACCAGAATAACCAGTAATTACCAATTGCATTTTTCTTGATTATATTTATATAAAATGAAAAAAACTTTGGGAAATATACATATTTTCCCTTGTACTATCAATTTTAGACACACGTTTGTGATAAAAAGATTATTAGCGTAAACGGGGTATATTGGGCTCCCTTTTTATTTTAAGAAACAGCAAACTTAAAGGGACACTGCAGGTGCAGTAGCTCCATCTCAATAAAGTGGTTATAGTATCTGGAGTCCCCTGGAGATGCCCTTACATTAAGCTTTAAACGTTTTTTAGTTTTTAATGCTCACCCCCCTCTGTGCTGTTTGGGAAACTTTAGCCTGAGCAGCAGTGCAGGGCTGTGATGGAGGGGCAGTGCCAAGAATTTCCAGGCCCTAAAACCAATCCAATGAGATGAAATGGTTATAGTGCCTACAGTATCCCTTTAATTTGAAAGCTTTTACTACAACATACAGACCTCTTAACCAGGTGCTGCCAAATGTCAGACCCCAGATAAAGTAGAACACTCCTGTGATACCTTATCAGCATGTGGGCTGGCAAAGCACAAAGGAATTTGTAGTTCTACAACAGCCAGAGTTGTCTCTCCCTTTTGGCCTCTAAATCCTGGTTATAAAGTACATGTCATGCACTTGGCGTGATTACTGGCACAAACCAACACCTCATGCCTTAGCAGCACACCGTTTAAAGGACTGTGAGGGGCAAAGGGACAGTTAGTGGCAATGACATTGATCGTTTCAACAAACAACATCCAATTCCTGCTATTCTATGTGTGAGAATGTAGTTAAAGGGGGTTTCCTTTCGTTCTTTTCAGTTAAGGTGAAAGTAACGAATAACGAGCAGTAAGAATCTTTCCTGCATCTGAAACATCAATTTGTACTGTTAATGTAAACAGAATGTCTGAATTATGTCTGCTGTGCTTCACAGATCTGACAATAACAGATCAATGCTCTACCTACTAGCTACCACTGTCTGTCTGATTTGTATTCAAATAAACTGATAAAAAATAAATAAATAAATAAAACAGGCTAAAATAGTTTATAGAAAGCCAGTAGTGTCCAATACAACTCACTAAATACATTGAAATAAAATCAATGGTAGCCCTGATAAAAAATAAATTACTAAATCCAAAACAATCAAACAAGAAAAAAATCTCCATGTTAGCTAGGTTTCCAGATCAACTACTTTGGCCTTAAATTTGAAATTCACTTTGAACGCCTTACAATCCTCACTTTTGTGAATAACCCTGTGTGTACTTTCCGGTCAGTATCCCATTTGCTGAATTTTACATGTTCCATCACTGGCTGACTTAGAATACAGTATTTATTTTATGTGCTAAGGTTTCTCCCCCCCTCCCCCCCACATTACCTGCATTTTCTATAACGCAAGCTATCCTGCTGCAGTGAACAGCAGTGTATGCGAGTCCTATAACTTATTTACACAGAACCCCTCTAACATTGTGTGCCACTCCATACAATGATTACTTATATTAACCCCTCAAGCGCCATGCACAAAGCAGGCATGCCACAATATAAACAGATTTACCAATACCCTGGTCCTTAAGAGGGTAACAGAACCCTTAGCAATTACATTATAAAAATACAAACTTTGCTTCTGGTAGAGATTTAAAGAAAAACCATGTGCCTTTCCCCTTAGCCCACAATATTATCCTACCTCCAATAGAAAGTGATCTGTCCATGTGGTGGACTGCATTTTAAATCTTAGTATATGTTGTCATAACTGACCAAGCCAGTAGTTCTGGGTTAGTATGGGTGTTTACCGAAGGAACCTTCCCTTTACAGTAGGATGGGAGGCTTTTAAACCACGTTCCATTTGATCATGAATTCTACAAATGACGTCTAAATAAAACAATTGTGTTTTAAATCATTATCGAGGTTTGTGTCTTGTTGCAGAGCCCCTATTTCAGCAGGGAAACAATATGGGGGGATAATGCTACCTACATACATCATCTGTTCAATCGCCTCTCATATTACTGGCCAGGAGGGTGATTTAAAGTTAAAACACTAATGGGGAGAAACGATGCAGGAAAAACAAGGTGAGAACAGCCCAGATAAGTTTAAATGGACACCTAAGGAAAAGAAAAAAAAATATGAAAAAGAAGAGAAAAAAACAAAACACCAACCAGTGAAGAGAACTGTGATATAAAACACAATGAAAGAAACAGAATGTATATAGGAGATTGTGGGTAGTGGGTAAAAGGAAGAATTATGGTAACATCAATGCCAGCAAGAACAACCTGCCTATGTTACACCCATCTCTTTAATCCAATAAATTAGTATTAGATAAAAGAGAACAAATATCAATATAATGGCAGAAACAGTGTCATGCTGCAGGATATAATCCAAATATACTACGAATATTTTAACAAAAAAAAAAATCAAACAGGGAGGGTCACATTTTTGGTTAATGCGTTATCGCCATTTTGCTACACATTAGGAAACAATCAATGCATCTCGCCAGCGTTCTATTTTGTCCTTTAAACTCCCAGTCTAATGAACCATCCCAACGTAGGCCAAACCTATTACTGTGATGCCGACACTAAAATAGTTATTAAGTGTGGAGCTTCTGCCAAATTTAATGTAGCAAAAAACAGAACACATTAATAGGTTTGTTTGTTTTACATTGTATGAAATATATAGATTTTAGTAGAACATTATAATAACTGTGGATCATTTAAAATGGATACATGCGCAGATATATAGTTGTTTACAAAGATTGTCATTGGCCTAAACAGAAGATTAATAGGATAAGGGAACAATAAAAGGAGACCGCAGACAATGGATGTGGAGAGGGAGAAAGAGGAGGAGGAAGGATTTGGAGGAAAAGAAGATGCAAAGTGAGCGGTGTTGAGAAAGGTGTGGAGGGGATGGGGATTGAGTTGATGATTTCAGCCATGGAGTCTGGGCCAGGATGGATGAGGGAGAAAAGGAAAGTAAAATCACCTTATTACAGAGGGTGGTTGTGGACATAAATAGCCAACTCAGAACTATAGAGTCAGGAATAAATCTTATAGTGTTCCATTAAGATAAACATAGAGGACGTTAAAAGGGAGAGAGTCAGAATTTTACATTTATCAAAGTGAAAAATCTGCTTTGCTGCCATCATAATATAGTTAAAGAGACAGGATTTATAATGTTTATGCATTAAATACGCCATCTTCATTTACGAAAGAACATGTTTAGTCTAAGGAGGGTTTTATATCACCCCGCGAATGGCTCTTGCAGGGTTTATAAAATCCCTGAAATGGATTGCAATTCATAGAGGTGTTAATTTTAGCTTCCAGTGAAGGGAGCTGCTAGGATGGTTCACTGAGTGGGGAAGACAAGCTGAACGAGAGCTACACGGCATTCAAATAATGCAACAAAGCATGTTTATTATTAGTGTGTTAAGGCACACGGGGACGCCAATAATAAAATGAAAGACCTGTTCACAACGGCAGTGAAGAGTTTGTCCTTTACAGACTGGAGCAGGTCTGAGTTGAGGAGATTCTGACAGATGCAGAATGTGCATCTATTGCAGGCACACAGACAGCGTAACCGGGCATGGCTGCAGAAAACACACAGAAGGATACAGGATCAGAGAATCTTCCAAACTGTGTGTCGACGTGTAACCACAAAAGGTTCTCTGCAGCAGGGGTGGCCAGAAATTAGACACCCAGCATGCTGGCAAAGCATCATGGGAGTTATAGCTCCGCTGGACAGGGCTATCTTTTGGCCACTTCTGCTCAACAATGTTATTACATTCCATCACTATTACTGTAGCCCTGGCCTGCTGTCTGATACTAAAAGTCACTTAAAAAAAAAAAATTAAAAAAAAGCTGCAACAAGCAACACCTCCCGATGGCTGCAAGGCTCGCAGAGTACTGCTACTTCAACAGGGCGAACTTTTATATTCAGACAGGAAGGCCTTCATCTGTATATATTGTCTCAATCATGATGGTCTTCCCTCGTAGGGGAAAGATTGATCAAGAACCAGTTCAGTGTATTTCACATTAGCCACATTTCCACTAAACATTAGAATAAAGAGGATTAAGTAGATTTCATGTGAAAGTGCAGTATTTAGATCTGATGGTAGCTGAGAGTGAAAGGAAGAGGGATGACATGTGACAAGACAAAGCGAACTCCTCACACCCTCAACTAGAATGAATCCTAATCCCTGCTGAATGTAACAGAGCGGGTTTGTTTTACGGTGAATGGAGATGCCACAGCTGGGCTGCGTTACAACACGCTAAACCAATCTCCATTACTTTAAACCAAAAAATAGGGGTGTGTGTAGTCGCTTCAAAACCGCGACGTGCAACCAAAACTCTCTTATGACCCTTTCAAACCAGTCAAAATATACCAAAATAAACAAAAGTGAGTATAATACAGGAGCGCAGCGCACTATTGTTTGTTTTGGTATAACGTCCATTATTTGTATTGTCTGAGCTTGGCGCAACATGCATGGAGAGTGTTTATCAAGGTCTTAGTTCCTGCAGAGGCCTGTTGGGGGAAATCCCGCATTTAAGAAGAAAATACAAAACATGCCAACATGCGCCATCCACTTAGGACTGAGAAGGAAATGTAAAGTAATACTGCAGACGACTGGTTACTTAATAGAAAACACATCCCGACTGAAAACGGATCTCAGGTTACACATGCAAAATCAGAGCACATCACTTAAGAAAGTAAGGAAAAACAAAACAAACAAAAAAAAAAAAAAAAAAAAAAAAAAAACACAACCATTAACTCTTTCATGGCCAAAGTGCAGTGAAGCAAGATGCAGACATCTTTGTTTAATTGCGCCGATCCTGTAAAAAACCCTTTCACTGCCATTGCGGGACCACCATGCAAGTGTAATTCCTTTGCCGTCAAACCAAAGAAAGGGTTAACTCAAATGTTATCCTTACAATAGGCGGAATATAACCTGAATTGCAGGTTAGGAGTTACAGGTTTGTAGAAAACACAAGTAGGAATACAATAAACAGTCTGAACAGAGAACATGCTACAATATCGAGCTAAAGCAAATAGTTTACTATAGTAAGGGAGCGTTTTAAAAGACAGACAGGTACAGGATCTTAACTTCTACCCTCATACTAACTTTGAAGCAGGAGACATGATTGTCAATTTATGTATTAATAATTACAAAAACTGTATAACAAAAAAATAATTATATATATATAGATGTATTGAGAGAGGGGGAAGGATGGGTGTCCCAGGTAAGTATGTCAATCTCATAAAAGCAGTCACTGAGTCCATGTCGACTAGGACCTGCAGAAATGTAGGGTACACACTGGTGTTGTGGCAGGCTTTTCAATTTATGATTATACATTGTAACTAAATCCTATCCTCAATATTTTGACCATAAGTGTCTTTCAATGTTGTGGGATTTAAGTTTGGTTTGACTTGTGCTGGTTTCTGGTCTGGAAACTATTTAAAATTCTTTTTGCAGGAAACAAAAAAATAAATAAAATAAAATACTTTAGTTTCTGCAGAAAATGTTTATAGTAATATCAACACTAACTGGAGGGAAGTTACCAAAAATATTGTAGGAGGAAAAAGTGACGTATTTAATAAGTAGGAGAATGTAAGATCCTGCAAACCGAATTCAATCAATATATTTTTCTATGACTAGATAAAAGGGAAGAAGAAGAATTATTACATTTTCATTCATTAAATAAATGTATCCCAAACAGAAAAACATGCATATATAATGTAATCAGTACACAGAATAATAAGAGATAATGTCGACTGATCAGTGATCATATTGTGACAAATACATATTGACTTTGTAAGTGAACACAAGGACACAAAATTCCCAACACATGTCAATGTTGAAAAACAAAATTTAAAACTACACATTGCACCAGACTAGTAAGAATGTGCCACTATACTTGTGTTTGTTTTATATGTTGATATTGGGGGTAGGGTATTCTACGGTGGTAGAACTACAAAAATAGTTGGGTTCATTCTTGGTTTGAGCGTTAAACCCGGGAAAAGGATTGTAGCAGTACGAATTGCTTGTTAGAGCAAAGTACTCTCTCTGTCTTCTAAAAAGCAGCAGACAGAAATTAGAAAGCAGCATGCAGTGTCTGGGGCAAGCGTGCAGCAGTTACTACTCACGGATACATTGCCATTGTGGTCATTTTGATGAAGATTTCCCGGGTCGGGTTGTCAGCCGTGTTGCAGGTGAAAGCCTGGGGTGGTGGCATCTTGTGCTTCTTACAGAAATCAGCTGGGGAGACGCTGCTCTCCTGCTTCACCTCGTGAAGGTCCGACTTGGCAGCCACGACGAGACACGGCGTCCTGCTGTCCATGAAGTGTTGCTGTACGGACAAATGTCACGTTAGAAGTCATGTCGAACTTCAGCTCTGTGGAGCTGGACTGCATGCGGAGTCTCTCCCAAACAGAAAAGCAGAAATCTGTACTCGTTCATGCTTCAGAAAGGAGAAATATAAATCAGGAGAAATAAAGTGGGATATGCTACTTTCTATTTATCTAAAGCCAATCAACACCAGTAACTCGACCACCACCACCTGTCAGCTTTCTGACATGATCCTTCAAGATCAGACAGTGTTCCTGAACCAATGGGACTTCATACACAATGTTACTCCGGAATTAGGCTAGTAGCATCACTGACTGCATAGGTTTTCGGGAAACAAAGCAAATCCTGGAAAAATAACTGAATATGAAAAATTACAACGATCCACCTCGTGCGGGTACTTCAACCAATCACCTGTGAACATTACCTGTATGGTCTTTCAAACTGACTCCATCTGGATTAAGCAGCACAAATTTATTGTGGATTTAGAATGATAGCCCCACATTCTGACTGTAAACCCAGGAAACCACAAAATCCTGGAAATAACTTAGCTTTATTCAAATCCAGGACAGATGCAGTCTCTACTTTCTGGAGCATATGCAATTTAAAGACCATGTAAAGAAGCTATGTTGGAAAAAGAATGACTTGACAAACTGCACTCAGACAAGGAAAGTGACATAACATGCAGTTTTAGAATAGAGGGAAGACAAAGCTTTGCAAAATGGACCGACCGGTACTAACCTTAAATATTCTACTGCAGTAGTCAAAGGATTTGGGATTAGTGATATCATAGACCAAACATACAACATCGCACGATACGTCAGCCGGAGACAGAGCTTCGCATTCCGCAACATGATGTAACTGAAATATAACCCTGCATTAACTTCATGCCGTGAAAAAAATGATAGTGCAGACCTGCTTGTAGCCAGCATTAAATGGCGTGATATGCGATGTACTTAATATTTATAATACGAAGGAAAAAATACAATTAAAAAAAAATATGATTACACCTGCAATAACCATACTTTTAAAGCACAACAATTGGACAGGCAAGCTCATTAGCAGATCCCCCACTCCAGCATCAAAGACTTGCCATTTTGCAGCAAACTCCTTTGAACGACTCAATTTAGATTTGCATGCATTGTCAAGAAGCCATTCACAATAGCAAATCTAAAACAAAAATCTGATAATCTGTATTAAAAAAAAAAAAAAAGAAAAGCTGTTCTACCGCTACAGTATGTAGGCAATTGCAAAACAGGTAGAGGGACCAAGAAATGTCCCACCAGCTGTATGTGGATATTTTATAAAAATGAACATATATAAATGCAGATATTTACGCACACACCCTATTCTCTAGTGTTTTAGGCACTCCGTTTTTACCAGATCACCGTACTACCTGGTGTATTGCTTCCCTGTAGACATTGAGCACTAATAAAAAATTTATTATGAATAAATGCATGAGCACATGTATATCACCACCTTACTGGTGGGTTCTGCTGTCAGTTTGAATAGCTATTTAAACATGGGCATGCAATACACTTACCAACAGATACTTTTCCTGGCCATACACGTACACTGTGTTAATTGCATAGTAAGACCGGTGCTCCTCCCGAATTCTTTTCTGTCTCTGCGAGAGAAAAAGGCATCCGACACTGCCGTGTTACGTGACCTCCAATAACACAGGTTAGCCCTCTCCTTATCCATTCTAAACTAATTACCATTAGACCTAATATTAAGGTGGAAATGGGGATGGTGAGGAAAAGCATCACATTTACCATCAAATTTCTCCCTAAATGCGATTGGAGTATACCACTTTTCCCACAGCCTTTAGAGCCAATGACACTGCACCGAAAAACATTCCTCTGCGTCTGCCGCTTGTGTAGATCGATCTTTTTATCCCTCGTCACTGAAATCAGATGAGATCAAAATTAGCAAAATGCCTGACCCCTTAACAAGCGACACTCTCAAAGCTGGCTTATTCACACGAGAAAGCACATACAGTATAAATGCCTTGAGGACCAATGAACTATAACTACACTCACAATAACTAAGGATTTCTCTAATTCTCGTTAGGAAGGAATTAAAGCATTGCTAGAGCATTTAATGTGGTTTGATGAAAGTATGCATTTTAGAAACATTTTGTTTGGAGGAATATGCTAAGACTCCACCTTAAGTAAGCCGTGAAGTTTCGGCACCGCATTCTGAAACTAGAAAAATGCAGAGTCAAGCTACAAAATTAGCAAGGGGAATGGAAGACCTTAGTTATTAAGGATACAAATTGTGCAATCATTTGTGCTAGGAAGAAAAAGCATCTGAAAATGGATATGGTAAACGACAAATTGCTCACTGATAACCTGTTCATTTACATGATGGTATATATAGGACACAGTCATAGAAAGGAGATTTTGGCTAAAGCAGTACAATTTTTTTTATTATTTTCTTTTAAATTAAAGGTATTAATATATCAAATATGTACACAATACCACATATAGGGAATAAACCATACAGAAATATACCTATTAATGAGTAAGATAATTTGGCTATTTTGGGGCTAAACTCAAATTTCAAGTGTAAAACAGAGTTTAGCCACAAGATGCCACCAAAGAATTACTTTAAAAACATTTTAGGAGTAAAATGAAAAGTTGATTAAGTATATATAAAAAATATATACATTTTGTATGTATGAGAAGCAGATTTGCATTTAGATTTTTAGTTAAAAAATATTCTCATGAGGAGATTCTCGTCAGGAGAAATTTTATAACTAAAAGAAAATAACGTAAAAAATTAAATAAAGCAGCCTGCCCAGGTTACAGGCTGTTGGTTGAGGCGTGCCCGTCACTATGTGGCTATTTGGGGCTGTCAGCGTCTGAGGGGGAAGGGATCTTTACATTTTACTAACACTCAAACACTGTGTGCCTGCCTTACTTTAGTGAGGGGAGCTGGGGACAGAAATGGCAGGTAGCTCTGCTGGAGCGGTGTCTGCCTGTTAAACAAGAGAGGGATCCAGCAAAAGGAGTGAAGGCAGCTGCTGTTTGAGCATTGCCTGTCACCATGTGCTGCCGCCAATCATGCTTTATGTGGGGTCCTCTGTTCTTATTAACATGGTGGTTGGAGTGGTGTCTGCTTTAATGAGCTACTCTGAAACCGGAAGTGATGGAGCCAGCCAGGGAGAGAGACCACGTGGAAGCAGGCACCTCGGGTTATAAACAATACCTGCAATGGAACTGCACCAGTGTAAGTGGAGTTCTGACAACTCCAGCCTCGGCGAACATCCAATCAGAGCTCAGTAGGCAGACTAGTAGGCTGGCCTGCCAACTGAGGGATATTTTTGTGCCAACTATTTGGTGCCCTAGTGAGTTCCATTAACAAACAATAAGGCTGCCAGGCAGCCAATGGCGGTGAAGTAGGCAACCTCCAAGAGAGTTTAATCAGAGTTTTGGGACGTCACCCAACAATCTGATTAGGTTTTTTTTTTTTTGGTTTTTTTTTCAACTCTGACTCGCAACAGAGAGAAGGGAATAACAAGGAAAAGTGCAGTACTAATATTTAAAGGGACAGAACACATTTCATTAAAAGATACACATATTAAAAGTTTAAGCTTACAAAAAATAAAAATAATATATAACTCAACAGAAAAAAATATTCTATAAATTGTTTTCTGCAAAAAAAAAAAAAAAAACTCCACTTTGTTATGCACAGTCCTTACTATGAATTGATCTATATACCTGTCACTGCCATGGCCTGAGACTCTTGTTCGGTTAGTATTGAATATCCCAAGTAGCCAAGATACTCCAGACAACGCTGAACGTCCAAATACGTTGTCAAACTAAAAAAAAAAAAAAGGGGGGGACAGTGATTTTTAATGTGTGCACTTGAGTCACATCCTACTTCCCCACATTTGCTGGATCTCAGTAGCGTATCTGTGGATGCATTCTAACATTCAGACTATATGATGACATTGCAGCAACCTTCTATACACTCACTTATATCACTTTACATAGCTTTTTTTTTTTTTTTTTTTATGACTACATTCCAGGTTATTAGTGTCTCAGGTACCGATTATTATGCTAGCCTTATAGCTCTCCAATATCTGTGAGCTTAGCCTGTCAATGATCCGTTTTCTCACATTCAGACCCTTTCAGTTAAGACCAGCCACTCTATGCACCATTAATGCCCCACGTTATATTCTAATCTGTACCATCTCTTTACTAGCATGTTTTGTCCTGTAGTTATGACAGCAGGATATGTTCAGCTAAGATAAGTATTGATATATAAATGTATACTTTGTGCGCATGGGCTGATAGACAATGTATAACTTATATGGTTTACTAGACATTGGCTCTGGAGATTTTCAGGGGTGGGGGGGGGGGATAAACGCACATTCCACTATACTTGAGGCCCACTTAGGACCAATGTTTTAACCCGACTGATGAAAGAACATTGGTTCTTAAACAGCTAAGCACAGCTCCACGCATACGATTCTGAGCCACATTATACAATGCGCATCTCCCTGACCAGCATAGCAATTTTGCAATGCAGTGTGTAGATATAATTGTATTAGCATTAAAGCACCAATATCCAATTTTTGCACGTCAAACACACTTTAAAGATTTGATTTATACAAAATAGCCGACGTAGCTAAGAATATTTTATACAACTTTCTAGCTGCATGAGAACCCTAAGCAAGAAGATCTCCTTACGTCCACTGTGAGAGGAATCCCTGGTATGTGATCCATCCCTTCTCGTTGGTACAAACAGTGTTGTTGACATCAGGGCCCCACGGCATGTAAGGGAAGACTTTGAACAAATCCCGAAGCTCATCAGGTGACAAAGCACAATCTCTGTCCTGTAAGAGAGGAGGGATTCTGAGACTCTGCCACATCGCTATAAAGCAAGGTAAAGAAATGAGACATTTTGAAGCTGCACCACATCCTCATAAGGTAAAGCAAGAATTACAGTTCTGCCACATCTCCATAAAGGGGACACAGATCTCCTAAATCTCTCAATAAATAAAGGGAACAAGAATGATGACATTCCATACATAGATTACTAAAAAAAATTAAAAAATCCCCCCCCGTTGAAGTCAGTCGTAATTTGTGAATAATAAAAAAGTAGAAAAGGTTAATAAAACAAATACAACTATCCTCCAGAGACTATCCTCTTGCACATATGTGCAGCCATGATTGCATTCTAAATGTCTCCAATTCGTTCATTATCGAAGATGACTCACCTGATCATGTTTATCAAAAACACTTTGGAGAAAGAGGTATGCGTGGTGGTTGAGCTCTGTCGTACAGTCCACAGGCACTTTTAACCTGGAAGAAGGACATTGTTACAAACGAATTCACATGACACAAGCACATATTAATGTGTTCATACGGATAGCACTAATGTTAAAGGAACACTATTGGGTCACTAGCATAAACATGTATTCCTGACCCTATAGTGTTACAAACACCGTCTAGACCCCCAGCCCCCCTAAATATAGCACAATCTTACCTTTATTCCAATTTGCTCCTGGCTCTGCCCCTGATCTGCCTGCTTGGCTGACATCATGAGAAGCTATAATCTGAGCCAATCACAAAGCTTTCCCATAGGCAAGCATTGGATTGGCCCAAATTGTCAAGGAGACAGATCAGGGGCAGAGCCAGCACAAGTCAAACACAGTCCTGGCCAATTAGCATCTCCTCATAGAGATGCATTGAATCAATGCATCTCTATGAGGAAAGCTCAGTGTCTCCACGAAGAGAGTGGAGACACTGAATGTCAGTCACACTGTGTGGCACTGCCCCAGGAAGCAACTCTAGTTGCCATCTGAGGAGTGGCCAGAGGACATATCTCTAGGCTGTAATGTAAACAGAGCATTTTCTCTGACAAAAACAGTGTTTACTGTAAAAAGCCTGAAAGGAATGATTCTACTCATCAGAACAAACACAATAAGCTGTAATTGTACTGGTGACTATACTGTCTCTTCAAGCTAAGTAATAACGCATGTATTACTGTCCGTGATAGTCCAGAGTATATATAAAAATAGATTAATAAAAGCCCATCTGACAACTTAACACATGCATATTAAACAAGGTAAATGGCATTTTCTAAAACGTGTGCAAGGCCGGTCTCTTTAATTTCCAACAAGTGCAAAACACTCCAGGGGCTAGAGCAAGAATTGTTGGTAATTCAATGTAAATTTAAAAATTTTATACCAAAGTAACAGAATTGAAAACATAGCTGACCCGTTTTCAATTCTGCTATCTTGTGAAACATGTGACATTTATTTTGTTTACACTTTGTAAGGAGAATCCACTGCGCCAATTCAGCCTTAAACAAAAAAAAGGTCCACATGACATATGGCACAAATACAAACAGCAGCGCTTACTAGGAACTATGAAAACCATTTAGACAATGTGTAAAATTAGTAACTGTACTTAACACATCAAATAACAAAACACATTAAATAACCCCCCTCAACCCCCTTCACTCCCCAAAAAAACAGTATGGGAATAGGCAGGGTATACGGTGCACTCAGATTTGCACCTCATGTTGCCTTCCAGGTTATGTAAACAAATAGTTGACAGCAATATAAGTAATTTATAATGTGACGGCAACGTACGGGGGGAATAAATAGTCTGGGGTAAGTTCTAGGTCATCATCGTATCCGAAACGTCTCAGCACAGTCCATGTGGTTTCATGTCTCCCCCTCTGGATAAAAAGAGTGTGTAGAAACAGGAACCCTGTATGAAAATACACAGACATTACGTCTTTAAAATGGATGTCCGACAACTTTTATGCACTTTGTAGCTTTTGGGCTAAATAACTACTTATATTATATTCTTGTTTGTCCAGTTTCTTTGTAAAATACTTCCTTCTTACAGGTTACTGTAGCTGGTGGGAGGTCAAGTTATTAGTATGTTTAACAACTTCTAGCTTGTGGCATTACTACCTTTTGCAGCTCCCTGTCATGGCTTCACAAGCTGTGTCTTCTCGATCCTCCAGTGAGCACTCCCTCACAGACGCAGAGACTGCAGACAGGTAGATGGTAAAAGGGCGTAATCCCCCACCTCTCACGAATGCTGGGCACAATACAGTGACGGGGAGCACCGTAAGGGGCCTTCTCAACAAGCTCAGATGCAACGTGGCACAAATAGAAGGTAAAAGGCAGACAGCACTACTTCAGCTCCTCTCTAAAAGTCTTGCGATTCGCGAGAATCGTGAGACTTAGAGAGAGGACAGATTGGCCGCGTGCTGAACCACCTCATTATCGGTAAGATTTAGGTCGATACTAATATTTAAAAAAAAAAACGGAATATCGGTTTTAATTTAGCCAACAGCTTTACTTTAGAGAGCGGACAACTGAACCCAGATATTCCTGGTCCGCTTATAAATTCCAGCATTTAAATTTTTCGTGACATTATTAATTTAAACCAAACCCTTCATGCATTGTGATAAACTGCAGTGTTGTACATTTGTGACTACCTTTTAACGTCAGACCGTTTCCTGATACGCCATCATGGACGTTCTTTCGTACGACATTTTTAACATCCTCTAGAGCCTGGGGTGCAAGTGGTATGTGAAAACAGGTCCTCTGCAAGACATTACACATATACACCGTTACTAATCAGATCCAGTCAGCTGCAACACTGCTCACAAGGTTTATGAAATAGCGGACAAGCAATTGGAGCAGAGACTGATACATGTTGATTTCAAACAGCAATTTACCTGGAAAAAGTTGAGTTCAGCATCGTTTAAAATCCCATCGTTGTCCAAATCAGAAATCTTGAAAATGCGTGTTAGAGACTTTATACAAGCTGGCTTTAACTGTTCAATAGAAAGCAAAGGCGAAAGGTTTAGACCAAGCAGTTATCTTAATTCCCACAATTTCTTCCCTCCCAAATTTGCTAATAAAATGGATGACAAAAACCTTTTGCTGCGTTCCAGGTATTTTCACCTGTTTATTTATGCTTTTCATATATTACTCAACATAAATGACACCCAGTGCACTGTGTAGCTGCATGTTACAGTGATGACAACATACCATGTAATGAGCATGTTCATCTAATTTAGTGTTGTGTTTCCTGAAACTTTATTATACTTTAAATTCAGATCCCATCACAATTTTCTTTGCACTTAAAATTTTTATTATAGATCTGTAACGATTTAGTAACAAATATTAGGTAATGTTTATCCAGAGAGAATATTTTGTTTCAGCATCCCTGATTGTTCTTCCGCACAAACTATTCTAGGCCTTTCAGAAGGATGGGAAGGACAAAGAAACTGTACAATGAATAGCAATATGCCCCATACTAACTATTATAGCAGATGAGTGGCAAACAACTAATGCAAAAAGTGTTAAAAAAAAGGTTGGATCTTTGTTTTTGATATTAGCTATGCATGTTGCATTTGAATTGTTACTTTGTTACACAAAGAAATCCCTGATTGAGACTTTATTTTAGGAATGATTGTAGAATTGAGTTTAAGAAAGTGTTGTACAAGAGAAGCTTTCATTCACTTAAAGGGACACTCCAGTGCCAGGAAAACAATCAGTTTTCCTGGCACTGCAGGTACCCTCTCCCTCCCACCACCCATTCCATGTTGTTGAAGGAGTGAAAACCCCTTCAGTGACTTACCTGAGATCCCCGCCGATGGTTTCGGGTCCGCCCACGCTCCTCCCCTGCTGACGTCATCCGGCGGGGGAGACCGATCGTGCGTGCGCAGCCGCCGGGGGGGGAGACCTAATGCGCATGCGGCGCCTATTAGACCTCTCCTTAGGAAAGCATTGAAAATGCTTTCAGTGCTTTCCTATGGGGAATTGAGCGACGCTAGACCTGTGCTAGAAACCAGGAAGTGCCCTCTAGTGGCTGTCTAGTAGATAGCCACTAGAGGAGGAGTTAACCCTGCAATGTAATTATTGCAGTTTATGAAAACTGCAATATTTACAGCTGCAGAGTTAAGGGTAGTGGGAGTTGGCACCCAGACCACTCCAATGGGCAGAAGTGGTCTGGGTGCCTGAAGTGTCCCTTTAACAAGCGTGTATCCACCAATAGATAGGCAATACAAACGTAATTTATACACAGTGATGGTGAAAACGCCAAAGAACCTAGATAAAGTGATAGAAAATTGAATATTTAGGGCGCAAACGAGATTGCAATCTATTTGTATTTTAAATAAGATATATAGTTAGGTGTCTTGCCCACGGACACTTACTAGTAATGTGGTTTAACTGGGATTTGAAAATGTCTTTCGCTGTACCCCACAAGGTCTAATGCAATGGTACCAAACCTTTTTTTGGACCAAGGTACACATCTATGAGAGGCACCTAAATTTTTTTATATATTTTTTTTTTTAAACTTACTAGAGAGATATATGCACTTTTAGCCAAACCGATTCATTAGTCTTAATTAAGCTCTGAAATCAATGTATTTGTGGCACACTTTCAGGTGGGTTAAGGCACATCAGTGAGCCATGACACACCAGCTGAAAACTACTGGTGTAGAGTGTAGACACAAACTGGCATTGTGGCATGTCATGATCGCACACAAAAGACACAATGTTATACATACTTTTACCAATGTTTACATAAGTATTTCAAATAGAGAGCATTTTAAAACAGGCTTCGATCAAATTTGAAGAACTTCTCTTTAACCCCTTAAGGACACATGACATATCACAATTCCCTTTTTTTCCAGAAGTTTGGTCCTTAAGGGGTTAATCACACTGTTGAATCATAAATGTTTTTTTAAATTGAAAATAAGTGCATCATATATCAGATTCGAACTTTTATTTTAAGAGGTGTTTGTGTCCACAAATAGTAAGTTAACAAACGTTGGGTAATGTTTTGATGAACATCTGTAATAAACCATGGAATATACTGTCACAGACAATACATTGACATAAAATAACTAAAAATCACTATCAGAACCATACCAAAAAAAAACATGCCCAAGCACTTACCTCTTTTTCTTCTGGGCAGTATAATGGACCTGTCGGGTGTAGTACAGCCTTCTGTGCATAATAAAACAGTTCCGAAATATTTTTCAAGTTTTTTGCAGAACACTGGAAAATCAGTAACAAATGAAAAAACCATTGGATACAAAAGAGATATCTTCCCATTAAATCAACACAGAAAAAAAGGTCCGTAAAGAATATTTATAAATCATTTCCGTAAACCAGGTATAACATGTGCCCATATTCTCAGCAATAAATAGCAGCAAAGTCAATCCAGATCCTTATGGCAATGGTCGATTGTGTTACATAGTAATAGGAATAACACCTTTCACAGAGCCATCTACCTGAGCACTGAGATAGCATCACATCTTGGCAATGGCATTAAAGAACCTGCTCTTTCCTGTCTGCCAGGTGTATATTAGGCATTCAGTACTGTATAACAGAGCTCTACATAACATCTATCACGGTTCAGCTTGCAAACATTAGACAGGAACACAAGGTTTTTTCTTTTTGACACACTGGATATAAAGCTGAACATTGATTGGGAACCATGTGCAGACTGTCAGCTTTCATTTGAGAGTATTTAAAGCCATAAAAAGAGAATGGTGTGTTAATTGCAGCCCACGTTATATAGAGTCCCTCCATTTCAACAGTTAGAAGTAATTTGGCAAATGACAAATTTATACAAGTCACCATATTCAGTATTTTTTTTGAATGCATCCTTGGGAGAAGATTGACTGAAATTTAGATACCTTCCATGTCAGAGCTTTCTCAGACCTGTTCTGGTTAGTTTTAACATACCTTACATTTTTTTCTTTCACAAATTGAATTATTCAGATTTAGGATGGCTTGCTTTATAGAAACCCCTTGGCTCCTTACACTGAGAAACACTAGTAACAGGCTACAATATCCAGAATCACATACAGAGAGTGTGTTACATTACTTGTGCTAAAGCTAACTTTGCAACAACACATTCTGTGCCAACAAAAAGCCTGAGCCACCAACAGTCCCACGATCTATGGACCTTTAAAAATGGAGGAACTGGGGGCGGAGTCTGACCGCTAAGCTGAAAAGACGTGCGGGGAAAGAGCTCCTGTCGGGCAAGTAGAATAAACGGCAATATCGGCGGCTACTCAGCCCAAGGACACGCTGGGGTGCGCTACCCACGTTGGGGGTGCACCACAGAATCGACAGATACCTTTCTGGAGCCTGTCGGAGCCCAGTCCCCACAAACCAAGCGGACGGATACAGAAGGCGAATGACCGCAGCTACACAGCCAGCAGAGGCACCAGCCTGCAGGGGCACACCCAAGATGGCTGCCCAGCAGGGGCCAAAGAGAGGGAACACTGGCAACCATACACATGCTCAGCCACTGGAAGCTCTAGACCAACTCTGCTCAAGCTTCCACACAACCTTATGTGACAGGGGAGTGTCCTAAGCAGCTCGAATGGTGGCCTTGTGGATCCGTCCGGAGACCCGCCGCCATTATGGACTCCCACTACAAACCTCCAGGGTGGCCATCCGACCAAGCATGCAACGACAACCGCAAGGGCGCGAAACCTCGGGCACCAGCACCCGCGCTCCCACAAACCAGAGCGGGACCCGCCAACATGCACAACCTGCTCCACACACAACGGTCCCGACAACCTCCAACCAGCAGAGCGCAACCCAACACAGGAGAACTCGGGGTGCCTGCCGCGAGTATGACCGAGATGCAGCAAAGCGGGCTATCAGCAAGCGTAACAGGCAGAGAACCCCGTGAAGGATCACCTGAGACGGAGCTTTGATGGGGCACCAGCCCTACCCTCACCATCCGCGCACCTGGCAAGCCTCCATATACCCCCACTACCGGGGTTTCCGTTTCCCAGACATGGGAGTCGGCTGACTGTGATCGGGACACTGACCAATACAGCTCCCGGCTAACCGGCAGATTACAAGCCTGGGAGATGACCACTCAGGACAGGGGCCGAGGCGCAGGCACTCTGGTGGACTTGAAACTTTTGATATTGCCTAGGTACCCCTTTACACACAGAAAATGCCATAGCTACCCGTTTATTTTAAAAGAGCGGATTACATATTACATGTCCCAAGGTTGATGCCAAAGTTCCCCCTTTCTTTTGGTCTCTCATAAGCGGTCTTATTAATTCTTAACCTGATTGCATTCACCATTATTTAGATATAAATTTAATTAGCTATGTGATGCCTTATAGCAGTCTACATAGGTTTCTAATGCTGCCAGGGAAGTGCAGGTCTGACGGGGTAACAGCTGACCCCTTTTAAAAAAATAAATAAAATACATTTTATTTTATAACTTAGCCTGGAACACCCCTGACCAGCATAATAGCTACCTAATAATACATTAACAACCACTGCACACACCACGCAGATTAAGGTCCCCTATTACCATCAACATATAAACACAAGTTACTCTAGCTTAAATTAACCCCCAGTTAGCTTTTACGCAGAATAATACTCTTATGGCTAGATAGCACAGCAAGTCTACTAACTGTAACGAGCAACACTTGGCCATGATACCCTTCATTGTTTTTTACTCAAATCACTTTTATAGAAGATTGTTTAGACCTAGAATGTTTACACAGTGTGCATCCCAGCATAGCATTTCGCTTAACTTTATTCATACACTCAGTAGATATGCACTCAGATGACTGAATACAATAGCGATACACAGTATAATGTTAACTAAGCTTGTTTCCTACCATGTTAATACTCAACTACCTTTAAACACAAAATTTGTGCTAGATATTGCATGTACCTCTCTGTTAAACTGTCTACAATGCATTGGAGGAATGCCATTGGGGTACCTCGCAACCGACTGTTAAAAGCTTATGCACAACAAAAAGAATTTAAATTTTTTTTTTTTTTTTAAATGGAGGAACTACGTTAAAAATGTATATAATTCCTGCAGGATTCACAGCTTGTAGATTTAACGAACACCAAATTAAACCTGGCAACTTGCACTTTATGACACACTTCAGTCTTTGATTAATTGATTCTACATTTAGTACAATTGACCCAAATAATGTTCCTCATACCTCCACACACGTCTCGATTTCGGAATATTGGTTCATAATGGGTAAGATGGTTTCCATGCTGCTATATTCCAACAGATCAGATTTATTCCCCACAAGGATTAGAGGTACTCTGGAATAACAGGCACACAATGTAAATCAAATTTCAACCACATATTCTATATAAACACTCCCTCCCCATCCTCCTGTGATGAAATAAACAGAACACACATGAGGATGGAGTCATCGTATTTTGGTTAACACTCAAAATGGTTTAAGTTAAAGTCAATTTTCAGTGGGCCCTTTTATTGGCTCCCCTTTCCTGATCAGACATCACTCTCTGTGCATCTCCCACCAGAGGGGAAGACACCACCAATTTATATTAAGAAGAAGTGAAATGACAAATGGGGTCAAAACTTTATCCCAAGTAATACATTAGTTAGGCATGGGCTCCTCTGGCAACTTAGCAGAGGTTGCCACTTCCCACCAAACATGGCCTACCTGCTGTCTTTGTCCGTTCGCTCGTTGATTAATGGGATCCAGTGGTTGGTGACCTAAAATGACACAACAGGGTGAGAGAAGTCCCAGAGAGAAGAAGACATCTCCTAGCATTTATTGTGTGGTTATCTAGAGCTTTAGAGAGTTGAGCTCTATTACGGTCTAACTGAAGCACAGCCATGATTTAGCAAAAAAGAGAAGAAACACTTGTTTTCCCTTTATTAATCTACAAACATTCTATGTGGAACCTACAAACTATTTTCAAACCACTTGCAGTGAAAGTTCGAATTTCAGATATCTTAGCATCGAAAGTAAAGCTTTAGAACAATTACCTTATCTATGGAATTCTTGTTGTTGACAGCGTAGACAATGCAGATAACATTTGCCTTAATGAAATTTTGAAAGATAGTTGAAATTTGTTAAAATATATTTGCACATACGCACACAGAATTGTCTTTAATTTTGTGTTAAATTGCATTTTGTTTGTTGTAGCTGTAAAAAGGAGGTTAGACATATTTTATGGCGAGTAGTAAAAATTGGTTAAATGATTTAAAGGGATATGCTAAGCACAACTTAGCTGCTTGAAGCATTTTGGTTATTTAAGAGATAAATAACGCTTGTTTCTGTATCTCCCCTGGCTGTGACTCTCACAGCCTGCTTGAAAGAAATAAAAAATAATAAAATAAGTTTTAATTTCCAATCACACCGTACAGCACAGTGTGTTTACATTTTAGAAGTTCTTATATGCTGCAAAATTAATAACAGAAGCAAGGCCCCTTCAGGCTATTAACAGAGCAGGATAGAAAAAATGGTGTGTGATAAGTGAAGGCTTATTTTCCAGGAAGTGTTAAGGAAGGCTGTGTGAGTTCCAGCCAGGGGAGATGTGGCTAAAGATGCATAACATGATGTAACTCCTAGACAGCAGAGCATTGAGACTGCTGGGATATGATCTATACACCATAACCACTTCGTTAGATTGTTTTGGGGCTCAGTATGTTCCTTTAAAGCCTCTTTTTTAGCGTCTTATATACACAATTTACCCATAAAAACAGATTTCTCTCATACCCGTGAGATCTCACTATAAAGCTGTTCATCTGTTTGCTCTGCCTCTGCAAATAAACAAAAATGGACAAATCAAGGTTTGTGGACTACAGTAATAAACAATTCTACAGATACTTTATGTACAAGTAAATACTAGGGGGTCATTTCTATTTTCTTCACATAACTTGGTAGTAAATGAGGTTAATGTACAAGCAGAATGTGGAGCTGTATATTAACAAATCACGTTTGTGCAGATCACCTACCAGAGTAATCAACGATGTGTGTCGGGACTCTCTCTGGGGTGACATCGCCAGGGATAGTAATTTCCTCTGCTCGAGGTGGAACCTGGTACAGCAACACAAACAAAAAAAACAAACTATGGCCTAGGACTCGAAAAAAGTATAGGGCCCCAGGTTGCCATGGCGACTCATGAACTGGACCCGGCACCTAGAATTTTATATCTCTACATCAGGGCATGCCATCTGCAACAGTCAATCTGGACAATCAGAATATAGGATTATTATTATTAATTAAAGTGCATGCCAGGGTTTTTTTTTTTTTTTTAACCAAACATACCTCCTCTGGAAACTCTTCACTGACCAGGGACATAATCAGCGAAGTCTTCCCAACTCTGGCTGCAAAATACAAATAAGAAGACAAATGAGTAATTTATAAAAAAAATAGAAAAGAAAAAGATTTTCGTTCTAAAAAAGGAGACAAACTGAAAATTACACGGGTCATTAGCAAGCTGCGCATGAATCTCCAATACTATGAACTACAAATCCCATGGTGCTCAGTCAACGTTATGGCTGTGTGGGCATCAAGGGAAATGTAGTTCAGAGACGTCTGGAGTTCTATTGGGCACAGTATAAAATAATAAAACAATGTCTCCCTGCCAAATATTCTGACTGCTCTAAGTGGATGGACAGTTATTGTGTAACCTTGATATGACTTTGATTCATTTCCAAACCTTCACTTATCCCATTAAAGTGAGTGGCTGATGGCAGACTAATAGAGTGCCTCAAGCACTCTGCAAATTACCCTGATCACATTGTGTCTCATTGTCCATGCACATAGCCCACGAGGGCCCAAACCAAAATATCCCAGTATTACAACAATCACTGGCTCGGCCAATTCGGGTTATCTATTCACTAGATAGACGGAGAGAGAAAAAAATCTCAGCGATTAATGCAATGTTTTATATTGTGCGACAAGGCTTTAAGAGTTAGCTACATACTGGTTCAGAGGTTTGAGGTTACTTTTCATGCAACTTTAGGCTAGGAGGAAGGGTACATTTAAATAACCAAATAGACATAAATACTCTTTATAAGTCGATGGTAAGACCACACCTTGAATATGCTGTGCCATTTTGAGCACCTGTTCTAAAGAAGGATATCATGGCACTAGAAAAAGTGCAGAGACGAGCTACAAAATTGATAAAAGGAATGGAGCATTTTAGTTACAAAAAATGGAAAAAAAATTTAAATCTCTTTAGTTTCGAAAAACGGCGCCTCAGAGGGGATATGATAACATTATACAAATATATTCGGGGCCAGTACAAACCATTATCTGGAAATCTATTCATAAACAGGGCTATACATAGGACATGAGGTCACGTATTTAGGCTGGAAGAAAGGAGATTTCATCTAAGGTAAAGAATAGTGTTTTTTTAGAGTAAGAGCAATAAGGATATGGAATTCTCTGCCTGAAGAGGTGGTTTTATCAGAGTCCATACAGATGTTTAAACAGCAATTGGATAAATACATAACATGCAGGGATATAGTTTCTATTTAGTGGGGTAATAGCTGCTTGATCCAATGAGATATCTGACTGCCATTTTGGGGTCAAGAAGGATTTTTTTTCCTAGTTTGTTGCAAAATCAAAAGCGCTTTACACTGGGTTGGTTTTTTGCCTTCTTTTGGATCAACAGCAAAAACATATGTGAGGAAGGCTGAACATGGACGCAAGTCTCTTTTTAGCTATGAAACTATGTAACATGGAAAACACACACATGCGCGCAAATACCCATCCCATATAGCAGGGGAAGGTAGCCTCTGGCTCTCCAGATGCTGTGGACTACATCTCCCATAATGCTGGCATAGCATCGGGGAAGATATCGTCTAAAACTTCTGTTGTGCCAGAGATGGCTTACCCCCACTATATAGCATAGTATACCAAAGTTGCACAAACTCTGCCAATCATCACCACGATAGCTTTTGGAATGATAATAAATGCCTCACATATACACACCATTAAAACATTCTGGCTAATATCATACAGTCCCCCTTGTGCTGCCAAAACAGCTAGGATTTGTCAAGGCATGGCCTCCACAAGACCTTTGAATTAGCAGCAGTCTAAGATATTAGCAGCAGTCCTGCAAGTTGCAATTGGATCCCACAAATGCTCACTCGTATGGAGATCTGGGGAATTTGGAGGCCAAGGCAACACTTTGAAATCTTTGTCATGTCCCGGAAACCATTCCTGAACAATTATTGCAGTGCGGCAGGGTGCACTATCTTGCCGAAAGAGGTCACTGCCTTCAGGGAACACCATTACCATGATGGGGTATGTGGTCTGCAACAATCTCTAGGCAGATGGTACATGTCAAAGTTACATCCACATGAATGCCAGGACCCAAGGTTTCCCAGCAGAACATTGCCCAGAGCATATAACTGCCTCCATTAGCCTGCCTTCTTCTCATAGTGCATCCTGTTGCCATCTCTTCTTCGGGTAAACGGCACACACACACCCAGCCATCCACATGGTCTAAAAGAAAATGTAATTCATCAGACTAGGCAACCTTCTTCCAGTGCTCCATAGTCCAGTTCTGACATGTCAGAGAACCTTGCAAAGACTTCTCATTAAGCTGCATTGAAAGTCTGTGATTGGACTGGGGATTTGCAAGGGCTGCAGACAAGAGATCTGCAGCGGTGGCAAGCTATTTTGATTCACCGCCAATGAAAAAATACCAACTGGGGTGGATGTTCAACGCACCAAGAAAGTCCATCTTCAGTCAGGTCAGTTCCTGTTACCCAATATCAATCTTATTTGTATTATTAGTGCAACACAGACAACTTGGGCTGAGATCTCTTCTCTCAGAACAGACAGCCAAGCTGAGCAGCACACACGCACAGGTCCACTGCTCTGTCTATTTGTGCACAAGGCCCAGTTCAGAAAACGAAGCTATGTCTAAAGTGATCGCGGGTCACAGCGAGTCAGCGATCAAGTGAAAGAGCAATGTTAAATGAGGAGTGGAATTTCTCTTGGGGAATAATGGACTGAGAGACTCCCACATGCAGGAATTAGAGGCCTCTCTCTGGTTAAGGATATGGATGCCTTAAATGCAAGTGCATTACCGTTATATTGCACAAGTGTAGCAGGTTTTAAAGATATCTTTTTATCTGTACTAGATTTTTTTGCTTATTTATTTTTTTACTATCATTATAATGCAATTAAAATAGAGGTTTATTTCTTCTACAGTTTCCCTTTCATTTAAGAAGAAATGTTCTTGATTAACATCCGAAAACATCCATTAAAACTTGTAATCCATATTGTACAATGAAAACAGGGATGATGCCCTAGTGGGAAAAGGTCATGTGTCGCGCCGAAATGATCTTATTCAAAAAGCATCGCAAGACAAAGCACCGTGCAGTAAGTTTTTACAATACTGGTAGTTAATTGTACCCAGATAAATCTTACCCAAAACTCAAAGTTACACGCAATAGGTAAAACAATGATAGGGTAAACTGAAAGTCCAGCATTAAAAATGGTACATTAGACAGCAAAATGATAAATAAAACAGGATATATTTATTTCCAACTCCCGAACATAGCATACAGTGAAATCCATATACTCAGATTAATGGACAAGATGTCTTAATTAATGTCTCGATAACAGGACCCGACAAATGCCAGGCGCCAGGTCGCCATAGCGACTAAATATTTTGTCCTGGCGTCTGGGATTGGTCAGCCCGCTCCCTCCTCCTTCTGTCTTAATCCCTGTGCAGGGGAATTGCAAGCTAACCTGGCAGGATACCAGGTAAACACGGCTCTGCTCCCCGCCCTCCTCCCGACCCTGCTACCTGCCCACATGCCGCATACCCGACCCTGCTCCCCGCCCGACCACATGCCGCAAAGCCGATGGAACACCGGCAACCAGTCCTTTCCTCTGTGTGACCTCAGCGCCGGGAGGAAGTTATACCAGTTCCCTTCACTTCCTCCCGGCGCACAGAGAGAGCTGCTGAGACAGTGAGGAGGAGAAAGGAGGGAGTCTGGAACAGCGGCTGCCTACTCCCATAAGTCGCAGCCCGCCCCACTGACCTGTCACTTGCTGCTGCCTAATCCCAGTAGACACCAGGAAAGCCACCCTCCTGAGCCCAGAAGGTAGGAAACAGGAGGGTGACTAAAAAAAATGTGGGAAGAACAAGTAGAAAACTTAAAGAAAGAATAATAGAACATAAAACGAACATTAGAAAAAATCCAAACAAACACATAGTTCCAATACACTGCAATAATTTTAACTGGCAGAATTTCTCCTTCATGGGCATAGAACATGTTGACCCTTATTGGAGAGGTGGGTATTTAACCAAGAAACTCTCTCAAAGAGAAACTTTTTGGATAAATAAATTAAAAACATTACAACCACATGGGTTAACTCTAGATATTGATTTATGGAGCTTTTTTGAAGATTGAAACCTTCCTTCTGACTTAAATATATTTTATATATTTTTTGTGAAATTATTGCATTTTTTCCACAACTCTTCCTTTAAATACGGTTATATATACACACAATTTCAAATGCCTCTTTCCTTCCAAATTGAATTTAAATTAAAAAGAGCTAAATTTCACACTCATTTGATATGGATTCCAACTGCATTTTTTATTTAAAAAAAATTTTTTTTTTAGTAACATCTAATATCTTCATTCTTTCCTAAATACTCCAAAATGGGCTTTCCCAGCATCATTCCCACAGTTAAGATAAAAGCTCTAGCTAGAAGCAATGAAAAGAATGCAATATATTGGGGTATCACATTTCTCACTCATATCTATGCTCTTAAGAGAATAATTTTGTTATTATAATTTTACACTGTTTATACATTTACTGCATGTTTATGCATATAGAAAATGTGCACTTCATATTTATGGATTATGAAATAATGTATACACGTTTACTGTCATAATTATATGTAAATATTGTGCTTGTGCACTTTTTTATTTTAATTTTATTTTTATACATTGTGTGTCTTTTGTTTTTTATTCTTGCGCAATCCAGAGTTTCTAATATAACCCCTCCCTGCCTTTCTTCCCTTTTCGCTCAACATATATCTTCTAATCAACGGAGTCAATTGAAACCGCTAGTACGATCCACTTCCGGATTCCTTGAAATGCAGGTTGGAATGCATGCGCCATAGACGTTAAATGGACTTTTAGAGGGTATAAAAGGACTGGGTAGGGGAAGGTTATTTTATCGTTCACTTGATTACCGCTGATATTATCCACTAAAGTCCCTGAGGAAGTCCGAACATTGGACGAAACGCGTAGGACACCTATTCGTGATCTTGAGTACTACACTGATTGTTTTAAACTGCTATGTAAGTTATTACATTTATTTTTATATTGCACTCTGGAAGGCGCATTTCAATTTTATTATATTTCCTTTCGAGCATACTTATCCCTATCTACCCATGGGGGAATGTTGATGGAAGGATCCAGCTGAATTAAGAAAAGAAACCCTGTTCAAAGCTCTTTTACGTCTGTGAATTTGTGAGTGGCCATTTGTTAGTCTAATACCTGCGGTTCACTTTAACACAGTTATACGCTATGCTATTTTGTTTTCTGGTTTAGCAGATAATCTATTTTTCTACATATATTGTGCTGAAGACAAGAGGGAGTCTTCGGAGATATTATTGGATACTTCACCTTATTCAGGGAAGTTCCTTTTTGCTAAGTATTTCACTGAGCACTTATTGCACACTCTTGTTTGTTTATGTCTGTCAGTGTGTGTGTGTGCATGTGTCTGACTATCTCTCAGTGTGTGTATTTCTGTCTGTGTGTGTGTCAGTTCCGGTGTCTGTTAATGAATGTGTATGTTTAGGTCACCAGCCCCCTCCGATCGCATGGGAATAATGCTTTTACTCATCTTTTTACCAGCGCTGTGCCGGTCTCGCCAGAGCTGGCCCGCCTCCATAACTCATCAAATGCCAGTCAGCATTTCCTCATAAAGATGCATTAAAAGACAACTATAGTGCCAGGAAAACAAACTAGCTTTCCTGGCACTATAGGGTCTTTAGGTCTCCCCCACCTTCAGGGTCCCACTACCACTGGGCTGAAGGGGTTAAAACAGTTACCTTTCACCCCTACCCCTTTTTTTCCTTTCTGTAAAAAAAGCCAAGCACAGCCATGACACCCAAACACTGCCAGCACAGCCCCCCCAACACTGCCAGCCCCCTCTCTAACACTGCCAGCCCCCTCTCTAACACTGTCAGCCCCCCCTCTCACACTGCCAGCCCCCCCTCTCTCACTGCTGCACCAGCCCCCTGCCAGCCTCTCTAACACTGCCAGCCCCCTCACACCGCCAGCCTGCCCTCTCTCACACTGCCAGCCCCCCCTCTCTCACTGCCAGCCCCCTCGCTCACTGCCCCCCACACACTGCCAGCCCCCCCCTCGCACTGCCAGCCCCCCTCACTGCCAGCCCCCTCTACTCGCCTTGGCTTCCCTCCTTCCATTTCCCTCTACTCACTGCCAGCCCCCCCTCTACTCACACTGCCAGCCCCCCACTCACACTGCAACCCCCCCTCTCTCACACCCCCTCTCTCACTGCCAGCCCCCCACTCTCTCACACTGCCAGCCCCCCCCTCTCACTGCCAGCCCCCCCTCTCACTGCCAGCCCCCCCTCTGCTCACACTGCCAGCCCCCCCACTCACACTGCCAGCCCCCCTCTCTCCACCCCCCCCTCTCTCACACTGCCAGCCCCCCCCCCTCTCTCACACTGCCAGCCCCCCCCTCTCCACACCCCTCTCTCTCACACCAGCCCCCCCTCTCACACTGCCGGCCCCCCCTCAGCACCCCCCCTGCCAGCAGCCATGTTCCCTATAAGCGCCATTGAGCTGCCATGTTGCCGCGTTACTCACGTTCTCCCACCAGCAGGATCCTCACGTCTTTCTTCATGCTGCCCGGCCGGGTGTAGTTGGGGCTCCTGCGGCCCCCGGTGTCACCTCTCAGCGCGGCCCGAGCTCAGGACACTGGAAGGACGGCGGCCCGGGAGGGACAACAGGCTGAGCAAAGCGAAGGCAGCCAGGCAGGGCCGTGACGTCACCAGGCAGCAGCAGCATCTCTGCTCCACAGCATGGCCTGGCCCCCAGGGGCCACTCCAACTACACAGTGACATTCACCCAGTCTGCCTGCTGTATATATTGGGGGGAGACTTAAATAAACAATGTGTACTAAACATAAACCCACATAATCCCTGTACAAATCCTCTTTATAAAATGATAATTATTATTATATATAAATATATCACTATATATCTGGGTGTATAGACTGTGTGTGAGGCAGCTATATCCCTGGGTTTATCAAATATAATATATGTGAGAGAGACAGATATCTTGGTATATAGAATATATTATATGTGAGAGAGACAGATATCCTGCTATATAGAATATACTATGTGTGAGAGAGACAGATATCCTGGTACATAGAATATATTATATGTGAGGGAGACAGATATCCTGGTACATAGAATATATTATATGTGAGGAGGTAGATACACAGATATCCTGGTATATAGAATATATTATATGTGAGAGAGACAGATATCCTGGTACATAGAATATATTATATGTGAGGGAGACAGATATCCTAGTATATAGAATATATTATATGTGAGGAGGTAGATACACAGATATCCTGGTATATAGAATATATTATATGTGAGAGAGACAGATATCCTGGTACATAGAATATATTATATGTGAGAGAGACAGATATCCTGCTTTATAGAATATATTATAAGTGAGAGAGACAGATATCCTGCTTTATAGAATATATTATAAGTGAGATAGATATACAGGTATCCTGGTATATACCATTTATTATATGTGAGGTAGATATACAGGTATCCTGGTACATAGAATATATATGTGAGGTAGATATACAGATATCCTAGTATATAGAATATATTATATGTGAGGAGGTAGATACACAGATATCCTGGTATATAGAATATATTATATGTGAGAGAGACAGATATCCTGGTATATAAAATATATTATAAGTGAGGTAGATATACAGGTATCCTGGTACATAGAATATATTATAATTGAGGTAGATATACAGATATCCTGCTATATAGAATATATTATATGTGAGAGAGACAGATATCCTGGTATATAGAATATATTATATGTGAGAGAGACAGATATCCTGGTATATAGAATATATTATATGTGAGAGAGACAGATATCCTGGTATATAGAATATATTATATGTGAGAGAGACAGATATCCTGGTATATAGAATATATTATATGTGAGAGAGACAGATATCCTGCTATACAGAATATACTATATGTGAGGGAGACAGATATCCTGCTATATAGAATATGTTATATGTGAGATAGATATACAGGTATCCTGGTATATAGAATATATTATAAGTGAGGTATATATACAGGTATCCTGGTATATAGAATATATTATAATTGAGGTAGATATACAGATATCCTGGTGTATAGAATTTAAGTATTTATATTAGGTATATAGTCTGTATACAATGTATGACAGTGACCTAGATATATATAGTCTGTGTGTACTGTGTATCTGAGGTAGGTAGGGACTTATTCACCATACTAGAATTGTTCATTTGCTAATTGCAAAGTTTAAGCAAAAACAGGCAAATCGCTAAAATTGTTTAACTATACAACACTCACAGTGTATATACTGCCTGAAATATAGGCATTCTATTCACAATATATCCAGGTTTATAGAATACATGATGTTTATAGGCACAAGAAATGCCAGTTTTCACCCTCAGTATGATGATGCAGAGAGAAACAAACTGTTTATTTTGAACACATTAAATGACACTACTGCAGTTAGGTGAATTTGCAAATTGTTTTAAGATATAAAAATTGTTCATTTAAACAATAAATGTTATTGTTATTTTAACACCCTGAAGAGTTTGGCACAATTAAAGGGAAAAAATCCTACTTTTTCAGACTTTTTCAGAGGGCAGGTCAAGTCCTGTTTTTTTTCCAAAAGCCAAAATGAAGTGTACTGAGGAGATTGGACAGTTGACGGTTTATTCACTCACCAAGAACTGATAAGCAAATTGTAGAGATTAGGCTGAAATGGCTGAATTGGTAAAAAAAAAAAAATCGCAGTCACTAATTTTCTTTTTTTCCAATACTTTTGGTTTTGTTCACAATTAAATTTTCATTTTATGACTCTTTAAAATCACAATTAAAATGTATATACGAAAAAAAAAAATAGACAATTTACCTATGAATTTGACAAAAAGTTTAGTGCAGTAGCAGCAAAATAAAAGATTCAGAAAGCCTTATTTCTACAAATATATACTTTTGCATAGCATCTCTGGATTTGGTGAATATAAGCCACATAAACAACATTGCCAAATGTTCACTTTAAAACATTAATTCACTCCTTAAAATATTCACCCTATAACTTCCAAAAAATGATTGTGACACATTGCATAACCTTGAATGATAAATTCATCTATTTTGATACATTTTATTTAGCCACACTTATTATTGTAATCAAAAATGTGAAAAATATTTTCCCCATTTTTTTTATTTTTTTATATTTACCTCAGAGACTAGTGTGACTCTACTCAGCTTCCCAAAGTTCTCCCAAGTAGATAATAATAACAATGAGAAAATGTGGACCTTATGGGCATCCTGACAATCAAGATAATTTTTATCTTTCACCTATTATTTAATGCTTTAAACTAAAAACTGATTCGTTGTCAATACAGTTACAATAATATCAGATACAGATGTTAAAGTCAGATTATCATCCATTTATAAAAGTGTCTGATAGGGAATCAAAATGGAGACACAGAGTTCCAGAATAGATGGGATGATTTCTACATTTAATTTTAGTTAGACCTCACAAAAACATATTTGCTAAATACAGGGGCTAAGTAAATAGAATATTAAAAAACCTGGTAAGTAACCATTTTTTTGTATGTATGTATTTATTTTTTTTCAAAAAAGTAAATTCAGAGTATCAGAGAGACTATGTTTAGGAATAAACATTTAAAGGTATCAACAGTGGAATACAATATGGTTTTATAAAGGATAGATCAATTCAAACTACTGAGGATATGTTTTTGTGCGGTCTAACTAAAATTAAATGTAGAAACCATCCCATCTATTCTGGAACTCTGTGTCTCTATTTGGGTTTTTCTAAAAGCATTTTATATTGTTCCACATAAAAGTATAGTACAAACTGAAAGAAATCAGTTTAGAAGAAACAATTGTGGTTGCAAAAAAACAAAACAATACCCCAAAACACCTTGCTCCATTTTAAGAGACAATCTACTGCCCAAATAAAACAAACAGTTTAGATATATCCCCAATGTAAAGGTAAGTATGTGGGTTTTTTGGGGGTGTATATTTACAAACAGCTTGCAAAAGCTGCAGATCTCTTGTCTGCAGCCTTTGAAAGCCCTCTCCTTTTCCCAAGCCCAGACTTTCTGTGTCTGTCCAATCACAGACTTCCCAATGCAGCTCAATGAGACGTCTTTGCAAGGCAGGTGCTCTGGGCAATTGCTGCCTCTTGAGTTTAGCTCCACTGAGCAAACCAAACCAGGAAATACAGGACCGGTTGTGTGACTGACAGCCAGAGCATGTAACCAGGTTAATTTATAAAAGTGTCAATTTCTATTGAAATCTGCATTTTTTGAAAAATGAAAAAAGAGGACACACAAGCAAGTTGAAGTGCTTTATGGGTCTGGCGTGTCCCTTTAAAGAGTTACCTAAATCATTATAA